GTGTGTTGTACTTAGTACTACTGTATCAATAATGAAACTGATACCGATAGTATAAGGTATAACTACTATTTATAAAATCACTGATCTATAATACCCCTTTTTAAAAGGATCGGTATCAAGAACGCATAATATGCAATATGGAACTTCGAATAAATGTACTTTCGGTATGATGTTACAACCGTCGTGTAATCCCGCTACACTCTCCCCTACCAGACTGACATTCCCATAGAAAATTATTATACACCTTTCCTCTTGGAGGTAGTGATTCAGCAAACGTTGAACCTCACGGTTTTTGACGGTCCATATGACGCCTCCCGGAACTGAGTCACAGACTCTTCCGGATCTCATTGAAGAAGAAAAGTTAGACTAAGCTTTTGATTACGAAAGTGGAACTGTCTTCGGGGGACTTGATGGGTCATCTTTAACCACGCTTGAGTGCGAAAATGACACCAATCACGTATCCTTTAACGTTGTGCTGAGGATGTGCTAACAGCGTCTCGTGACCCGCCTGACGTATCGTCAACGGCGACGGTTACCAACTAACTCGACGAACAACAGTAGCAGACCGCTGACCAAGAGGAAGTCGCAAGGCGCTGGACGAAGAATATTGCCAGGCTTCAAGGTCACCGACAGTATAAGCTCAATCCACCCACAGATGAGAACGCCTTAAGGAGGCATCTGGTCAGTCCCTCTCTGGCTGAACCATTGGGCCTGAGGCCACTTCGCCTAAGGATGTCGCTACGCGAACGGCTCTTCGACAACGGTACCTGCAACCCTACATTACCACGCAAAGCTAATACTAAGCAAGCCTCTCCAGGAAAGTTCGCCCCCCCCCCTAAAGAATGTTGCCATCCTTTTTATTCGCGGTAGATACCGAGAAGGAAGAGGATAAGGCTTTTAGCCGCTGGGCACAATATGCGCGACGCCAAAACAGCATATGGGCTCTACAACCAAGTACCGACGTGGCAGATTCTCGTCTCAAGCGGTAAATGCGTTACAATTACGCTAACATAAAGCCCGAGGAATGTTGAAGTCTCAACGAATGCAATACCCAGCACTCCAGTGTTTCGGCTACGCCTGAAGCTGCGATTCACGACATGCCGAGGCCGTGAGCACGCCTGCCCTCACCACTACGGTTGAGATACGCCATCATCAACAGGTTGGCCCTGCGCACGACGATCAAAGTTATTTACAGCGTACGGGCAATCCTGCCGTAAGAGAGCCACAAATTTCAAAGGGTTTCACGGCTCGGGGTATCCCCGCCACTTCACTAGATACTAGTTTTGACCGTGGCAACGACGCTTAAAAAGAAGCCATTCTACAAGGAACTGGAGGTTTCCCTGCTTATCGAGCAATGCCGGAGGAAACCGGTGTACCGGCACAAGCTCATGCCAAGCTACTTCAGGAGGTGAATTGTCTTCGTAAACCTGTGCAGAAGATGACTAATCGCCTCGAGTCGTTGGAGCAGAGTCGAAACCGAGTGGAGATGCAGCTTGATCTCTTGGTCCAAATGTTTCGCCCTGAGGCAGTGCCGATGAGCTCGGCGATAGCGTCTTCGTATCCACTTAGGATAGATTCCAATACGGTTTGAACATGCCAACATAGAACACGGGGTGCGTACGAAATTTGCGCGGCCGATGAAGCGTATACGCTAAGCCTTTATTGTCCACGAACGTTAAGGGTCCAAAGACACGCGGACGCAGTTTTGTCTTTAAGGCAGCAGACACTACATCTTTAGATAGGTTCTTAGAATTAAGGAAGACTTGGTATAAGTCTTCATAACAAGTAATACAATTTTTTTTATTAGCATCCGCATATTTCTTTTGTTATCTTAGATATCAGCCATTGCGTCACGCACATGTTAGTCATCCAATCGCGTTGCGAGACACACACTCACCTTTTTTAATAGTAACAGGGATGACGTCAGCAAGCCTATCGGAAATCGGCAACCTCTCCCCCACCAACCACTTACCATAAATCAAATGCGGCACAGCCGCTAAGTGAGCCATCTTTCTCTAACGGTCAACAAAGCCACAATACCCGTATTGCTATGCGAATCTTTCGGTAGACCAAATACAAAATTCATACTAATTGACTTCCAGCACCCAGTGGGAATAGGCAAACTAGCCAGCGGCGCTGCCGAATGGGGCGAGGGTTTCACCCGTTGACACGTTTCACATGTACGCACATATGTGCTCACCCATTTATATAATTTGGGCCACTAATAACGTTGGCATAATGCCCCATAGGTCTTTTCACGACCCAAATGACCACCGATGGCGGTGTCATGTACCTCATAAAGGATACGATATTTCAGGTCCTCGTCATGAGGAACCACAATACGCGGAGGATCCGCTACATCTGTACGATAGTATAACAGCTCCTGATCGATAGAATATCAATGGAGGCTCGCACGTAATCGTGCCGACAATTTAATGTCCGAGTCTTTAAACTCCTCACTGCCAATATCATGTAGCAACGCTATACAGTGATCATCTGTAGCATACGCTGATCGAATGAGATCAATGATAGAAGACGACAACGTCGTAACATGAGTCAGGTCTGCGTGACAACGCATCATCCAAAGCATTTTGCTTGCCCAGCTTATATTTCACCTCGAAGTTATATTCGACAAAGAATGACAGCCATCTGGCCATTCTCTGCGAGAGATGCGGCGACTGAGTCGCAGTGCGTAAAGACGCATGATCATTATAGATCACAAAAGGCTTTGAGCTCAGCAGATGAACTCTAAATTTGACTAGAGCATACTTCATCGCAAGTAGCTCTTTGTCGTGAACTGGATAGTTCTTTTCTGCAGCTTTCAGCTGGCGAGATTCAAAAGTGATTACACGCTCACGGTCTTCATCATCTGTTTGTAACAGAGCACTGCCAATGGCAAAATCCGACGCGTCACAGACGACGCTAAATGGTCGATCAGGGTCTGGCAAAGCCAAAATAGGAGCATGAAGAAGGCTAGCCTTTATCGCTTGAAAAGCATCCTCGTGTCCAGCATGCCAACACCATTCCACATCCTTTTTAAGGAGATTGGATAATGGCCGAGCCATATCAGCGTAATTTTCGCTGTACTTATGCAAGTAATTGGCAAGGCCAAGCCGTTTACGCAAGTCCTTCTGAGACTGTGGAACAGGCCAATCGACTATGGCTTTGACCTTGGCGAGATCCGCTCTTAGGCCTCGTTTCCCAATGAAGCACCCTAGAAAGGGAATTTCTTCGGCCCCTAAGATGCACTTAGATGCATTAGCATATATTTTATTAGTGCGCATGCACTCGAGCACAGCTCGTAAATGAACAATATGGTTCTCAATATCTGACCGCACATTTTCAGCTCGACTATGGACAAAAATGTCATCAAAGTACGTCTGTGCATAACTTCGATGGGGTCGAAACAATTGCGTTACCAAACGGTTAAACGTAACCGGAGCATCAGATAGCCCCTGGGGCATCACCAACCACTCCCAGAGCATACCACTCGGAGTACTAACATCAGTAAGCGGAATATCGCTAGCTCGCATAAGCAATTGGTAATAACCATCGACAAAGTCTAGCGCACTATACATGGTACAACCGACATAATTGTTCTGAAGAACATCCTTTCTGGGTATTGGCGTCTGTGCAGGTATAGTGGCTGCATTGAGCTTATTATAAGCATGAACGATACGCCATTTACCATTCGGTTTCTTAACACAGAAAGTGGGTGTAGAGTGCGGAGATTTGCTCTCACGCACCATGCCCGCCGCGTGCTTTGCACGAAAGAACTCGTCAATGACGTCACACTGTTCTTTGGGTAAAGGCCACTTCCGTAATACACAGTATTTGGTTCCAGGAACCAAGTCAATCTCATGACGTACACCCCTATCAGGTGGTAGAACCGACGGTGGATCGTGGCACACCACGTCCTGAAACTTCTTTGCTAAGGGAAAGTAGGGATCAGAAGGGTTCTTCAGAATAGATGCTCCACTACGTGCACTAAGTGCCGCCTTTGTATGTTCAAGGACTGTCTCATCGACAAGCGAGGATGAGTTCAGCTCGAGGTTAGGTCGAATGACCACCACATCGGAAAGATCACCAGCCTTCAAGGCTTGATGAAATTCATCCACAGACATTTCGTCTAGCTCTAAGAGAGCATTTTAAGATGGGAGGGCCTCAAGGTCAACCTCACCATCTACATCACCTCTTCCTCCATTGAACAGGGTATACAGATGAAGAGCGTCCGACAGCACTAAGATGTATGGATAGCTTTGTTCGAGATGCCAGGAAACAGCACACAAGTCGTTTCATGACGAGAGTGGCAGCGTCTACGATGGATGCTCATCATGGATATTACTGTGATTAAACTCCTCTTACAATTGTTAGCGCTATAAAAGATAAGCCCATCCAAAATTCACATATTCATCGGGCGACTTCAAAAAGCTGCTAGACGAAGCTGCGTGTGGGTGGAGAGATCTCTTAAGCACAAAATGAAGGTGTGAATAAACCGTGTAATACGCAAATGATTACAAGGTTTATTCCTCCATTCTTCCATTTCTTAAACCATTTGTAACTTTCGACTTCATGTAACGGTAAGATTCATTCATTTTATGGTAGTGTAATATATAACAATCGCACTGGAGAATTTACCTATGTCACTTGGAAGCAATAAAAATGTGGTTTTAAGGCAAAACTTTAGATTTTTTCATCAAAAGTCCCAAATATAAGCACTTTTTTCTCATTCTATACCCTGTCAAATACATTTCGTTCTTAAAAACATAACCCCTGAAAAGTCGATACAGTCTCTTAATATAATAGCCTCCATTTAATTGACAAGTGGTGCTCACGTGCCCTTACCTCGTCGACGCTCCTTGGCTGCATCTGCTCGCTATTAACGCTACTAGTGACGTTTATATTTTCTTCTGCGTCTTTTGTATCTGTAAGTGCAACTTTCACGTCCATAGCCGTAGTATTCACTTTGCTACGAGCTTCAAATCAGACGGACTTATAGTATGGAGATGAATAAAGGGGAGGCTGAGAAATGCCTTGAGATCGGAAAGAAGTTTCTACGGCTCGGAGATTGGGAAAAGGCAGTCAAGTTCTTTGACAAGTCGCACCGCATGTATCCGCTGGCGGGTGTGGAGGCAATGCGCGATCGTGCCAAGGCAGAGCTGGAGAAGGCCTCGATACCCAGTGCACAGCCGACGTCACCAGCTTCGACTGCAAGAGTGCGTCATCGAACAACTCGAGCTAATGCTCCATTAAGATCTCCTTCGACGGAGCCTTCGCGACCGTATACAGCGGATCAGGCCCAGATGGTACGGAAGATTAAGGCGTGCAAGACTCACTATGAAGTGCTGGCAGTGCAACAAACTGCAACGGAGAGCGAGATAAAAAAGGCTTATCGCAAGGTAAGATGATAATGCAATTGTCTGGTCGGCTTTCTGTGGTGTTGATGTTGTGGTGATGGTTGTGTAGTTGGCGCTGAAGCTGCATCCGGACAAGAACAGTGCCCCAGGAGCAGAGGATGCGTTTAAGGCTGTTGGAAAAGCGTTTGCAGTTTTGAGCGACCCCGACAAGCGTGCACATTATAGCCGATATGGTGATGATGCACCTGTGCAGCAACAGCAACACCAGGGACGCAGATACGGCCAGGACGATGACATTACACCGGAAGAGATTTTCAACATGTTTTTTGGTGGTGGTGGCTACCGTCCACGTGGACGACCGCCGCAACCACAGCAAGATCACCGACAGCAACAGGTACCACGTGGTGGCATGGCGACTTTGACCCAGTTCTTGCCGCTGCTGCTGATCTTCATCATGTCGTTATTATCGATTCCGGCGAACCCGGAGATGCCATTCAGTTTAAACCCGACACAGCAATTCAACGTGCAGCGCACGACACAAATGGCGAATGTGGTGAAGGGTATTCCATACTATGTAGAGCGCGATTTTGAACAGCGGTACACGACCGACTGGCGCGATCTCAAACGAGTCGAGCAAATGGTGGAGCAGGCGCATGTGTCAAGGCTTGCCGAGAATTGTGAAAACATAAAGCTGCGCCAGAAACGGATGATCTACCGTGCTCGCAACTCTCGTAGTGAAGACCGAGAGTCTGCCATGCGTAAAGCATTGGAGATGAAGATGCCACCCTGTGACGAGCTGCGTAGACTTCGGCGAACGCGGCGCTATTGATTACGATGCAGTAGCTTCGTGTACATGTACGTAGTAGTCAGCCAGACCGGGCGGCCATAGAAGGCAGAAGTACTGGTATAGGAGACAAAAGTCGATTGCACCTGCCCGGCAGTCGAGATACAATTCAAAACAAATCTATGAAACAAGAAGCCACATCACTGCAGATAATTGATACACATGCTACAAGAAAAGATGTAGTACTAAAAGCACATGTATCACTTCTTGGAATAATCCAGTCCTTATACTAGTTTTCTACATATCAAAGTAAAACTAGATTATCATTATATCAGCTATTTCGTCATGTTTAGTTTTTAAACCACATTTTTATTGCTACTTAGGTAGATTTACTACAAAATAAATAAATCTTACCGGTACATGTAGGTCGAAAGTTACAAATGGTTAGAGAAATGGAAGAATGGAGGAATAAACCTTGTATTCATTTGCGTATTACACGGTTTCAATACAAAAATGATTACAAGGTTTATTCACACCTTCATTTTGTGCTTAAGAGATCTCTCCACCCACACGCAGCTTCGTCTAGCAGCTTTTTGAAGTCGCCCGATGAAAATGTGAATTTTAATGGGCTTATCTCTTATAGCGCTAACAATTGTAAGAGGAGTTTAATCACAGTAATATCCATGATGAGCATCCATCGTAGACGCTGCCACTCTCGTCATGCAACGACTTGTGTGCTGTTTCCTGACATCTCGAACGAAGTTATCCATGCGTCTTAGTGCCGTCGGACGCCCTGTGGAGCTACAGATCACGGGGGGTGCAACGTCTTGAGCTGCTTTTTGACTACCGGACCATCTTATCGGTGTATTGCAACGTTCGCGTGTGTCAAAAAGCCATTCGGACCCTTCATGTTCCACTTTGCCACGAACAAATGCACTAAGGTGACCCTGCCTACATGGAAGGACAGGTTCTACATCCCCATGTTGTCCAGCAAGTGTGACATTGTCACGACATTTATCGGCGTCACCAATACAGGTGGGTTGCGGTTCTTAGGACAAGCAATTATACCGATGGAGCCCGGATGGGAAAACAAGACAAAGATTTGTGCACCGCTGGCAAAATGGAAGTTTCCAGTAACGAGTGTGTCGTGAGACTGTACTGCTTCACAAAGGGCACGATGGAGCTGAAAATTAAGCCCATTTCGTCTCGGATGCCGTGCAAATCGGGCCAATTTCTCATGGCGCCGCCTGTATCATGCGAGCGAAACAACCGTTCTCGTGTTGAACTAGAAAAGTGTCGAGCAATGCGTCGTTGACTTCTACGGCACCAGTGACACCTAAAAAAAGGCCATCAAGCGATTCGTCTTTGCGGAAGACGCTGGTGACGCGTTGGGGCGTTCTCACGGACACAAGTTTCCTCCTCTTTGACGACACGACTGCCGAGCTACTGGTTAGTTTGGACCTGGCTAAGTTGCAAATCGTCAAGTCCAGTACGCAGCCCAAGAACGACCCGAGTCGACCATTTCCCTTGAAGATGTACGCCAAAGGGCAGTATGTACGTGCTGTATGTATCGAGTTACGCACAGCAGCAGTTGTGGGAATACAAGATCATCCTGCGTCGACGTGCATCACTGATTCCGTAAGCGAAAACAAGACTACGGGCTCGGTCGGGAATGGTGCGTGGAATGGTTTGTGTATTTTAACGTGAGAAATAGTAACGAGTAAAACCAGTCGGCTGTGGGTACGCGTGTACTGGAAGAGAAACACGACTGGAAAATGATGAATTGTACTCAATTCGCAATCTGGACTGCTGAAACGAGTTGTCGCTGTAGAATCTGCGTGTATTGCACAAAACCTCATTACAGTGTTTATCTTGCCTGCATGTACTACCAGGATAAGTGATATCAGTTGACATCTCCGCATCGGGAATCTTGGGTCAGCATTTTGTAAACTTGTACGTGTCCTCCATCGGCATCTTGTTAGCGCGTTGACGAGGGACAATGCAGCGTCGGCTAGCAAAAGTGTACCAGAATTTTGCATGACTGGTATCTTCTCCACGACGAAAGCAATGCTGTTCTTGCGTGAATCCATGGCTAACGAGAGCGCCTCATAGTGAGCGCATTCTTAGAGGTCCTAAGCATCAATACTTCTCAGAGCCGACGAGATATGCTCGATCACGGCGATGCCGTAATCCACGACCGAGCATTTTAAGTTTGCTGCAATGCCGACGAGAAACGGGACGACGGAGCGGCAAAGTATATATGGCAAGATTACAACGAAGCTAACCACAAGGCATGACGGTGAATAGCAGACATTTTTGCGCTGATCATGTTGGATCGCTTTACGAGGGAGTGTCCTATCCGTCCTGTATCAGAGGCCGATAATCAGCATTCTCTTGCAAGGGATACAGCAACGTTTTTGCTGTGCATGCATCCTGAACAACTACCATTGCTTGCACGTTAGCATCGTCCGTTGGGCTAGGAAAGGATCTGGATGGAATACCCGATTAGAACGACGCAGTAGTGGATTTGTCGTGATGATTGCAGGCCCTTGTATTTGCAAGTGGATTCTTTGTTCAAAGTGCTCTGCTACATGGAGATCCAAAGCAGACGAAAGCGAGAGGTGTGGAAGAGAATGGAGCAGGAAGATTACAATGCTAATGAAAGTGAGATGATAAGTTGAATGAAGCCAGTGAAAAGTATATCTGTTGGACCTGGAAGAAGCCTTCCGATCTGAACACAGTCACTAAGAAGATGAATTCATGGCGAAAGGGTTTACTTGGTGTTGCAAGTAATCACCTAGAGTGCAGATGCGGAACTCAAATACGAGCAAAAATTGTCAGCAGCGGCTATGATTACCTTCCGGACTCTTGAAGTAGACAGTGATACCGTTCGTGAATATTGCAAACGTATAAATACCTTGTGCATCGATAGCCCAAGGCTAGGCACAAGAAGGAAAGCCCATTCCTTATCCTTTTTGCAAAACACAGTTGACAGCATCTTTATCCCGCACAAACTGCGAACGCGTTGCTGCAGCTTGGCTAATTTTTTGTCAGGAGAGTGACTAAGCTCGCAGATGAGGGCTCCGGCGTAAGTTGAGTGCTTATTGTATTTTGCATCAAGTCTGTAGCAAAGCAACGAGCTAGCGAATGTTAAGATGACAAGTCGATGCAATCGAGAAGCAGCGACAAAAGATTGACGATAGGGTGAGTGTCACCAAGCTTATAATTTATTTATAGTATCGGATTTCACACCAGTCCGTAAGATCTCATCGAATGTCGTCTGGGCGCTGATTTGCACAAATACGCCGCGAAACATGAGCATAGAAAAGCAGCGAGCGATAGATCATCCAAAAGGTTGAGAGCTTTAGAGACCGTCGACCTGAAGCGGTGACATATCGACGAAAGGTTCGAGTGCTGCGTGTACAAGTCCGTGGGTGCGAGCTGGAGGATGCTGTGCTGTTGCTCGCGCTGTAGAAGGACGAGCACACGGGCGTTCTGGTGGCTCCGCTCGAGTCAAGGATCTCTGTCAGTGGCTAGCACTGTTTCTTAATCTCCAAATGTTTTGGTTCCTGTGCGACAACACATCGTCGTTCTTCGACGCATTTCTGGCAATTAGGAGAGACATAAGGGAGAGAAAGAGAGAACAGACTGTCTGTTTACTGGTTAGTGCAAGATCTCTGGTAGGTAGTTAATCACACTAGCAACGCTGGAGGGTCCAGGCATTGCCTACGGCTGGCAGCACGTCTATGAACGCCGGACTGCCCTCTCGGTTCGGATATAAATATGTCGTAACATGCAGATAGCTGTGGCCGCCTTGCACCCTCAGTTGGAGCTGAATCTTTCCCCAGATCAAAGTTTCACTGGCTTGTATTGGGAGAGAGATATAAGGGACGAGGGGCGACGACAATAGACCGCAAGCGAAAGTCCAGCAGAGAAAGTGCCTGGCATGGTTTGCGGACGACCATCCGGTAAAAGTCGTGGACACCTAACTTTGTCTGGCCTTCGTAGAGATTAAGAGAACATATGCGAGCCCGAACCACCCGTGGCTATTAGGAGTTATAGGAGTACAGAAGTTGGGACCGTCAACGACACCGCGAGGTATGAAGTTGTTTTCACTATGTACCTACGCGTGGTGTCGGCACAGCAAAATGATTAGGCTGCATCGTCTATGTGATGCTGGGCACGACCGTATCCCGGCACCGTAATCTTGGACATGAAGCGGAAATTGGTAATGCTGCGTGCGACAACTTAATGGAAATTGTAAGCTCAACAGTTTTGCAAGCAAGCGCTTCTCGCTAATGAAATCTAGTCTTGCTTGTTGAGTGAATGCTGCACTTGGAGCCTCTGTCGTCAAGTCCTTTGTCAATGCGTCGCAATGTCAGGCAGGGTCAAATTAATACTGCAATTTAGACAACAACAGATGCGGATATTGACACAGACTTGTAGTCGATCTTCGTACTGTTTCTGCTGAAGTAGGGAAGATCTGATCCGCCCTGTTGACGTTCATGACTTCCTGCACGGAGCTAGTTCAAGCACTTGAACTAAGATTGGAAACACCGTCTACGAATTGCATCTATCGGTGGGAGCAACCAATTCTATTTGCTACTGCCTTTTCAGCTACGTGAAAGAAAACTTATACGCATGGCGTAAGCAGTTAAACAAGATCGATTCGCAAATGCAATTGTGAGTTCTAAGACGATAACAAGCTAACCAACACAAAAAGTAAGCTTAAAACGACATGCATACTCCAAGCAGCACCTCACGTCTGTATCATTGACCGGTGGTTGCACAATTCCAAACTTTTAAGTGGCTTTCTAGTGGTCGATTTAATTTGCATAAAAATGTATTGGTCGTCGCTCTTCGTAGTAACGAGGATACTTCGTACCTTCTCACTTTGTTTTCAGCTCTTCAGTGCTACATTGACTCCATTGAGAATGTCCTGCACGATCCACAAGGTTAAGCATCTATTCTGGTACATTGTGCTAGTAACAGCTGTCGTACTGATATGGAGTCCACAGACTATGGTAACGATAATCGTCGCTTCGCAGCATGCACCGAAAAACGCACGAGAGAATCGCCGATTGAGGCCAAGCTCATACATGAAGGAGGAAGTTAACGGCGGTGACGAAGAAAGAATGGCGCCGCCTCATCCCGCGAATATAATCAAAGCATTGAATAATGACGAGAAGCTTGTGGCTGAAATTGACGAGAACACCAAAAACTTGGCCGAGAGTGCCGGTTGGCTGGAGTGGGCCAACTCTCTAAACAAATTGACGTACAACGACTTTGTAGATTCTGGATCAGCCAAGCTTTCAGAACTTACATCTAAATACGGAGAAAAAGAAGTGCTCAGCATGCTGGCGGCCGCAAAGAACGACCAAGCGACGGGTTATTTTGCCGAAAGGTTGGAAAAAATTGCTCTGATGCAGAATTATATTGATACAAAAACTACGGAAGACCTTCTTAAAATACCTGACAGCTTGGATGTAACCACATTTTTGGCGAGTCCGTTTCTGAAAACCTGGATGAACATCTATCGACAACGAAAGAATAAATCCCCATTACCGCCGTTGTTTCAGGAGTTATCGAAGTATAACACTGGACCACAGCTAACAGAAAAGCTTGTTGTGGCGCAAAACAACAAGGCTGCGGAGGGAACGGCAAAATGCTTGGCGATGTATCAGATGTTGATCTGGAAAGAAGAAAAATATAGTGGTGACTTTGTCTTTGAGCTTCTTGAGATCAAAGAAGAAGGCGTCCAAATGTTTGACAGCCCGCGGTGGGACGCGTGGATCTTGTATATGGCGATGCTGGACGACTTCAAAGGAATTCCAATACCAAAGCTGGTCAAAGTGCTGAGGAAGCACTTTGACGACGATGTTCTAGTCCAGCGTTTCAAGGCTGCTACAACTGTCGAAGGGAAGATACGTGCCGATTTTTTCGAAACGGCGCTTACAGAAAAATTTAATAAAAAAGCGATAAAGGGCCAGCAAAACGACGACGAAGCACTAGCGCCGTCCAAGCGCCAACGAAAAGATGATGGTCAATAGGAGGAACTACGAACGGGTATTCGGACGAGGATTTACATCAACCTAGTCAATACGAAACGTGCGACGTAGTATGCTTTGGACAACAAGCTGAAGAAAAATGCATAAAAGTCACGGGTTGGATATAGAAGTTTGGGTCTTATTCAAGGGTCGGTGATGTTGTTGGATACCAAGGACAGAAGAATGAGGCTTTTAGGTGTAGATTTTCCATTTTTCAATAGTTTTTCTCTAATTGTTTGAGTTGTCATTGCTTCCAGCACAAACGTGTCTTGACTAAACCTTTTTGAAACGAATTTACTATGTAAATTGCATATCACTTGGTCCTCTAAACAACCTTTACGTCACATCTTGATTCCAGCCGGCTATACCAATGATACTGGCTGCTGCTCTTGCAACGACTTGTGCGTTTATTCCTGGCCGAGTCACCCCTTCCCCTTGAAGATTTACGCAAGGGTAGTATGTACGTGCTGTATGTATCGAGTTACGTACAGCAGCAGTCGTGGGAATACAAGACCAAACTGATTCCGTAAGCGAAAACAAGACTACGGGCTTCGGTCGGGATTGGTATGTGAAATGGTTTGTGCATTTCAACGTGAGATATAGCAACGAGTTGAACCAGTCGGCTGTGGGTACGCGTGTACTGGAAGAGAACACGACTGGAAAATGATGAATTGTACTCAGTTCGCAATCTGGACTGCTGGAACGAGTTGTCGTGGTACATGCTGCCTGCGTGTGTTACACAAAACCTCATTACAGTGTTTATCTTGCCTAGATGTACTTACCAGGATAAGTGATATCAGTTGACATCTCCGCATCGGGAATCTTGGGTCAGCATTTTGTAAACTTGTGCGTGTCCTCCATCGGCATCTTGTTAGCGCGTTGACGAGGGACAATGCAGCGTCGGCTAGCAAAAGTGTACCAGAATTTTGCATGACTGGTATCTTCTCCACGACGAAAGCAACGCTGTTCTTGCGTGAATCCATGGCTAACGAGAGCGCCTCATAGTGAGCGCATTCTTAGAGGTCCTAAGCATCAATACTTCTCAAAGCCGACGAGATATGCTCGATCGAGGCGATGCCGTAATCCACGACCGCGCATTTTAAGTTTGCTACAATGCCGACGAGGAACGGGACGACGGAGCGGCAAAGAATATGGCAAGATTACAACGAAGCTAACCACAAGGCATGACGGTGAATAGCAGACATTTTTGCGCTGATCATGTTGGATCGCTTTACGAGGGAGTGTCCTATCCGTCCTGTATCAGAGGCCGATAATCAGCATTCTCTTGCAAGGGATACAGCAACGTTTTTGCTGTGCATGCATCCTGAACAACTACCATTGCTTGCACGTTAGCATCGTCCGTTGGGCTAGGAAAGGATCTGGATGGAATACCCGATTAGAACGACGCAGTAGTGGATTTGTCGTGATGATTGCAGGCCCTTGTATTTGCAAGTGGATTCTTTGTTCAAAGCACACACTTCGTTTGCTCTGCTACATGGAGATCCAAAGCAGACGAAAGCGAGAATGTGAAGAATGGAGCAGGAAGATTACAATGCTAATGAAAGTGAGATGATAAGTTGAATGAAGCCAGTGAAAAGTATATCTCTGTTGGACCTGGAAGAAGCCTTCCGATCTCAACACAGTCACTAAGAAGATGAATTCGTGATGAAAGGGTTTACTTGGTGTTGCAAGTAATCACCTAGAGTGCAGATGCGGAACTCAAATACGAGCAAAAATTGTCAGCAGCGGCTATGATTACCTTCCGGACTCTTGAAGTAGACAGTGGTGCCGTTCGTGAATATCGTAAACATGTAAAACCTCGTGCATCGATAGCTTTGCTGGAATTCATTTTGGTGGCGGAATTCCGAATTCGCGGTGTCGGCAGAAACAATTTCGCTAAATGGGTGGTGCTCGTACGAATTTGCGTAAAGCGTCCCAGTTGAAGAGCCAAGGAATGATATCAGAAATTGTGGAATAATGCACCACCGCGTTATCTTTCTAGTCGATCTCTTGCCACTGCGTAACATTTTCGCAAGATAAATTATCCAAGTTTATTGGCATATGTCATTATCCCTCCATTTGCTTCTAAGGTCTTTCGAGTAGTAGACATTGTAGCAAAAGTAGTAGCGGACTTTGAGAAGTGACTGTGCGGGCGGCTGCGTTGGTTGCATCTCACTCTGAATACGAAGCTGTGCTTACTAAACGAAGTTATTATCGTGGCAGAATGAACCCCCCCGACCACTTCCAACAGGGGTCAGGTATCGCAGTAGTGCCGTATTGTCCTTATCTATCTCATCGATCGTCGGTGCTAGAGACCGTCGGATTAGATTTTTAAATTCCTCTTCCATGTAACAGTTCTTGGTGTACCTCGAGCCTTCAGCAAGTCTGTGAATCTTCACATGTTCATCGCGAGGTCGTCACTGGTTGCATTGAGTAAGCGCGTACCGTTAAACTTCACATCCAGATTACCTGATGTTTTGCATCATTGCGCTATGAAACTCATGTCTTCGAGCAAAGTGTCGACGAGAGGTGCTTTTAGTAGTACTATTGGATACAACATGGTCATCAATACCCTCAGCAGCTTCAGCAGCTGTTGGTCATCTTCTCGAGTTAGTGTTAGCATCAACTTGTTAATAGATCCACACCCATCGTCATCTTGCGGGATGTATGCTTGAGCTTGTAATCACCGTCGGCCACAAGAAATTAAATCTCTTTGCAAACCTTCAACGAACGATTGTTAGCACTGTCGGCCGGCATGAATTGCACTTACAAATGTTATGCTCGTGACAAAGTTACTGCCAAATGGAAATCAACCGGCATTATCATCGGTAAGGGGTTGACAACAATTAACCAGGAGAGCGCGATAAGCGAAATGTCGATAACAATTTGCGTGCGGTAGGAATATGGCTCGATTAGTATGGCTTCGGCCGGTCATGACAATTTTGCGGTTATCTTTGAAACGACACCGCAGAATATTAGAATGGTAATGTCCTTCTTGGCGACAAGCGTGACACCTGTGTCGGCAGCTATGGCAGAACACAGCACGACGCGATTCAGCCGATAGACTGTGAACGCGACTAAGTAGGTTTATTAAGAGCCGAAAATGCCAAGCAAGACGCAGTGCGTGTCACCGGTAGCAGCAACGTCCTCTCTTACTCTATCACTCACTACAAAGTGCTACTGTCATTACTATCTCAAATGCCCTCATACTAATCACTACTCGTCTTGGTGATATCAGGATCGTCGATGCGAGTTTCACTTCCGACCTCAGATGGCTGCAACGGCATGACTTCGAAAAGAGTTCAACACTGCCGATAACACACTATCAGACCGATCTTTTGAAACAACAAAACAAAACGCACCAGTCGAGATAATATGTATCACAATGTATTCACTGGGTGAAGCTTACTCTCCACCAGACTGCAAGCGATGGTCTTTAATGACATGCTTGCAATGTCGTCATCAAAGACCTTTTTGAACGTGAAGTTGACTTCGGGTTGACTTCATTCAAATCAACTCAACTTGGAGTCAATTTCACGTTCAAATGTGTTTTCCCACAAGCGACGTCTGACAAAGCTAAATACCGGTTTCTTGGGCGTCCAGGGACCTCCAAACGTTTTGGCATACGACCAGCCCTGTTCATCTCCACGAGTAGAGCAATACTGCCAGCCTGCATCTGTCATATTGGCTGGCGCACGTGGCGCCACTTCAATAAACATAGACGAGGTAGCCGAATCGTCGTACGACGACCACTGACGTCGATCCGACGAATTGGTGGGTTTCCACCCGCTCCCAATGGACCAGCTCTCGTTTTCCCACATGTACACGCGTTGGTCGTCCACTTGTTTGAGACATATCTCCAATAGCAGTGTACTATTGCGCTTCTGGCCAGCGAACTCGCTCTCCAACGAGAGCGGGTAGTTCTCGAGCGTTGAAACCTCCATCTCGTCTGCAAACTTGGCCACAGGCACTTTAAGAATGCCCAGCAGGTCGTCTGCATTCATTGTATCCATGTCAAAGACTTCCACGGTAAGCACCGAGCTCGAGGCGTCGGTTACAGGAAATACGTAGTGCTCTGGAGGGTCCCACACTGGGTTCAACTCGTTCTTAATGCACAGACTGCGGTGCGTGGTACCGTTGAGCTTGAAGATCACGTACGGGTCGCTCTTGCCACCGACAAAGCAAGAGTCGCTGGACGGGAGGTCCGTCGCGCTACGCAGGATCACGTGCAGGAATGGCATTAGCTTTCGGACAGGACTGACGTATTTGGCTGGAAATGTACAAATGTCGATTGTGCACAGTCGACAGTGAGGATATGAACATATATGTATGTAAACGTTTATATACAAGCAAATGTACGCGACGCATTTAGTCTGACTGTTCGGTCTTTGACGCACACGATGCCACAGCAGCACGGGTAGAAGGACGTGATCGTGATATGAAAATTTTCGTGTCGTGTGTCCGGCGACCCTGGTGTCCCCTCGTTTCACTTTTCGTCCTTTACATTGGAAACAACACCAAGGTGACATTGTCATTAGAAGAGATCAGGATTCTTAGAGATAACCTCAATTTCAATGCAGCTTTTATCCCGACAATGCACACACAGCGGTGCAAAGCTTGTGCTTTTGCCAATGCACATGTCAAAGACACGGTACTGTTTGTATCTACCACAGCAATGCCAACATCCTCAATTCAATCGCTAACACTACAGCTCAAGTAACGTCATCCGTGCAATTTATCTTGTACTTTGGCACCAAAAATACATTTCTGTCTATCTTGGTCATCTGACTTACCCGGGGGAATGCTGGTTTCGCTCTTTAATTTCTGCAGTAAGCTACGATTCCCAATGGCTCCTTGAAGTTCGACGAAGTCGAGTAGGGTGAGCATTATTGCCTCAACCGTTACAGTGGTTATCGTCATCGACGTGTGCTGCTACCGCAAAAACACCTTGCAGTCGGAGCTCCTGGTCACGACGTAAGGGTAACCCCTGCGTCGTGAGCACAAAGCTCGAAAGCAGCCAGCAGCGCTAGGCACAGGACGTTTCTCATGCGCGGCACGAGCATCGGGTTCCTGGTGGTGGAGAGCTCGGGTGACACAAGAGGTCTAGCGACGAAACAATCGCTTAGGGATCACGGCGCTGTTTAAACGTCGGATGAACGGATTGACGGCAGGAACAAACCTGTCGCAGTGAAATCGAAATGCATTCCAACGACTACGCTGGTCGTGGAAACACTTGAGGGGTGGCAAGTTCCACTAGGTCCGCCAAAAGCACGAATGCGCTGGATTAGTGTTAGAGTTGTAGACTGGGCGAGATGATGCTCAGCGCAGCCTTGAGATTCAGTGGATAATTCCACTGAAACTCACGGCTGCGCTGAGGTGGTAATATCCACTAATGCCCGATTCAGATCGACAAGGACAAGTCGGCTCAAGTCACACTCGTGCTTCAAATGATCTAGGTATCGCGACTAAAGGAGCTGGAAACGGACTTGGCAAAGGTGTCGCAAATGGAGGTTTTGGATTCGGGCTCAAAAAAATGCTGGTTGTATCAAACGGCTTGCGAGGAGTGGCAACCTGTGGTATGTCGAACTGTTGTACCCATTTTTGTTTGGTGTTGCCCAGCGTCCACTATTTCATTCACTCTTTCTGCTTGGCAATGTGCGCTGCAACATCCTGCTGTAGCCTTTCTTGATGACGTTGGTCTCTGCGTCCTTGTGAGCCTCCAACCGACGACGTAGGTCTACTAAGCAAGGACCCTGCCTTTTGGTCATCCGACTTCTCGTTGGACTTGAGCACAGCCAATGCCACTTCAATCTTGCTCTCACTTGGAGGTGACATCTCCTTACGTGGCTGCATCTTCACTTTATCCGCTTTACTACTGGCAGCGGTTGCCACCGTCGCAGTGTTCTGTCTACTAACAATAGCCTCTTCCTCCAGTCGTCGGAGACGGTCACGTATTTCTTGGACAGCATTGGCCAGCACCAAATCCTTGTCATATCGTTCCTGGACGTCATTCAGCTCACTTTCTACCATTTCCCGACGCATGACACCGTTCTCCCGTTGCATCCGCTTTTTCACAGAGTACAGGTACAGTCCTAATATAGTCCCAGGTCCAAAGGCGAATAACCCGTACAAGAGCTTGCGCCGTGACGACAGCAGATTCCTGTATCACACATACCATATATAGAATTAGTCCGATAATATACTTGCAACTAAAAAGTAAAAGTTTATGTACTCAAGTGCGTCCGGAGGTGCATTCGAAAAAAGCATCTTCACTTTCTCGGCCATGGTCGATGAAGTTTGAAAGTGTCAAATGAACGCTAAGTTCGACCTAGGTTTGGTCCAAGTTCGGATTAAGTTCGTAATAACACCTGGCCTCTACTTTATATTGCATTCATTCCTTTTATCCTTAGACATCGTCTCATTGTAAACTGCATCATTGTTAAGACGCTGGACACTCCCTGCTAGACTTTTAGGTTGTTGTTAGCACGACACGCTTACCAGTGTGCACTTCCGTCGCACATTTTATCGCAGGAGTGCATTGTCGTCCATGGGATATCGCATGCACACGGTCTGCTACCCGCTACACAAAGTGCTTCTTGTACGAAAATTCATTAGACACCCACGGTGCACCCAAACTACCCGAATTGACAACCTCGAGGGTCTTGTTGCGGATCTCATCGGCCGCGGCGCGGCTAGCGCCACGAAGCCAGATCTCAAAGCGGTAGTTGTTACCCAAATCCTTTCTATCCTTCGTGTTATTCTATAAGTGCAATCAACAGTAGCAAATATGTTAGCCCAGGTGCCAACACAGGTGTCCATCTGCGACAGCGACATACATTACCTTGTGGATGACTCGAACACCTGTTACTTCATTGCCCGGGTCCATCAGTTCACCAATGGCACCTAGCACTAGCTTTTCCCAGAACTCATCCAGCTCCTCCGCCCCCACCTCTAGCAAAAGCAAATTCATCAGCGCAACGCCGTTACTTACACTGATTATCGTCACACAGGACTATAATACAAGACTCCATTGTTTATACCTTTCCGAATGGACCACTCGCCACCATTTTTGTTCTCCGGATCCTCCCACTCGGGCACAATGCCGTCCTTAAAGACAGCAAACCCCTCCACTGTTCGATCTGCGAATTTCTTTCGAGTAAAACCGTCGAATAGCGCCTGACTATTGAAATTTTAGCCATTTACACCATACATTAGATGACATCAACACGTCAATATTGCAAACTAAAGGCCAATAATTAACAGTCAATTCACCTGGGTGATGGAATATTGTTCCAGTAGCCCCAGAACTCTTCAACGGTGCTGAAAGTGCAGAGTTTAAAAAGTTTGTCAGCATATGACATGTTCTTCCCTTGTTCACGCTGCTCCCATATAGCCCAAGGCTCGTTGAGTTCATGCTTGTCTCCAGATGCCATCGCGTACCGACGTATCCTGCTTGTCTAAGGATTGAGGGGTCTGTTAGTGTCAGTCACGATTTACTCAAAGCGCATTGGTTAAAATTCACATCGGCTAATCATCAGATCGCACATCATGTGGTGTATTCAACATAACACAAATTTTTTGCGCTGCACCAAAACGGCTTTATACTGCACAACGTCATGTGGGTCGCTGCTTTTATTCGCCCGAGTACTGCGGCTTGCGCTTCTCCTTAAAAGCCAGTAATCCTTCAATGCGGTCTTTGGTCGGGATCACCTGCGCGTAACAGGCATTCTCGATAGCCATACCAGAGGAAATATCCACTTCATAACCTCTCATTATCGCTTCCTTCGCCATGCGGACGCCAAGAGGTCCATTGGGCAGGATCTCACGTGCAATCGCCAGTGCCTTGTCGTAGGACTTTCCTTCAGGTACAGCGTAATCAACAAGACCAATCTTCTCGGCAGCTTCGGAGTCTAGACGACGGCTCGTGAAGATGAGCTCCTTGGCCTTTGAAATTCCTGTGCGTCACCAAGATAAAGATAAGCAAACATTATTACGAGTCTCTCAGGACAAAAGCTGTCATACCGATCAACCGAGCTGCACGTTGGGTACCACCAGCTCCAGGAAGGATTGCCAGGGACGTTTCAGGGAAACCAAGGATCGCCTTGGCTCCAGCAATGCGGAGGTCACAGGCAAGTGCAATCTCCATCCCTCCACCAAGGGCTGCTCCTTCTATGGCAGCAATTGTCGGCATTGGAAGTTGCTCCAGGTCAGTAAACCCCGTACGATAACTACGGGAAGTTGCCGCTGCCTACATAAGTACGAACAATAGGGCATTAGCTTTGATATCCCAGTCACGCGTTCATCATCTGGGATTTCATCTCACCTCCTGTGGTGTCATACCCAGACGTTCCTTCAGATCTGCACCCGCGCAAAACACTTTAGGAACAGCACTTCGCATGATCACAACGCGGACTTTAGGGTCATATCGGACCTGATCCAGTGCATGGCGGAACTCGGCCATGAACTGACGACCCAGTGCGTTGCGTGCCTCGGGGCGATCCATCGTGAAGAGCGCAATGCCTGCATCCTTACCGTTTAGCATCTCCACTTTAAACTGCGTCGCTTTCGTGCCTGTACTTAGCCAGCGAACTTGAAGCGCTAAACGGCATGATTTTAGTGCCGTCATCAGCATATTCGTCGATAAGGAAGTGGTTAAATCAACTTCAAGTAAGCGCATCCAAAAAAACCGAAATTTAAATTAAAATACGGTAGAACCGGTAATGGCTTGTAGTATTTGTATAAACCGAATCTTACCGGTTCCCGTGAAGCATGTACCAGTTCGCTTCAGATGAATGGCTGAGGTGCACGACGCTGGTCACCATTTTGTATTAGAACATTTCATTTAGCAAAGTCGTTAAAGTATGGGAGCTTATAAGTACCTCGAAGAGCTTTGGAAGCGCAAACAGTCGGATGTGCTGCGCTTTCTGCTGCGTGTACGTGCTTGGGAGTACCGCCAACTGCCGGTCATCCACCGCGTGAATGGACCCACCCGTGTAGACAAGGCTCGACGTCTCGGATATAAGGCTAAGCAGGGCTTCGTGATCGTACGTGTTGCCGTGCGTCGTGGTGGCCGCAAGCGCCCGAATTCGAAGGGTATTGTGTATGGTAAGCCCAAGCACCACGGTATCAATGAGCTTAAGTTTGAGCGCAACCTACGTTCCGTGGCCGAGGAGCGCGCCGGCAACAAGTTTACGAACCTGCGCGTTCTTAACTCGTACTGGGTCAACCAGGATGCGACGTACAAGTACTTCGAAATTATTATGGTAGACTACTCGCACAAAGTCATCCGTCGTGACCCCCGTATCAACTGGATCGCTAAGGCTGTGCAGAAGGGCCGCCAGCAGCGTGGTCTCACGTCGGCTGGTCGCCAGGGTCGTGGTTTGCGCAAACGTGGCCACCGTGCCAACAAGATCATCGGTTCGTCCTTCCGTCAAAACTGGAAGCGTCGCAACACGCTGTCGCTGCGTCGCTACCGATCGTAGATATAGTGCTAGCTATCTCTCTACAACTCTGGTCGATAATTTCCATAACAACATGTTGAATACATGGGACTTTGCTGTCAAGACTGGTGTCAGTTTTTCAACGTTATATTCACTATTAGCTCCTTTTGTGTGTCAAGTTGAGCCAAGCCCTGCATCATAGGAATACTCAAAAGAGCGTTATCGCGGTAAACTGCATCTGTTTACTTGCCCTTGGGACGCAAATCTTCCAGCGTCTGGCGAATCTGCTGCTCCCGTTTCTTCTTATGTTGCTCGTAGCGCGCGGCCATGTCCGGCGCGTCAAACAAGTTCTTTAAACTCTGCGGCACCGAGTCAATGAGGCCTGTGCCAAAGAGGCCCCACTTGCGATTAAAATCATTCGACAGCTCCGGGTGCGTCATGCGGATGCTGGCGTCTGCGAATTCCTGTGGGCGCTGGAAGCGAACGTATGCCATCATAGACACGGCAGCCACCGTCATGCCCGTGACGGCCGATAGCGCCACAGCGCCGATACTAATTCGTGGACGACCCATGTGGACGGGTATGGGTAGATTCAACAGTTAGAAACGATGCAATCATTTTAAACATTTCTATTGGTATCAACAGAAAAAGGGAACGAAAAAAACGGACTTTTAACAAAAAAGTACCTAAAAAATGGAAAAAGCGTTTCGTAGTTGCCAATGCGTGAGCTATTGCGAGGAAATGGTGAGCTTTATAACTTGAAATACTCAAATGTATGGGCAATAATTACGACAAATTGACGTTATATGGAAAAATGTGCTGTAGAATGCTAAGCATCGCAAGACAATGGAAGATACTATTCGAATCGTTGACGGATATCTACAAAATCCACAAAATGGGTACTTTGCTATCCACGACGGACACGGGGGTATACAGTAACCAACACTTTGATTTTTTGGATGGTTGTAATGACTGACTAAGGAATTGATTTTATTGACATGAGGTCGTGCCGTGTCGACGTATTTACAACGAGTGCTGCATGAGAACAATGCGACAGAATTGCAATTAGCTGACGATGATAGCACTGTGGAGCAGTGTATTGAACGGTAACAATTGGTGTTAATTGAAGGTAGTGTGAGGGTAGCTGACTGTGTGTTGCTGCAAGTGGCTACTTGATGTCAGACATGGAGTGCTGTCAGGGGTCGGTAGGTTCCACGGCAGTGACGGCACTGCTTTTAGAGGAAAAGGGCGTCAAGACCCTCTATGTTGCCAATGTTGGTGATAGGTAGGATGATGTTATTTAGAGACCTGAGGATGCAGGAGGTAGTGCTCATGTTGGTGAAATGCTTCTTGCAGTCGTGCTGTGATGAGCTACAAAGGAAAAGCGATTCGGCTTTCAAAAGTACGAGATTGTATTGTTGTTAAGTGCTTGATCAGAATTGAATAAAGAGTTGTTTACGGTGTCTAGGATCACAAGGCTAGTGAGCACAATGAGATAGAGCGGGTCATTCAACGCGGTGGCTTTGTCATTCAACATCGAGTGTCTGGATTGCTGGCAGTCTCCCGGTAACGTCTCTTCCGACCTTCTCAATGCATTCGTGGTGCGACATACTTATATACAAACAACATCGATCGCAGGAGCTTCGGGGACCGGGATCTCAAACAGTTTGTCGTCGCACGGCCGTACACCAGCGCGACACGGTAAGAATATTTTTAACAGAGGTCACGGTGAACGCCATCGAAATCTGACACCACGCCGCATATCTCCTGGGACCTATTCTTCAGAATAGTACCTGCGACCGACTATTCGTTCTTCGTGTTGGGATGCGACGGTGTGTGGGATGTTCTTAGTGACCAAGAGGCTGTGGACATGGTGGGATCTCTACCCATTGCCCAGCATTACCAAGCTGCGCAAATTCTTGTTCATGAGGCGCTATCAAGGGGTAGTGACGACAACGTTACAGCCATCGTGGTCTTTCTTTAGTCTGCGTTAACGTCAAAGTATGTAGACGACGCTTCAGTTTTGTTATGGTGCGCTAAAATGGGAGCAGTGTTAGGCATCCAAAGGCAGGTACTAGGAGCACCAACTCGATCTGTCTCACCACTAGTGTGATGTGTTTTTGACGCTCTCTGTCTTGCTAGAATCTCGAACCACTGCTTACCATCATTGGCACGTTTTTTCAGATTAAGCGTGAAACAAGTAAACTACTTCACTTGACATTGAAAAGCTATTGGATTAGATCACAAGTTACTCGCTGCAAGATGAGCTTACAAAAAAATCACGAAGACCTTGTCGCGGTGACATTAGTCACTATAGTGCTGTCAAGGCTGATCCTCGTAGTCATAAGACCATAGACCATAATTGGATGTGACCACACTACCACTCATGAAACACAAGTGTACCGATAACGTCGTGTAGCATGTTGTTGATTGGAGTCACGCCCAAGAGATATGACTGCACCGGTGAGCTTGCCGTGTACGAAATGTCAGAGAAGATGCCAGCGAAAAAATGGTGCGCAATGACCTGGTATACCACGCGCTTGTACAGCGAGTCCCAGAGCTCTCCGATATACTTGCGAATGTTCGCACGTTCAGTTGTCTCTTTCTTGATGAAGTTATAGGTCATAAGGACGGCAGGAGTCGTCAACACAACCATAATAATCATCAGCTTTAAAAAGTGAAGCAAGGAGTTATAGTTTACCACCATATTTCTTGACATTGAAGCAGAAGCCCACCATCAAAAGCTCACCGTTAAGCACCAGAGTCGTGCAAACTGTGTAGATTGCCGGCTGAGTCTTTCCACACTTTGCCATGGGCTCCTGTTGGGCCAACTTGCACACGAATCTGGTTGAGCACACGTCGGACAAGACGTAGCCGAACGCAGCAAAGCACATGAGGACAACGTACTTGGCGCCTTGGCTAGTAGCATCGTAATTGATGCGTTAATTGATTTTCGGTATGTAGTCAGCTGATACGACTTCACGGTTTGCAAAGGTTAGCGTAGTATGGCCGGCCAATTGTCAAAGAAGCTATGATCAGCAGCACTCCAATGCAAGTAGCCCAACAACGATAAACACGATCACCATACATAGACGACAACGGTACTCCCAAATAGGAAAACAGTCGGATATGATACCGTAAACGATCTTGAAGGAAGAACGACCAGCTCCTTGGCAGCGGCAACCTGCGTGCCGCTACAATTGAGGCACTGCTTCCTAAACGGGTAAATCGTTTTGGGAAGCATGCCGTAGAGGAGACCGACGGCGGCAAATGGAAAGAGCAGACCCATGTGGTCCCGGCTGGTGGTCAGCTTGGACAAAACCAACTGGACGCACGGCACCCCCATCTAGCGGTTCAGCGGTGCCATCAGGTGTTGTTTTTACTTCAGTATAGCTGTCTGTATGCAGGTCTTCCTTTTTCACGCTATCCTTAATGCTTTGCTGCAGGTCGTGCACTTTCTGGCAAGTTCCCCGAGGCCAAAGTAACTGCTTTAAGTTTAGCACAACGAACGAGCTGATATGCTTCCTACCCTAAATACGAGCTGATATGCTTCCTACCCTAAATACGAGAAACGTCGTCTGCTTTATGGTGCGTGCAATGGTAGGCAGCACGGAGTTCTGTGAAGAGGCTTAAATTCCGTCGGGAACGAGGGTCTGCCGTATTCAAGTTTTCTGCCGAGCAAATTACTACCAGGACTTAATAAAACCCCTACTGATATTGCAAAACGCCCAGACAAAAATGCGGGCACTAATCTTGTCCACCTTGGTAAACTAGTAGTCACCAAAAAGTAGCCATCTTTCACGTCACGCAACAAGTTCAACTTTTACATTTCGTACAAAACTTTCGCGTCCTTGTACCATTCAAGTGGTACATCTGAACCACCTAAAGCTACTTGTCACGGGTTGGCATTCCTCAAAAGCCTGAAGCGGCACTCTTGTTTATTTAAATGAGGCATCCAAAACTCGCTTCTGAGACCGATGCGCTCTTACGTAATAGAAACGCGTATGTTATGTCTTCTATCTTGTCATTTACTAGTTCTTTTAACTCATGTTGTGCTAATTTTACCTCCTTCTGCGCCAAATATCTTTGCTCTAGTGACCAGTTTTCCAAGTTTGACGACAGACAACAACGTAAAAGTCAAAGACCTTGTCACTATAGAAAATGCTTGTTATCCTTGTGCAATTGCTTCCGAGCGTTCATTGCAGGGCCATGTTCCGGTCTTGTGGTGGCAATTGCAGGTCTTCTAGTATTGGTGGGTATTGCGTGCTCTACCATTGCATTGGTCGGGAGCTACAGTGCAGACGAGTACTTGTTTCTTGGAGCTATTGCTTCCGGAGCCTTTACGCTGGTGATCATCGTGGCATTTCTCATGAGTCCTGCAGTACGGGCACACCCGAATCCACTTATCTTTAGTAAAAGTCTAGTGGATTTGTTATTGGCCATGATTTATGTGGCGGAGTACTGCGTGACCGAGCTCTCGGACTCTGTCGCGCTGCCGTTCCGCATCGCTGCGGTCACGCAAGCTCTGTTGATTGCAGGCGAGTTTTGGTTCTTTGCTATTCCCATTGACATGGTGCAGTCTATTACAAATCCGTTCACGTCGTACTCGCACAATTTTAGAGTCTATTGGTTCTACTCGGTGCTGAGTGGTATTGTGTGTGGGTTTGTGCTGTGGTCTCTCGGTGATGCAGAGGCTGAATGCATTACAATGGACGATAAAAACCCAGACTGCGTGAAAGCTGCCAATGACAGTGAGCAGCGGTTTATCTGGTTCCACCACAATACAGACATGCCGGGCTTTTTCTGGCATCAGTGGATCCTGTATCACGCGTGTGTTGTCGTGTATCTGATCTTCGGTCTCGCATGCATGGTGTATGTTCGAAGCCGATTACGTCGTGGATTGGAAGAGACGTTTGAAGTGCGACGTCGTGTACTGTCCAACGGAATGCTTACATGCGCAGTATTCATCTCGTGGTCGTTCCTGATGATCTGTCTCTTTGCGATGGCGAATACTGCAACAGTAAAGTCCGTGCTGGGAAAGACTCTGTTTAAAGAGCTTATCGACCTGAGTGCATTTCTGCACGCCTCCCGTGGGTGTGTCAACATTATCGTCTGGATTGTTGTCAATGCGCCGTATTTTCCTTCGATAAATCCCGATGACCCTGCAGATTTGACGTTCCCGTTACTTTTGGAGAATGGATCGGTGATGCAAGGGTCGTGTACTCGTAGTAATGATAGTTTTGAGTGTATTGAGGCATGCAACAATCCTGACGATTCAAACAAGCATGAAGAGAGACTAATGAATCCGCAGCTTAATGTGGCATTGCGGAAGCAGATGATTTACATGGCAACGAATGGCATTATTGAGTCGATACAGCACCATCACCGAATGCGGCGAGAAAATGGAAACAACCACACGTTTCAAATGGATTGGCAACGATCTCCTCAACGAAGAATGAGGCAGCTGCTGATGTCCGCGTCAATCAGCGAAAGTGTGGGGTCGATGACGATGCCTCCGAGGTCAATGCCGATGTTGCGCGAAATGAGAAACTCAACAGTGCGAGTTGTCGAGGAACCACGTGACAATCCTAGCAATATGCGCTTCACGTTCATGCCCATGGCTTTGACGGAAATGCAGTTCTACGATTTCCAGCCGCGTGTGTTTGCATCCATTCGCCAACTGTATGGTGTCAATGATGCCGAATACATCTTCGCGTTCCGTTCCACGATTAATGAGCGGATTAGCGAAGGCCGAAGTGGCGCTTTCGTTTTTAACACTTGCGACCGCAAATATTTGGTCAAGAGCACTACGTCGAAGGAAAAGGATGTGCTGCTTAGATTGCTGCCTACTTATCTACGCTACCTTAAGTGGAATCCAGGAACGCTCTTGCCTCGTTTCTTCGGTTTTCATGCTATGAAGATGTACGGTCAGATTTTTTATTTCATCGTGATGGGAAACTTTTTGAGCACAACGGAAGTCATTCATCGCAGATACGATATCAAGGGATCTTGGGTAGATCGTAATGCCCCTGCGTGCGTTTTGGGTGAGAAGTATCGCTGTTCAAAGTGCAACAGGTTCTTTACATTCGGAGGTGCTCCTGGAGAGCCATGCTTTTTGCCCGGCGAAGAGCACTACCCCGACACTACTCTACGAGACAATGATTTGAAGAAACGGCTGAAACTGGAGCCCGGTGCAGCGGCAAAGCTTGTGACGCAACTTACTCGTGATAGTAACTACCTCGCCAGCGCCGGCATCATGGACTACAGTCTTCTTATTGGCACGCACTACTCGTATTTTACTATCACAACGGAATACAAGCAAGGAATCTCGCGTCGAAAGTCGGTGGAACTCACTGTGCACTGCGATGACACGCATGAGCAAAGAAGTGATGTCGATTTTCTCCCTAATTTGTACGAGAATCGCCACTCTACAAACGAGGATGATATCATATCCGAAGACACGAGGCCGTCCGAATCTTCCGATGCTTCCAGTGAAACCTATCTCTCTGATCTTTCGCCGGACCCGGCTCCCGTCGAGCGAGTTGTGTACCCTGATAGTCACGCATACAACGCACACCAGGTTTCTGGCCCGAGCAAGTACTATTTCGGCCTGGTAGATATTTTGCAGGAGTGGACAGTCACGAAGCAGATTGAGCGTGCCTACAAGGTGCGTGTGTTGCGAAAGTCGCAAAGTGGTGTTTCTGCGATCCCACCAAAGCCTTATGCTCGACGCTTCCAGCGCAAAATGAAGCAATTATTCATCACGATGCCGATGCACCCGCTTGATGCTTTGGAAAATGATGACGCAACAAGCGATATTCGTGCACATGTAGTGTAAAACTACGGAGGCAGAAGCGGGTAAGCGATTACCATTCGCATTTGCTCGTTTAAAATGTAAGTATTTGTCACTTAGACATTCAAACAAACGTATCGGCTTTAAAATGAACCTACTCGATTCAATCCAAAGACAAACAACATCATTGTCATCAATGCGAGACACAATTTTAGTTCCACAATTGTCTCTCCTAAGAACCGCAAAACCCACCTGTATTGGTGACGCCGATGAACGTCGTGAAATGTAGTCCAAACATTGCTTAGACTACATTTCAATAAGGTTCGGTCAAACTCAATCAATTAGAGAAAAAGCTATTGAAAGATGGAAACTCTACACCCAAAACACCTCATTCTTCTGTCCTTGGTATCCAACAACATCATCGACGCTTGAATAAGACCCAAACTTCAATTCCAACCTGTGACTTGTAAGTCGTCCAGCATTTTTCTTCAGCTTGTTGTACAGAGCATACTATGTCGCACGTTTCGTATTGAACAGGTTGATGTAAGGCGCCTCATCCAGCTACCGGTTTGTAGTCCCTCCTACTGACCATCGTCGATACGTTGGCGCTTCGTCGGCACTAGTAATTCGTTGTCAATTCCCTTTCGCTTACTTATCGTCAACGGTGCTTTGCCTTCCGCCGTTCTTGCTTCATCAAGCGCCGTCTTTAAAAATCCGGCACGCGTTACCCCTGCGTCAGTTTTAGCAGCATTAAACCAATCGAGTAAAACCTTGTCATGAAAGTTCTTTCGCAGCACTGGGATAGCTACTTCGGCAAGGTCGGGTTCTGCAAACTTATTTATGCCCTTTCGCATCGCCATATACATGGCCCACGTGTCCCACACTGGGCTGTCGACCATATGGATGCCTGCTTTTTTCAGCCCCAGACGTTCAAAGAGAATCTCGCCACTAGATGTATTTTCCCAATGATCCGTATGGTAAGTCGACACCTCTTCTGCCATTTCTGCCGCTGCATCTTTTGAATGCACCTCAAGAAGCTTTTTCGCTAGCGCTGCGTCACTGTAGTGCTCCAATAACATAGTTACCAATGGCCCAAGTGAAAAATCGCCTGTTAGCTGCAAATGAAGCTCGAGATAGTTTTTGAGTAACGGACTGGCCAAAAATGCGCGTAGATCAGCCTGGCCAACTGATAACATTTTAAAAGCGTCCTCATTGAGTTCGTGACTCAGCACCAAAATTCTTTCCAAATTTGCGGCAATTTGTTTCGTAGCTGGGTCATTCTTTGCGGCCTTTAACATGCTAGCCACCATCTCTTTCCCGTTCTTAGTTACAAGTTCTGTAAGCTTCACTATGGCAGCATCTATATACTCCTCCTTAGTCGTATGTCCCATAGAGTTGACCCATTCGAGCAAACGGGTGCTCTTGAGCAGGCTTTTCACGTTCTCGTCAACTTCAGGAATCGTAGCCTTAAAATTGTCGCCAACTTTAGGGATCAGCTTCCCGTCAACTTCAGGTTTAATCTTCAATACGTTTAATAAATTATCGGGCAGAGCCGGGAGGTTTAAATCAGGAACACGCACTCTTTCTTCGTCATCGCCGTTACCTTCCTCCGATGTAGATGAGCTTGGCCTTAATTGTCGATTCTCTCGTGTGTTTTTCGGTGCATGCTGCGAAGCGACCATCATCTTTACCATAGTCTGTGGACTCCATATCAGCACAACAACTGTTACTAGCACCATGTACCAGAAGAGATGCTTTACTTTCTTAATCGAGCAGGCCATTTTCAATGGAGTCAATGTAGTACTGAAGAGCTGGAAGCAAATAACAAAGTGAGAAGGCACGAAGCATTCTCGTCACTACGACGAGCGACGATCAATAGGTTTATATGCAAATCAAATCGACCACTTGAAAACCAGTCGGGAAAGCTCGTGCGGGAGTCTAAGTGGATGGAATTGTGCAAGCGAGAGTCCAGCCGAGAAAGTGCTTGGCACGCGGACGACTTTCCAGTAACAAGTCGTGGACACCTAACTTTGTCTGGGCTTCCTTAAACTAAAGAGAATCTTTGCAAGCCCTGAATTACTTGTGACTACTGAGAGTTGCAGCAGCATACAGGTTGAGACCGTCACGGACATTGCACGATAAAGTTGTTCACAATGTAGTTACGGCTGGTGTCGGCACAGCACAATGATGACGCTGCGTCGTCTATGTGATGCTGGGCCGACTGTGTTTTGGCACCACAATCTTGGACATGAAGCGGATATTGGTAATGCTGCGTGCGACAATTAATGGGAATTGCAAGCTCAACAGTTTTACAAGCAACCGCTTCACTGCTAATGAATGTGAGCTTGTCTTGTTAAGTCCATGCAACACTTATAGACTTGGCTTTGTCGTCAATTCCTCTTTGCAACTCCATCCATGGCAAACCAGATTAACTACCCTATCATTAGATGAGTTATTCGATGCAACGTTGTAAAACATCTCATTACATCGCCTGCCTATTTCGTTTGTATGAATGCGCACATCTCGGCAGTTCCATTCAATGCAGCGGAAGAAAGCCAAAGGCGGAATACCCCTCCTTCCTGCGTGCACACAGGAACCGTGAGCAGAATCTTGGCAGGATCCTGCTTTACTGCAGCACCTCAGCCTTCAACAGCTTCGCATCTTCGAGGCCTTGCTGCCCTCCTGAGGCTTCTTGCTCAGTCGACGCTTATGCAGCTCCGTGAGTACGGGAGGCACTGTTCTTCAGGCCCAGCATCTACCTACTAGACGATCCGAATGCATCAGCGTCGGGCCCATGTTCTTTCCTACACCGATGGTCGCTCGATATTTCTCCTTTCTCAGCAGCACCGGCGACTTCTTCACCTTTCAAACTTTGCCCTTCTCCCGGATGGAACATGGTATCAATTCACAGCATCAGCAGTAGATGAGCGTGAAGGAGTGCTTTCTTTGGTTTGATTTGCTATTGTCGGTGGCGATGTGAGCTGAGGTGCAGCGGTGGAGCCGCTAGTACCGGTGTAGGTGGCACTGTCGATGCTGACGTAAAAGCTAGCGCCGTCGCTGGTGAGAGAAGAACCGCTGCCGGCGCTGGCTGTATCAGAACCGCATCACGTATAGAATAGGTGGCAGCTGACGAGGTTCGGACTATTTTAGAATGCAGACACACACCCTGACACTGTGGCGCTGCCATGATGCGTGGTCTTAGCAAATATGGTCGAAACGAAGACACGTGTGGTATCTCGATACGCAGCTTTCAGATGGCTCTTCATCTTTAACGCTTTACGCAAATTCGTACGAGCACCACCCATTTTAGCGAAATTGTTTCTGCGGACACCGCGAGTTCGAAAAGTCACCACCAAAATGAATTCCAGCAAAGCTATCGATGCACAAGGTTTTACACATTTACGATATTCACGAACGGCACCACTCACTGTCTTTTTCAAGAATCCGGAAGGTAATCAAAGCCGCTGCTGACAATGTTTTGCTCGTATTTGCGTTCCGCAACTGCACTCTAGGTGAATACTTGCAACACCAAGTAAACCCTTTCACCACGAATTCATCTTCTTAGTGACTGTGTTGAGATCGGATGGCTTCTATCAGGTCCAACAGATATACTCCTCACTGGCTTCATTCAACTTATCATCTCACTTTCATTAGCATTGTAATCTTCCTGCTCCATTCTCTTCCACACCTCTCGCTTTCGTCTGCTTTGGATCTCCATGTAGCAGAGCAAACGAAGTGTGTGCTTTGAACAAAGAATCCACTCGCAAATAGAAGGACCTGCGATCATCACGACAAATCCACTACTGCGTCGTTCTAATCGGGTATTCCATCCAGATCCTTTCCTAGCCCAACGGACGATGCTAACATGCAAGCAATGGTAGTTGTTCAGGATGCATGCACAGCAAAAACGTTGCTGTATCCATTGCAAGAGGATGCTGATTATCGGCCTCTGATACAGGACCGATAGGACACTCCCTCGTAAAGCGATCCAACACGATCAGCGCAAAAATGTCTGCTATTCACCGTCATGCCTTGTGGTTAGCTTCGGTGTAATCTTGCCATATTCGTTGCCACTCCATCGTCCCGTTCCTCGTCGGCATTGTAGCAAACTTAGAATGCGCGGTCGCGGATTACGGCATCGCCTCGATCGAGCATATCTCGTCGGCTTTGAGAAGTATTGATGCTTAGGACCTCTAAGAATGCGCTCACTATGAGGCACGCTCATTAACCATGAATCCCCACAAAAACAGCGTTGCTTTCGTCGTAGAGCAGATGTCAGTACCGAACTCATGCGGAATGCTGGGACAGCCGACGCTGCATTGTCCCTCGTCAACGCGCTAGCAGATTGGCGATGGAGGACACGCACAAGTTTACAAAATGCTGACCCAAGATCCCCGACGCGGAGATGTCAACCGATAGCACTTATCTTGGTAGTACGTGCAGGCGAGATAAACACTGTAATGAGGTTTTGTGTAACACACGCAGGCAGCATGTACCACAACAACTCGTTTCAGCAGTCCAGATTGCGAACTGAGTACAATTCATCATTTTCTAATCGTGTTTCCTTCCAGTACACGCGTATCCACAGCCGACTGGTTCCACTCGTTACTATTTCTCACGTTAAAATACACAAACCATTCCACGCACCATTCCCGACCGAAGCCTGTAGTCTTGTTTTCGCTTACGGAATCAGTGATGCACGTCGACGCAGGTTGATCTTGTATTCCCACAACTGCTGCTGTGCGTAACTCGATACATACAGCACGTACATACTGCCCTTGGCGTACATCTTCAAGGGAAATGGTCGACTCGGGTCGTTCTTGGGCTGCGTACTGGACTTGACGATTTGCAACTTGGCCAGGTCCAAACTAACCAGTAGCTCGGCAGTCGTATTGTCAAAGAGGAGGAAACTTGTGTCCGTGAGAACGCCCCAACGCGTCACCAGCGTCTTCCGCAAAGACAAATCGCTCGATGGCGTCTTTCTAGGTGTCACTGGTGCCGGAGAAGTCAACGACGCATTGCTCGACACTTTTCTAGTCCAAAACGAGAACGGCTGTCTCGCCGGCGTGATAACAGGCGGCGTCATAAAAAACTGGCCCGATTTGCACGGCATCCGAGACGAAATGGGCTTAATTTCCAGCTCCATCGTGCCCTTTGAGAAGCGGTGCAGTCCCACGACACACTCGTCCACGGGAAACTTCCATTTTGCCAGCGGTGCACAAATCTTTGTCTTGTTTTCCCATCCGGGCTCCATCGGTATAATTGCTTGACCTAAGAACCGTAACCCACCTGTTTTGGTGACGCCGATCAATGTCGTGACAATGTCACACTTGCTGGACAACATGGGGATGTAGAACCTGTCCTCCCATGTAGGCAGGGTCACCTTAGTGCATTTATTTGTGGAAAAGTGGAACATGAAGGGTCCGAATGGTTTTTTAAGCACGCGTACGTTGCAATAGACCGATAAGATGGTCCGGTAGTCAAAAAGCAGCTCAAGACGTTGCACCCCCGTGATCTGTAGCTCCACAGGGCGTCCGACAGCACTACGACGCATAAATAACTTTGTTCGAGCCAGAAAACAACGCACAAGTCGTTGCATGATGAGAGCGGCAGCGTGACGCGCCACATGTTGATCTGCGGGCTGCAGCTTTTCCTGCTCTGCGAGTCGCCGCGCTTCGGTCTGTTTCGGGGTCGCTTCGCCCCACATTCGACGACTTTGTCCGACTATAGGCGGCGTGCCTGGCATTTCCAGGTCGCGCTCTTGTTCCAATTTGTCTCGTTGAAGCTGCTTGGTGTTAAAAGAAGAAGCAGTAGCGGGCTGTTTCAATACGCGAATATCTTCACTCGGACGACGCGCGGGACGGACACTTGGTGACATATTGAGAAAATATGGAATTGTGCGTGTGGGTCAAGGAGAAGTACAGATTGTGTGCGGCAGACGACTGAAAGTTTTCGTATGACTTTGTTTTCCGTTGGTTTCGTCATGTGCTGAATTGCAATCAACGAGATCGTGTGGGTGGGGTGTTTCTCGACCGACAAAATGGGAATTGTAACTTCTGATTACGATGAGATTGGATAGATGATGTATGGGATGGATGGATTTGCATTGTGGCTGGAAGGGTTAGTCAGTGCTGTAGACGAAGGGAGCGATGTAGGACGACATTCGCGTCTACATTTCAATGACGAGGTGTCGGATAGCCTCCAGAAGTGTCAACATGATGGCATACAATCGAGTATCCTCCATTCAGGTTATTGTGGTAACGTTTTTACGCTCATCTAAACATGCACAGACGGTATCATTCTATCAAGTGCGTGCCCTTTCGGTGAAGTCTACATCGAATACAGTGGTCTACTTGCAGGACCGTTGCGAGGGGGGTCAAACCCCATCAGCTCCTTTTGTCGTCCCCGTCAAGACGATCGTAAAAGTCCTCAAATTCGAATCAATACCACTTCTTGCCTTGCAGTGCATTAAACTCACAGAGATTTGAATCGTCCATTGCGACTGTCGCATCGTTCATTGCGACTGTCGCATCGTCCATTGTCACTGTCGCACGTATCCTATGGGATCCAACGTCTTTGACAAGCTAACGGTATAATTTTGTAGCCTTTGTGCATCAAGAAGCGCCAACGGTTTTTCCACTCCAGTCTGCTCATGATCGTAAAACCTTTTTCAAGGTCTCGTCCCAGTCTGCATTTGTGTTAGCAAAGCAAAGCAAAGTGTCTTTACGCGTAATCCTTCCTGCCAACACTTACTATCCCGTTCGACTTTCATTCCTGAATTTTGCACCATCTGCTACAATCTCCAGTTGGTTCTCGAGTCCATCGTAGCGTTCAATCTCCCTCATCTCCCCCCCCTTTCTTCTTTCGTGCACGTGAGTCCTTACATTTGCCGCGTCTACCCCTCTTTCGTCTTCTCCCTGCTTCTATTTACTACAACAAAAGCGCAAGCCGCTGTCTACTTTTCTCCGTCGACGCAGCCCAAGGAATGCTGAAAGACTGCCCACAGCATCAGTGGATTAATCAACGCTCGCACGAAATTCGGACAGCCTTTTGGTTAACAGAATAAGCTTCTTCCTTTTAGTAAAGTCCATCGACATCTCGTCCTTGAGACGACCATGTCCTACATGACACGCAGCGGCTTGGAAACTCTCGCCAGTGAGAATCTTCGTCAGGTGCTGGATTTTTTAACCATCAGAGAGCAGTTTGCACTGCTAAGTAGTAACAACGAGTTGCTCCATCGTGAACCTTTATCGTTGTCTGTGGTGTCCTATTGCAGACAGTGTGAGGCTTGTAAGAACAAGACGGAGTATCTTTGCAATTGCAAGTACAAGAACGAGTCCAAGGGCTTTTGGACAGCAATGTTAAAGCATTCGACGCCTACAGGACTGATGGAGCTTCGTCTAGCCAGTTGTGAAGGATTTGACGCTTCGGTGCTGAAAAGCTCAGGTGCTCAGGCGGCGTTATCATCTCTCAAGGTCTTGGAGCTCAGTCGATGTTCATCGATGGATGCAGAAGCTCTTGGACTTGTTGCAGACATGTGTGGAAATTTGCGAGAATTGAGATTCCGAGATATGGCAGTGGATCGCCAGGCGCTGAAGAAGTTTTTGAGCAAGAACGCGACCTCGTTGCGGGTCCTAGACTTGTTGGGTTGCCATACAGTAAGCGGGGAAGATGTTTGCGGCATTGCACAGTGCACGCAACTTCGTGATTTGAGTTTGTGGGGGTGTCATAATGTGGAAAATGCTGCGATTGCCCATGTCGTACAGCACTGCTCGCAACTCGAGAGACTGAATTTGCGTTATGCACACAAGGTGGACGACAAGATGGTGGCAGCAATTGCTTCACACCTGCCGCAACTCAAGGACTTGAACTTGCGCTATTGTTACAAGGTCTCGGATGAAGGCGTACGGTCACTTTGTAAATTTCTGCCGGGGCTTCGCTCGCTGAATCTGTCACAGTGCTCGCGACTGAGCGATGCTGCCATTATGCAGGTGGCCGCTTCGATGACGCGTCTCAAGGAGCTGCGTCTTTGGGGCTGCATGAAACTCACGTCGAAGTCGGTGCTTTTTATCTCGGAGGGGCTGCCTGAACTCACGCTGCTGGATCTACGTAGCCGAGACAAGTTTGAGACTGTTATTGGTGGACCCACGGCCCTCAAGTTTCTCATTCAGACTTACCGCAGTAAATTGGCGAGATGGGAGCAGGCACAAGGCGAACAGACTGGTGTGTTCAAACGCCACGCTATCGTCGCTGCAGCAGCGTAAAAGATCCGACTCGGCTGCTGCTCTGGTTCAGGCAGCTCGTCTCTTGGTTTGCAGCCGCATGTTTCTTCTCCTTGACTTGTGTATAAAATGTTTACGGCTTTGAACCTGCATACAGCATCCGTAGCTTTGAAACTGCATACAGCATCCGTAGCTTGTTGTTTTAGCCGTGCCATTCATGCTGAGGGTCCCAGATAGCGATAACGGAAACGAATGCATACCTCTTCTTGAAAGCCCTCTATTGCACCTAGATGAATGAATATAAATGACAAGCCTTTTATTAGCAGACACCATCCAACAGCGCACGCAGATGCAACGGCAGCGAGTGGCGTAACATAAGAAGCGTGTGCAAATTATCGGCATGGAGCGTGCTGGAAGTTGCTGCCACCGAATCATGCAAAAACGCCGCGTTCTCTTCTTCAATCTACAAGAGCACACAATCAAGCTTTAGTAATGCCATCAATCAGCGTTCACAATCTCTAAAACCGGCATACCTTTTTGAGCAGCGTCTTGGTCACTGTGCTGGTCGATAATACTGATAGATCCTCACCATCCAGGTCGTTGGAAACGTCCTTGCTTTCTGCCTCTTCAGTTTGTCGAGGTTGGTTGTGCTTAGCCGCCGACATGGATAGTGCCATGGCCTTGGCCAGCAACATGGCCTCTTCGTCGTCACAGCTCACGCCCTCTGCAGCACTCGCATCTTGGTTTCCGTCACTGTTCGAGGACGCTGGCTCATACGAAAGCTTCTTGTAAAGCAGCAGATAAACCGTGTCCGACACAGTGCTAGTCACCAGTCGATTAATCTCTTTCCAATTGGAGCGCTCGACCTTCGTATCATTGAACTTAATCCATGGAGAAAGAGGTGAGTCCTCCAAATGCATTTGACGCGTGCTTTCATCACTCTTCCGACAGAAACTGTAATAGTGCCCTGAATTAGCTGTAAGCCCCGAGTGAACAAGCACTCCATATAGACCATAATGACGTGACACATTCTGCTGTTTTGCGCATGAAGCGTCACCACTCTCTGCATCATAAATGGCAACCTCTTCTTCGGGAGAAAGCGACGGCAGTGTCAATAGCGCAGGGAATCGTACGTCATGCAGACACTTGCACGCTTTCTGCTGGCTCCAATCGTAAAACATGCGTTTCAGAGTAATAATTAGGTGCTCTGGTGGCTCAAAGATTACTGTGTGCGTCCGCGACTCAGTTTTGCGCTGACAGACGCTACATGAAAGCGCATTATCGCCTCCCAACGTGCGCGTAGCGACGAATCGCGACAACATAGACTCAATGTCGTGGCGCCATACACGCTCCGAGAAAACAAGCTGACCATCTTGCCATTCGGTGCTGTAGTCCTTCTTGAATGCCACGTGTACGTATGAGTTCTTAATGAGTTTCCACCTGCCGCCGGTTACAGCAGGAATCGAACCGGACACTACTTCACTGCTTGAAGGTCCGCCACTGCTCAATGTGATAGCCGAGGCAGCAGGTTTAAAAACACTGCTAAGAGAGCCCTCTACACCACTCCACCACCCATCCAGCTCTGTACCTGTCTCATTCAGGGTCAACTCGAATGGGTAGCTTGCCGGCACGAAATCGTTGATATTTGCGCCAACTCCGCCGGCCATTAGGCCCTCAATCTTCCACGCACCAACAATGGTGTGATTCTTTTCGTTCACCGCCTGTTGGTGCTTTGAGGTGAACATAACTCCACTCATCGATCCACTTAGCTGAGCATGCAGGACGACACCAAAGTTGCCCTCCACCAATCGAGCGTCTTCTAAATCTTCTACGACCGAAAGACTGAGGAATCGACCAAACGCTGGTAATGGGGAGCTCGTGATTTCGTATTCCCCGTTTAGAGGGTTGTCTAGTGGCTTGACAACATTCTTTGTCTCACATTTCGAGAAGCAAATGTGAATTGCCACACCAGTAGTACCTTGGTTCAAGTTAGCTTCCATACCCAGAGGAGTGTGCTGAATTTTTGTAAACCCAGCTGGAAGTGTGTCAGGCCGTGCGCCCGTAGTCCACATTAATGTGAGATCCATCAAACTCTTCGACGCAGCATTTTCACTGTCTGCTACTTCAGCACCGCCACTCCTTCTGAAACAAATGAAAACAGGCACGCCCGATGTGCCGTCGTTCAAGTTTGCAGAATACCCCGCTGGTGTTGTGTCAATACATGTGTAGTGTTCCGGGACAGCATCAATCTCGCCGTAAATTACGCAGATGTCCGTAATGTAGCCGCCGACCGGTGCCTCCTCACGTTTTAAGGCTACATACAACGTGTGGGGTGACGCGGTCTGAGCCAGCAAATTTCCTGAGCGACCAGAACATGTCTCTCGAACAACCTGGACACCTTCTGGTACGCGCTCGTCGCCACGTAAGATTATAATTTGCGAGATTGGCCATTTAGTCTTACACATTCTCGAAATCTGAATGCCATGAATCACAATAGGTCTTCCTCTTCCATCTCCAATTGTTCCAGTAATAATATACGATCGAGCTGGTGCTCCTTGTGACGACATATCTCCCGCAGTATCCAGAGCATCGCTTACACCATTGGGTGCAGGCCGCAACTCCACATCGACAAGTTGTGCATTTGGCACCTTTGCGTTCTTCCAAGAACCTAACACACGATATACGCTAGGAGCAACGTTGCTACTCACACCTCCATCCGAAGAGAGATCAGCAGGTACAACAGACTCCGCGGCTGCGGCAGATCCTGCTGCAATCGAGTCCGACCATGTCGAAACGCGAGTTGCAATGCAAGACAGCTCCCCCTTATCGTCTAATACTCCCTTCACAAGTAACGCATCCAGTATTGACTCGGATACAGAGCGCATCCGCACCGCCCTCCGCCCGCGGTCTGTTTCTTCCGTCCCCATCCAGTCACCCTTAAATCGTGCAACAGCATCCGTAAAAGAGCTTTCATCTGGGAAAAGCTCGATTACCTCGTAGTCATTGTACTTAGGTACCTGGCGGGGCGCACGGAATACATCGATAGCAAAAATGGGGTTACCATGGCCACGACGAATCATTAGCTGTGCTGGTACAAATGGCTCGCTATCTGTAGAAGGCTCAGTAAGTGGTACTGAAGAGAGTGGACTTCCGATTGACTGCCATCCTTGTACCTCGTATGCAGACACAGCACTGCCTTCGACAAGTTTTAAGTCGGTCAGACAAGGTTCATTTCCCCCAACTTTTAGTGCCAGATACTGTTTTACCGCATCTTCATGGCTAATATTTAGTAGATGATCCAGCATTCGATATCCCGGTATTCCACTGTTGACGATTTTCAAATCCGTGATTGGCATATCGCAACGATAGCACAAGTATGCCTTACAGCCTTCGCCCTGGTTAAGGTCCACTTGGATTTGCTTGAATCCATCGGGAATAGACTCGTTGCCATAGATCACTTGCAGATCAGTAATGGGCGATCCATTCGGCTCGCGGCGGAAAAACAGATAGACTTGCTTCTTTACGCCAGCAGTAGCACCACCGCCAACATTAAGATCTAGCTCGACACGCTCAAATCCTGACACAAAAGGCTTAGGGTCGGTACTTAATGCAACCTTTACCACCAGTTCCGTAATTGCCATGTCTCGTTCGCTATCAACCCCCATCGAACTATCGGTAGTCGCACGTTCTGGACATCTCTTTACGCACAAATACACATATGGTGCGCCCGTGCGATCCTTGTTCAAATCAGTGTTCAAGCGTTCGTAGCCCTCTGGGGTATGGATATCCATCGAAGATCCGCTCACTGCGGAAATGCTGGTGATAGGGGTATAACGAAGATCAATCATGTTTAGCAACAATTCCCAAAAGTATTCCCGATTGACTGATTTTTTGCCGCACGTCTTGCACGCCAAAATAGTTGCTTGATAACCACCAAAAATTGATGGGATGTCGTCCGAAGTGTCTTCATGCTGGCTCAATTGTTGGCTAAGAGACTCAATCAGGAAATGCGCGAAGTCCGAGGTGTCTTGCTGACGTCCGTTTTTATACTCGGCAGGTAAGCATCGCTGTAGTGCGTGCGTGGACAGGTAAGGCCTCTGCGAAGAAGTCATCTGAGCAAAGAGATCTTGGACCGTTGCTACAACGTTTTCACCTCTCGTTCCGTTATCTGCATACGGTGCCGAGTACTTTTGAGCATCGCATGATAGTATTAAGCGTCGGAAGTCTTGAGTCATGTAAAGAGTTTGAAGGAAACTGTTCTGGTAGCACACGTTTGTCAAATTCTGCTTCATGTTCACCATACCGGCGTAATACGGCTGAAGCTCATTCGGCTTTTTCACCGGGTCTGTCGGGGCTAGTCCACGAAAGTCCGATGCGTAGGGAGATGCAAGACACTTCCAGTCACCCGACCCATCGCCACGATACCATTTCCCGTCGAACCGAGAGGCTGTTTTGTCCCAGTAAAGCGTACATGCATTAGATTGAGATTGGCTAGCTTTCTTAAACCTTCCATCAAGTTTCCATGTTCCTTCCTCCGTCAGTCGAGCAAGTCCACTCAGTTTTCCATCCTTCTCCACGTAGGTTCCGCGTATATACTCACCCACAAAACTGTTACCGAGCACAACATGCATCTTGCCTCCAGTTGTTTCCCACACCGAGTCGTTCCTGATGTCAATTTCGACCAGATGGCTGGATGCGAGAGCTGCCGTGCGCTTGTACTCGTCCAGATACTTCACATTTTTAAGCTTAGAAGCAAGCAAATCCACGGCAGGTATAGAAGTAGCCGCTCGATTCTCTCCATCCATATCCATACTCATCGGAGAAGACGTAGGCGTAGCATCAATCTTAGGAGGAGGCAAGGCAAGCACCACTTCGGAGGAGTCTACGGCAGCAGCAATAGGAATCTCTCGTACCGTTGCGCACATGTAGCAAGTTGCATCTGAAGCCTGGTTTTCCATCGTGCATGCCGAGCAATTCCAAGAGCCAATAGGTTGTATCGCCATTGGGTGATCTTGTTTTGCTGCATCTTCCGCCGCGTAGTAAAGAGTAGTGAGTCCGTTGTCAGGTTTGTTCTCTTTATTGACTTCGGCAACTTCAGGTTCAGCTTGCTTCGCTCGCGGGGTGTCACAAACGGAGCATGTCGTTGCAGTCGCATTATTGAACATTGTGCACGCTTCGCACGACCAATCCACCACAGGCTTTGACTGTTTGGCCAGCGCTAATGCTCTGGAGGTAGACTCTGATGCTGTAGAACTGGCATCAGCATTCAGCTCAGGCGCATTGTTGCCACAAACACTGCATTGCTTGAGGTCTATACTGTTGACCACTGTGCACTTGCTGCATTTCCATAAAGATGCGTTCACTGGTCGGTTAAGCTTAAGAAAATCCGAGGCTAGAATAGCACTGTTGCATTGGCAAAGCCCAGTACCACGGACATGGCAAGCGCAAGCTGTCGTGGTCACGCCTAGCGCAATTAGCTCGTGATCTTCGTGGCATACGGCAGCACAGACCCGACAAATGCTATAACCATGCACCAAATTGCACGTTTGACACCCATATGATTCTTGTGCAATGGCACTGCCATCTGTGCTTAACCGGGTGCACATAGTGGTCTCATTCTCACTGTTCATTGTACAACTGTCGCCATTTGAGCCTTCTCGTTGAAGAGAAGAATAAACTTGTCCCAAAACTGAAGTCGCGCCGTCATTTAGCAAGTTCGTATGGATCGATTCGAATGTCCACTTCATCAACCCCGTTGTGGTTTGTGGGCTAGATGAGCCCTTGTGCGCAGGAAAAATTAAACCTGCGCGGACCGGACCGCCTGGCTCCATACGAAGTGCAAGCTCAAGATCTACCGCAACTTCGAACACCACGCCAACGCCGCCGATAGCAACTGATAAAACACGCGCTGGTAGCTCGTACTTAACTTGGATATCGGACGGAGAGGTAGAAGGCCCCCCAGCAACACAAAATACGCGGGACAAAGGATTGCCCTGCTTTTTCGACCAAATGTTCAGCCCCAACTCGTATAATAGAATCCCCGGGGCTACAACATCGGAGCTAACATTGATCAACACTGCAGAGCCATCGAAATGCTGAAGTGATGAGCCCCCATCATCACCAGCAACACGTGTTGCTTCAGACAACAGCGGAACAAAATCCCAGAAAGTGGCTTCACATAGTGCAAATACGACGGTTTTACGCAAAGACGAATTTTCACCTGAGGCTGGGGGTGCAATTGATAGCACTGACTGAAAGCCGCTCGCGATACAAACAGCATTCTGGCGCCATAAAGCGGCCCCACACTCACCGCAATCAACTCGAAGTCCGCATGCTCCTTCACTTGAGCCGTCGGGTAGAGAAAACTTGCCACTACCGAGAAAATCGCTTCCCAGGGATACAGCAAGTGCATTTTTCACGGGGATAGTGTCTGCTGGGGTTGCAGGAGCAAAATTATGAACCGATAATATTTCTGCATCATGGATACCATCAGCTGATTGATACCCTGCGAAGACGCAAGCATGGTTTTGATATTTCGATAGATCCATCAATAACCGCTCAGAATCACCAACAAGCGGGTAATATCCCACAAGATGCCCTTCTCGACCAGTTAATGCATTCCAAATGCTCCAATTTTCATCAAGTTTGGAGAGCTGCGTCGACCAAATGCGCAAATCGAGTATCTGACCATAGAAACAGCTCGGCGCTTTTTCTTTTTCGTTTAAATCACAGCTTTCGAAGCTGCCACCGATAGTTAGCAGGGACGCTCCTGGGGCAGAAGGACCGGCCTCATCAATTTTTGCAGTTTCACCTGCCACCAAGTCATTGACCAGAAGCACCATCCTATCTTGACCAAATGAAAGTGTCACGTGGCAAAACACGTCAAATTGCACAGTGTCGCGAGACGTTACAGCATATCGCCCTCCAGCTATCTGCCACACCAAATATCCGGCGCTTGTCAATAATAGTTCAAAATCATGGTCATTAGCCAGCACGACTTGAGTTTCGTCTGCTGAAGGCAAACATTTCGGGCATATCCACACTTGAACAGTAAACTCAGTTTGATCTGATGTTGATATCAATGTTCGCTCCAGCACCAAAGTACTGGCTGGGTTGCCTTCTGGAGAAAAAACAAAAGCTGGTAAGTCGGCAGAATCCATCATTGCATTATTTGCGGCTACTAGCGACGTTGCAAGGTCAAAAGAAGTATCAATAACCTGTTTTCGTGCAAGCCATACTCCTTGCTGCTCGCCACGCGACCATCTCATTCGCATAAATGACAAATCCGAGCTAAATACTGCTAAAAACGGCGCAGGGTTGCTTCCTTTGCTACTGTTGGGAATTGTTAGGACACTAGTATCCGCTGGTCGCTCTGTTCCGCACGTCGCGCACTTTGTGACACTACCCTCGTTGTTCATCGTACAAGCTCGACAGTCCCAAGTCGGCACTGAAATCGAACCCATCGGTGCAATTGCTGTTGCAGGAGTGTTTTCGTCATGCAATTGTCTCCAATGTCCCTCAAGTTCCCATGTGGAAGCTTCGATCGTCTCAGGATGTGATAACAATACTTGCATCTCTGGCATTTGCTGGAATAAACATCCTGTTAGCTCTAACGTGTGCTTCAATTTAGGGTCTATCATCGTCGCCTTCATTTCATATGCAAAGCAGTTCGTTGTCTTTTTCAACAACACCGAGCCACCATTGACAGGACCTCCATTAACATGTTGATCACTAGTAAACTCGTCCACGACCCATTTTCCTTCAATAGAAGGAAACATAGCATCTAATTGTTCCGGTGGAAGTATCCACGCACTAGCTCTCAGCAGTCTCTCAGCTTCAGCAGCTGTAGGTCGAGCCACATGAGACCCTAAATTTGCTCGCATGGCTCGACGAAGCGTCATGGCTTCAGCTTCATAGCCTCGATGGCAATGTTCCAGAGCAGCACACAGCACTAGTAATGGATGCACAAGCTTCTTGTTCTCATCACTGTCTTCTGCACTGAATAATTCCGCTAATTTGACAATTTTTGTCACATTTTTCTCGTACAATTCAGCTGAATGCTGAAACCCGGCAAGAACTTGGATGTAAAACTGTAACGCTTGATCTCGTGTGTCTTTCTGCAGTATTTTAGCGTATATTGCGTCCAATAAGTGCGTCGAAACAGCATCTAAAGCGTCCCAGCGCTTGGTCACTTTAAGCCCTTGAAATGTCATTTGCACCAATCGCACGAGGCCGGAACAGTGAAGTGACGGGTGAAGTAACAACACGCGCAATAGACTCAGCAGTTGATTGGTCGAAATGTTGGTACTAGCCAATAATAACGCCAGATCTTTGACCAATGAGAGGGCCTCCTCACCGATGACGTCCCAATAACGTCGCTGCTCTGTGGTCAAGCCCAGTGATGCATCAATATTCTGTATGCAAGTAGCAATGTCCTCAACGTCTGTGGAGGCCACTGCAGCGGCATTTATAGCCACACAAGCGCTTACTAGAGCACGGAAATGCTCCGTCATTACGTCCATACTTTGTTAGAATATTTCTATAAAGTTCTCCCTTAAGATAGATCCTGTCATTTAATTGGTCGAAAAGATCACATACAATGAAAATGAACGATTGGATGAAATACGGATGGAGTATTAGGTTTTAAAGGTTTACGGTACTTCTCTCGTGATAATCTACAGACCAGTCGTCCAAAGTGATCGATCAAGTGTCTGATTCCGACGACGTGTTATGGGTGGGAATAGCCGCGCTACGACACGTCGTGCAAAGAAACGAACGCAAGCGGGAGAAGTGACTGCATCTTGTTATACTGGATCTCTTGTTTCAAGCTCTAGAACGTCTCCGAAGCGTCAGGAACAGAGATTTGATGACAGCGACTTGGACTCGTTGGACGATACGAATCGATCGGTGGTCATCCCGCTACCGTCGCTAGAGGATGGAGATAAAGTAAGCGACTTTGTGAAGGACTTGGAGAAGAAACAGATGGGCAAACGGGCGCGTGCAGATGCGGAGCAGTATGCTGTGGACCAGCGAAAGAAGAGATATAGAGAAGAGAAGGCCGAGAAGATCGTGTGGCGTAAATTTGACCGAGAGAATTGTGCTTTTGAGACGTTCTATGGACGTTGTTTGGGTCTCGAAAGTGATGAGTTTGCACGCTTCTTGGCATGCTTGAGAGAGCCGCTACCGGTGCATCTGCGTGTCAATGGGAATTATACGAGTTTGAGTGAAATCGTGACAGGGACATTGGAGCTGGACTTTAATCTGAAGAAAGTGACAGTGCCAACGCCTGTGGGAGGTGGTGAGATGCAAGTACAATTTGCACCTGAGCCGTGGGCTCCAGAGAAAAGATTGTGGAAACTGTCGGTGGATAGCAAGACATTTCGAAAGATGGAAGAACTGCGACCGCTTAGTACGTATGTGCGTGCTCAAGGATCACTGGGTACACTTCTCCGACAAGACCCTGCTGCTACTGTGCTACCGGCGTTTTTGGATATCCAGCCTGGTCAACGCATTCTGGATCTTTGCGGTGGTGGTGAACATCGTGCTCCTATTGTGAAGGAGTATCTGTGTCCTTTCTCTCCCGCTAGTGCTGGAATTGAGGCCAGATCCAATGCAACAAGCTTGCTAGTTGTAAATGAACGCGACACCACGGCAGCGGCGTCAGCGGTACGGAATTTGACGCGAACACTGCCACTTGCGCGCGAGCTTATCGTGACGACACATAAACCAGAGGAGTTCCCTACTCCGGAGGATGCTGATGCTCTGTTTGACCGTGTCATTTGCTGTGCTCCGTGCTCTGGAGATGGTCTGATTCGCAAGCTTCCGGAGAAGTGGCGTACGTGGAGTCCTGAGCAAGCGCTGGCACGCCATCCCAGCCAAGTGGGCCTAGTGGAACATGCTCTTGCTCTACTACGTACTGGTGGTGTGTTGCTGTACAGCACACGATCGCTGAGCCCGATCGAGGACGAGGCAGTGATAGCTGAGCTGCTTCGCCACTCGAAGGGTGCGCTGGAACTTGTTGATACCAACGAGGTTCTAAAAGGACTGCAGCGCTCGCATGGCACAACCAAGTGGGACGTTCTTGACGTAGCGTCTTGGAACGATGCTCCAGAGCATCAGCGGCATCGTCTCCGTCCGTCCATGTGGCCCCCGACATCTGAAGAGCGTGATGAGATGCACCTCGAGCGCTGTGTCCGTGTGTTGCCTCATCACAACGATACTCACGGACTCTTTCTCGCAGTCATTCGTAAGGTTCGTGAAACCGTTTGTGTTTCTGCTGCTGTAGGACCTGCCCCACCTCCTCCACCGAAAACCAAGGCCAAGACAGCTACGTCCAAGAACAAAAAGCAAGTGAAAGCTGAAAAGCCGTTTGGGTGTTTTGCCACCATTGACAAGAAGCACTTGTCATCAATTCGGTCATTCTTCGGACTTCGTAGCAATTCAACATTTCTGGAGCGCACCGGTATGGCTCGTCAACATGGTGCAGTTCACGTGGTGACGCCTGCAGCTGCAAAGCTCGTGACTTGTCAGCTTCGTGGACGGTTAAGTATCTATCACGCTGGCGTGTTTGTGCTAAAACCTGGAACTGGAGCAGAGACCGTATCCGATAAGCTTACCGATGATGGGGCTCGAGCATTGCTACCTGAGATGAATGCTCGGGTGTTGAGCTTGCCGCAAGATGAGTTTACATCTTTGTTGGAATCACGCGAAATGTGGCTAAAGAATGCTGGAAAACACGCTCGTGAGCAGCTAGCTGACATGACCGAGGGTAGCTTTGCTGTGGTGCTGGATGACATGGAACCTGCTCAAACAGGTGATCGAGATATCGTGCTAACAGCTGTGAAACGGCACAATTCGTGCTCAATCGTGTCATCTCCTGCAGCAATTGCACGTATTAAAGCATTGTTAGAGGAGCTCAATGATGCAGATGGAGAGAACGAAGATGGCTACAGTTCATTTGAGTTTGAAGACGAGTGATCATCCTCGTGTACTGGAAACAATTATTGTTGACTACATAAAGTTTTGCAATTATTGTATTTTAATACTCAATATTGTTTTAACTTCGTCGTTTCGTGTCCATTCAATCATTAGTTGAGATGGAGCAGCTCGTGACGTCATCTCTTGCGATCCCAGAGACTTTAACCACCGCGATACCCGTCTCAATTAAAGTGCCAGTACATGAACGACGTCCTGGTGAAGCTCCGATCAAGAAAGCGTTCGTACTGCCGACAATATGAACATTTATCACTCTCAAAAAAACTTTATCCACTAACACTACATGATACCGTTTCTTAGGTTCTTGAAGCCCAAATCAGTGTCAAAAGCTACTAAGGAAGCTAGTGATGCAAAGGATGGAAACGATACAAAGGATGACCGCGATCGTGGCCAGAAGAAACGCGGTGGAACCTTTAAAAAGCGTCCGGTGGATGCCGTACAAGACCCGGCAGATATGTTGTGCCGTCCTGTGGCCTCTGGGGAAGGCTGTCACTTTGGTGACAGTTGCAAGTTTAGCCATGATATTAATGATTACATGAAGCGCAAACCAAAGGATCTGGGCGAGCGCTGTCCAGTGTTTGATGCCATGGGCTACTGTCGCTACGGTGTAGCTTGTCGGTTTGCCAACTCACACATTGAGAAAGTGGATGATACTTATCGTAATGTGAAGCGTGAAGATTATGCAGAGATGCAGGGCAATGAGGTGAACGATCTGAGCCATGATTTGAGGCTGAAGCTGCGTAAGGATACGTACGACTTCCAGTCAAAACAGCAGATGAAGAAAAGTAAGAAGAACGATTGTAAACGCTCGCAGCCAAGTGATCAAAAGAAAGAGGTCGAGATGAAAGGCGACGCTTCTTCCGTAACAATCATTGGTACTACTGATAGTAACGAAATGGCAGATCCAGAGACTTTGCTGTCGGCTTTTCAACCCGTACAATTGAAGTCTGCAGATATTGTGAAAACAGAGTCTGCGTCTGAAGATGTCAATATAGAGCCTGCTGCTGAGAGTCCATTGCTCGCGGAACGAAAACCCGTTGACTTTAAGCGGAAAATTTACATTGCTCCGCTTACTACCGTGGGCAACTTGCCGTTCCGTCGATTGCTAAAGCAAACCGGTGCCGATATTACATGCGGTGAGATGGCAATGGCTACAAACCTGCTGAAGGCTCAACAGTCAGAGTGGGCATTGCTGCGACGTCACAAGAGTGAAGATGTCTTTGGTGTACAGCTCGCGGGCTCGTATAGCGACCAGATGGCCCGTGTGTGCGAGCTTCTTGCTCGCGAGACGGATGTGGATTTCGTCGACATTAACATGGGTTGCCCCATCGATATCGTGTGTCGCTCTGGCGCTGGATCGGCATTGATGACCCGTCCGCCTCGGCTGCTTGAGGTCGTATCTGGTGCCTTGACCGGACTAGAGCTCGGTACCCGTGTGCGTACGGGTGGTACCGTGAACACTCCAGGGCTTACCGTAAAGCTTCGCACGGGATGGAGCGACAAACAGCTGACGGCTCACAAGTTAGTGCCCAAGCTGCAGTCTGTGCGTGCGTCTCAGGCGTACGTGAACGCTGCAGTAGTTACTGCGGATTTTCAGCTCCGTGCGACACAATCCATTGACGCCATTACAGTGCACGGCCGTTCAAGGTTGCAGCGGTACACAAAGAATGCTGACTGGGATTACATTTTTCAGTGCAGTGATGCACAACAAGGCAGCATTGATGATGCCCACGAGTTGTCTCACGTGCAATTCATTGGTGGCGGTGATGTTCTTTCGTACCAAGAATTTGATGACCACTTGCAAAATGGCAAGCTGGACACTTGTATGCTTGCACGCGGTGCACTCATCAAGCCGTGGCTTCCCACTGAGATCAAAGAGCGCCGTCATTGGGACATTTCCGCCTCGGAACGATTCGAGTTGCTCCAAGAGTTTGTTCGTTTTGGTCTTGAACATTGGGGTTCTGATCAAAAGGGCGTTAATCGGACACGTCGGTATTTGCTCGAGTGGCAATCGTTCTTATGTCGGTACATTCCTGTGGGTTTATTGGAATCTCTTCCTCAGCGAATTAATGACCGTCCATCATCTTATTATGGACGCAATGCTCTTGAGACTTTAATGGCCAGTGATCAAGCAAGTGATTGGGTCCAGATTTCTGAAATGTTACTGGGTCGTGTGCCAAATGATTTTCAATTTGTACCTAAACATCGAGCAAATGCGTATCAAAGTACGGATTGATGCGAAAAAAAGGAGTAAACTTTTTTTTGTTTATTGGAAAACGCATAACCTCCTTGGATTTTTATTTGATTCTATAGCTTGATACAGAAAAACAACAACAACAACAATGAAAATAACATCGAAAGTAGATATTATTCCATGTAGCAAAAAAAAGAAACGTTGCGGAATTCCTTTTGATCCTTTTGATTTACATAAACACACACACTTTATGATATTTTATCGAACCACATTGGTCCATACGAAGAAAAAAATCCCGTTGCTCACTCTCATATTTGACTATAAATATGATAAAATGCTTCGAGATAAAACCTTTTTTTTTCTGCGACGAGACAATCGTCCCCCTCTCAATCGAAACGTGAGACGTGGAGATAATGTAAGACCCCTCTCATTGCTTTTGCTTGAGGGCAAGCTCAGCCTCAGGTTCATAAGTGCAAATCCACTTGAGCAAAGAGAGGAGTCGGTCGATCAAGTAGGTGCAGGAATTATGGACCGAAGTAGCTCAAGCTTCACGCGACGATCGAACAATGTGTTGGTATCACCACGTCTAAAGCTTATAGTCTTTCCTAAGCGCAAAGGCGTTCGATATCATCGTGACGGTCAAGTCCGGAGCTGTCGCTTTTGTGAAATTGCACGGACAAAGTCGGAGCCGTTTTTATACCAAGATGATCACGTGGTTGTCTTTCGTCCACTACGTCCGGTTGTTGCCAGTCATGTACTTATTGTACCTCGTGCTCATATTCGGAATGTGAATCTACTGGCTGCAAAACATCGGGGATTACTTGCACGGATGCACCGTGTAGCTGAAGCAATGATGACCCAAGAGTTTGAGATGGAAGACATTGGAGAGCAGCCACAGGAACTTGAACATCGTCGTGATGGTGATACAGATGAGAAGCGTGTTCGCTACTCGTTCCATTTGCCGCCATTTAATAGCATTGACCACGTGCATATGCATGCATTCCACGATGACATGCGCAGTTTAACGTGGTACGGACGTCTCAAGTATCGCACTGAATCGTGGTGGTGTCGCTCGTATGAGCAGGTTATGGCAAGACTGGACGAGATAGCAGGTGGAGTCCAACAAGATGAAACTTCTAACAACGGAGAAGAATCGTCATCGAGCTCGTCTGAGACTTTTGGAGGGGGACCGCCAGACACTGGAAGAGTCTATAGGCATTTATTTATTTGCAATGTAATCCAAACTTGTAAGTTGGGCTCTTACTCACTTGTCAATCGCTGCTTCCATACTCAAGCCAAACGTGTGAAGAATTGTTACGGCGAGGAGTAGCAGGATGCCATCCACATAAAATAGCTTCAATGTCTTGGAGACTACGTCTGCTAGTTTCGGGAATGTACCACCAGGACAAGACAACTCCGGCGATATTACATGCCATGACGATACCGACGCAGATGCTAAACACTGACACTGGACATGGGACGGACTCGCGAAGCATTGATAGCGCGTGAGCAAGTCCGATGTTCACAATTGCTTCCCACATCATGACGAGACTCACAGCGCCCATTCGCTGCTTCACTGCAAAAAGCTCACTGACCATAATCACGGGAATAACACCGAGGCTGAGCTGATGGCTAGCATTGGCCAGCAGCATGGCCGCCCAACCCAAGTCGCTAAGTGCTACGCCATCGGCTTTCACTAGATGCGCATTTCGGGAGATGGACACCATTAGAAAAGCACAAGCTAATGCCACCAAGCAACATCCACACTGCAGCACTACAAGCCGTCCTCTGGTATCAACAAAGTAGAAACACGCCACTACACCCACCGCAGCAGCTAATGCAACAGCCATAGTGACAGCAATCAGACCTTCTTCCGTACCTTTGACAGTAACGCCAAAAATTGTAAGGACGAACGAAGCATTGGTGTGAATCCCCCCAACACCCCTGCTACTAGCTTCAGCAAGCGTTGGCGCAATTTGTGGCTGGAGAAGGAATGCACTCACAGCACTTAGTGTAAAGAGCGCCGCGCAAAGAAGTACGGGGCGAAAGAATGCGCCGTGATGGCGCCTCTCTGTCGCTGCGAGTACTTGTGCGTGAATGATAGCATTGGTCTCGTCCTCTGCAACTTGTTCATCTCGATTAAATAGTTTCAATAGCACGTCAAAAGCAGCTTCCCGATCGTCGTGACGTGCAATGAGCCACGTGGGTGAATCAGGAAGCTTTTGCGCCAACAGCAACAGTATCAACGCAGGCACAAGCCCCGCGAGCGCAAGCATTTTCCATTCACTAAGATTAAAGCCGAGATACTGTCGACTTAGATACATAAAGAGTGCTCCAAGTGCCGCGTAGCTAATCCGTCCAAGCATCGAAAAGAAATTTTGCACACAAATGACTCGACCGCGTGTATGTGCAGCACTTAACTCAGCTAAATAGACCGGTACAATGACATGGATCATCCCAGCTGCTGTACCAAGTAGATACCGTCCAATTAAGACTGTAAGTTCTCCAAATGCGACACCAATGAGCATTGAACCCAATAGAAATGGGATTGCTGCGAGTTCCAATGTCCCTGCTCGACCCAATCGGTCACCAGAGTAACCAGCAACAGCAGCTCCAAGTACCGTACCCAGATTTAAACACGAGTGAAAGAAAAACTCGGCATGTTCGTGTCTAGCTTGAAAAATATCCACTTGCATATTGTATAATCTTCTTGGAGAGATTGGGAATAATGTTAACCATGCACATGCTACACTTGCAGCCCCCATGGTAAGGAGATGGAGTGCAAAAAATGTATTCCATTGACTGGCAAGTCGTTTTTTATTATGACGATAATCAGGTCTATAGTAATAAAAAATACAAATAAAAATAGTCTTATGTCAGAAAGAAAAAAAAACAAAAAAATCCATAAATGTGAAAAAAAGATATTTTTTTAAAACAGAGACCGAGAATTAATGGGAGTGTTTTCATCGCTAGGAGACAGATCTGATCCATTTAAAAGATCTAGTGGCGCCAAGATGTACTGGTGTGGTACAAATGCAAAGTCACTCCGTGGAGGATCTCGTAGACATTCAACTAAATAGAACCAACTGCGTGGTGGACGTTGATGATGCGAGATCATGGAAATATATTACGCAATTTATTTTTTATCTTTTGAAAGCAAATACCATGGATTTTACGTGGCCAAAAAGATCCTAACGGATAATTTTGTTACAATTGTAAATTATCCGCGTACAAAATCTGGAGCTTTACATGGATATTTTTGCCTCGATACGTAGCATTACGTAAAAAATTGGATGTAGTGAAGTCTCTCTATCGGTTATAGTCTCAGATATTCTACTACGAGGTTCATGACGACGGAGTTGACGATTTTATCGACGCATCGTCTTCAATACCAGGGTATTTCTTGGTCAATTCACTGCCCAAATGCTTCTTCCAGCGAAAAACATTGAGACACGAATACAAAAACGACTTGATGCGAATCTTGGCAGCTTCCTTGCGTGTCTTTGGAAACGGTGTCGTATCCAAACAAATGACACCTGGTAGCGAAAACATGTCGCTGTAGCCCATTCCAAACACAATGGCACCAGGACCCCATTCTTTGACGTAATTTGCAAGCTGGGTTGAAATCAACCGTTTGCTTACAATATGAGCTCCGTAATAATTCTTGGCATCGATCCATCGAATCGGCACGCCGTTAATGATTACAGGATCCAAAAGCAAAATATCCGGAGAAATGACGCGACGCCCGTGACTTGCAATTTGATCCGTGCATAACTCACTTTGGGTCCTGCATGCCAAGGAAAAATACAATACGTTAGTACCTTCATTTTGAGGCTACTTACATGATTGCTCGATAGATAGACAACGTACTTGAGGCGGATCCCCTTGGCCTTCAAATAATGCTCAATGGCCTTTTCTAACGAGTCAGCATTGTACTTTGGTGCACCAATGAATGGATCACTTTTGTGAATACTGTCGTATTCGATAGCCTTACGCAATTCATGCTGATCGCGCTTTGACAGGTTCACGGCAGGTCTCGCCAGCGCATTCTACACAGAAACACGTTTAGAAAGTTAAACGAGACTCCACAGTATCATATCGAGAAGCCCCATATACCTTGATCTCAATCTGGTTCTTGCCCTTTGCACGAAGGATAACTCGCATAAGCGATACTGGAGGGTAATTGTGTACGGTCGACAGCTCAATGAGGCTACGTCCACTGTCGTATTCCCTACAGATAGTTTCTCTGTCACGACGAACACGATGCGTATTTACCAGCAACGACATGCGCAAGAGTTGCTTGCGCAAGTTAATAGTCATGTTGGCTGTGATAGGCAACATCTGCAGGAGTGCATCGATGCGGTTCACTTGCTGTCGCTTCAGCCGGCGAAACGTTTCTTGCTGCAGGATCAGTCCTGCTGCCTGAGTTTCCAACACTTGCGGGATTGGAGTCACAGGCCATTCTTGCTCGATCGGTGTGAGGTCACCAAACTTTTCCCGTGCAATCTTAATATCCTTCGACGTCAATGCCATGTAGCTCGGTCCATTGCGGTAAACAGACGACTGCATAGACGAGAATACCGACGACATTGCAAAGCACGGATCTAGCCCAACAGCACGCACTCCTTCCATCACCGTCAATGCACGGTCTTTGCGTCCTGATTCGAGTGACGTGAGCGACATGATCTCTGGCTCAACTTCCGAAAGACGCATTTCCATCAGGATGTCAAAGAATGCGTCCGATCGCCACACAATTGACGCACGCAGCAGCCAGTGCATGTACGTGTGCACTGAAATGGAACGGTGTAGACGAAGCTCCTTTAGCACCTTAATGGCACCATCCAGATATTCTTGGCGGTAACAAATGTCTAAGAAGCGGTTGTAGTCAGCTAGCTCCAGTTTCATCCCAGCTTGTTCCATTAGATACCAAAGCTCAATGACTTCCGCAGCAGCCGACGCCTCGTCACACGCAGTCAACAAAGTCCGCAATGTAGACTCATCTACCTTGCGTCCTTGATTGAGCATATCACGAACAATACGAATCCCTTCAGCTGGTTTCTTCGCCTCACAACACGCCAACACACCTGGCGTGAGAAAATTCTCGTCCAAGTACGGATTACCAAAGTTTCGATACAGATCAAACAATGTATGTGCGTTATCAAACGACACACGTCGGAGCTTTGTAATCAGTGCTGCAATTTCCTTTTTACTCGGTAGCGTCTTTTGCAATGCTGCAATTTCCTGCAACGTCATTGTAATTTTCTCAGTCTTGAGGTTTTGTAATGGCATTGGCTCTTTCAATGGCACGACTGGAGTCTCCATAGCTTTAGATCCATTTGTTTTGTCCGTAGACTGAGCATAATTCTGTTTACTCTTCTTCGTACCAGATACAGTCACTGGAACCGTATCCGATACAGTCACTGGGACCGTATCCAATACCGTCCCGGTAGCACTTGCACTTGCACTTGTCTCGGCGTCTTCTTTCATTGCTCTTGCCAGCATTTCTTCTTCAATCTGCTTCTGCGACATGAGTTTTCGTGGCTTGTGCTTGCTCTTGACCTTTTTCTTCGGTATCAATGTCTCTACATCTTTTGTAGCGACAGTAGAAGCAGCAAGAGCAGAGACTTTTTTCTTGGCTACTTTATTCTTACGACGTTTCAATGGAATGGGGGTATTGGGAAGGACCGTCTTATCAATGGAAGAACAAGTCACGGCTGTAGTCTGCGTGGATGTAAAGCGAAAGTCAAGCGACTGATGAAACACAATCGGACGATTCCGAGACAAATGGACGGGAGCAAACAGTCCAAGACGACGAGCAGCATCGTACGATGACCTAATGAGCATCATATTCGACTGGTCAGCATGGGTCGAACGTTTGGTAAGGTCGCTTGAAGGTGGTTTGAACACTAAACAATCAAGTTTGACAATGTATGAAGGTATACAGGGGTTTTGTTAGATCCTATACCGTTTCATTTCTACTATAATTAAGAATACATATGAATAAAGAGGTAATTTTAATGTCTATGGACCTCAGAAGGGGAATCATTTACTATTATTACTGGTTATGGAGGAAACTGATGCTACCGTTTTTGTAAACGGCTTGTATCGCAAGGTCTTACAGTCTGTTAAAGCTTCGAATGCCATTCCATCGGAAGACGACGGGTTTCACTTTCACATGCAATTTAATACCGACTTTAAAGCACTTTCTACGAAGTCTGGGGCCAAAGTCGAAACACTTGTGCGACAATTGACTAAATGGCAACAAAATGACCAAACGGATCGAGAGAAGGGAGTGGAAAGCAACAGGTGTGAAGACGAGACAATGGACCTTTTTGATGGACCAGAGCCGACTGCACATGTCACAGATTACGCCGACATGCTGCTCGATGAAGCATCGAAACATTTGATACGTTTTGTGAATGGTGAGACCGAGACTTTAAAGGACACGAGACAGTTACGACCACTAGAGAATAAACCTCATGGGTTTGAGAAGACCAAGAAGAACAAGTTTAAGCAGAAGGAAGGACGTGGGGACAAGACAATGACACGAGGAGCACAGGCTAAGCCACAGGATCAATTTGATGACAAAATTGACAACACGGACGCACCTTTTGTGTCGAAATTACGGGAAAAAGTACATGCTCTAAATGGTGGAGCTACAGTTGCATTGGTGGAAGAGGAAGAGGATGAGACGGGGTTGTGTCATCCATATTTTCACGAGATTAAGGGACTCAAGTATGCGCCATGGCAGTTGGAAGTATCGGAAACGCCTTATGAGAAAGTAGAGCTAGAAGAGGCTACGTATATGTGGGTGGATTCGGAAGAGAAACTGGTGCAGATGATGAAGTCGCTCACTGCTGCTGAAACTCGTGCGATTGCGGTGGATTTGGAACACCATAGCTACAGGTCCTACATGGGGCTTACGTGTCTGATGCAGATTTCGACGGCACGCGAAGACTTTTTGGTTGATACATTGGCGCTGCGAGGCAAGTTGGAGATGTTGAATCAGGTCTTTTGCGACCCTGAGAAGGTCAAGGTGTTGCATGGTAGCGACATGGATATTCTGTGGCTGCAGCGCGATTTGGGTTTGTACGTTGTCAATCTGTTTGACACGGGCCGCGCGGCACGTCTGCTACAGTATCCCCGCTTCTCCTTGGCTTACATGCTTAAACGTCACTGCAATGTCGACGCCGATAAGCAGTATCAGCTCGCAGACTGGCGCACTCGTCCACTAGACAAGAACATGGTCAAGTATGCGCGCGAGGATACGCGCTACTTGTTGTTCATCTACGACCGTCTTAAGAAAGAACTTCTGCAGGCTGGGGCAAAGTCTTGTGAGAGCCTGCTTTTCCAGACACTACAGAACTCGAATCAGCTCTGTCTGCAGGTGTATGAGAAGCCTCAGGTCACAGAGGAGGATGCTCTAGCAGTCGGTGAAAAGCTCAAGGGAACAGTGAACATCCGCGTTCTGTCTGATCTTCAGAAACGTGTGATCATAGCTCTTTACGTGTGGCGCGACCGCGTCGCTCGTCAGGAAGACGAATCGGTAGCCTATGTGATGCCGAACCACGTGCTAATGAAGCTTACGAAGCACTTGCCTGTACGATCTGATGAACTATTCCGTGCTTGCCACCCTGTGCCTCCGCTTATTCGTAAGCACGCGCTTCAGATAACAAAATTGATCGTCGCTGAGAAGACAAAACTTGCCGAAGAAGAGTCAAAGGCACAGCAAGTCCCTAAACATGTTGTTATAGCCAAGCCAACAAGAAAGATTTGGAACGAGGATGGAGAAGAACAGCTTGTGTCTTCGTCGAGCTTGAAGCGTGTCGGACGTGCTGCTTTCGCTCCTTGGAAAAGTGGCCAGCGTAAAGCTGGCGTCACGAATATTGACGCAGCTTTGAATGGATCTGTATTCTCTAGCAATGCCAAGCCTATGGCTCTTGGAGGCAACATTTCGTCAGAAACTCTTGTCAACTCCGAGACAGCAGCCACCACGCTTCTCGAGAAGGTGAATGCTATGGTTGCAAGCACAATGTTTACAATTGCCGAGAGCGAGCGAGTCAAGAGTCCAGTCATTCAACGTACATCTCTGTCTCAGATCCTAAGCAAGGACGAAAGTACTGCTGATGATACCAAGCCAAAAATGCCGCAGTCCATTTCGGAGACCTATCACATGTCGAACCGATCGAAGAGGCAAAAAACAACACCCGTGAACACGTCTGCAGCCTCTCAAGTCAAAGAGCGTGTCCAGTCGTTTCTGCAGAAGGACAAGAAAGATAATGACATGGAAGTCACGAGTGGTTTCCAGGGCTTTGACTACGCCACAGCCAGCAATGAGATTACAGCAGCAAAATTCCAATTGAAAAAGGACGAGGACAAGGGTCGAAACGGAGGGCATGGATACAAGAAAAAACAGGCAGGATATAATCCGTTTATGGCCATGAAGGACAAGGGAAAGAAGTCGAAGAAGTCGAATGAGTCTAACGCTCAAGTCAAGAAGATGCATCATATGCCAAGAAGTGCTACATTTAGATAGACGTTGTTATTATTACAGTATATCAACGGTATTTTGTTACGATAGACTATTGTCAAAATTTTGGGGTTTGTATATTGTATTCTGCTCATTGATTGGTCACATTTGATAAATTTTCGGTCGTAATGTTTTTTTCTTATACCATTTGAAAAAATAACCAAACCAACCGACGCCATGGCCCGTAGTGATACACTCAAGCGCATCTCGTCCACATCGTTCAAGTCTGAGGATGTTAAAGGGCAAGTAAAGAAGCTCAAGACCTCAGTGGATATGGTGAGCGAAGATGCGGTCTCAGTACGTAGCGAATTGCTCGAAAGAGACGACCATAGGTCGCATGCAATCGTGGAAGGGGAAGATGTCACTTTGCCGATCAATAATGGCATAAAATACGACCATTTTAATGTAGAACGAGGTAGTTCCTTGTAGCCCAATATTTTGGTGTATTTTTCATGCTCTTGTGAACGTCGTAATCGATGCTGTTATTGACTTGCTGAATTGTTATTTATGATGTCTTTTAGACGGGAAAAAGATCGGTGTCGAGGCTTTAGAGAACCAGACATTGATGGAGGATAAGGTAGATGTGAAGGTGAATGGTGTAGCCATGTCGTCGGCCAAGAAGTCAACAAGGAAATGCTCAACACTTGCTGGAATAGCTACAACTAACTCAAAGACACAAGGGAAGAAAAAGACCGCCGCTAAGGTCAAGCCAAGAGCTGCACCTAAACGAAAGGTGCGGACACAGGACGATAAAAGGAAGGAGAATTCGCCACTGTCTCTACCGTTTTTCGTGGAGACGGGAGCGGAGTGGAACCACACAAACATTGATTTTGATGAGTTGAGCACCTTGAGGTCGCAGTGGGAACTGCCGGCAGCGTGCCATATTCTCTGGTTATTGCAAAGTCCTCTGACACTGCATTTCTCAAATACGTTGCTTGAATATGAAGCAGCATTGCTGAAGCCCGAGGATAGTTCAATATTGGAAGATGTTTTCACAAAACTCTTGCTGAAAAAAAGTGAACGAGCTTGTTTGAGTGCTGGAATTGGACTCAAGTATGAGTGGTGGAACAAACAGCTGCGTATGTACTACCTCGATATGTATGACAAGTGGTACGCGCTACTGCGCAAAGCTGGTGAGCGACTTCCGGATACGTTTTCGCAAGATGAGGATGATGATAATCGTAGTCACTCGAGCAACGATACGGATGAGCAGGTGGATGTAGAACTTTCGGACGATGAGTGGCTGACACTCGATATCCTGAGGACTCGTCTTGAAACGCTTGGCATGGTCTGCCCTTTGAAGGTAAGTACTTCTATCGAGATTTTGGACACGGGGCTAGGAACGCTGACACGACTCTGCAATATCAAATATTATTCGATTGATTCACAGCACCAGTCATATGCAGATTTGTCGATCGAGCTGCGATGCAAGATTCTGCTAAATTTGTGCGAGGCCGTGGTGGATGACCCTGTCAACACGTACGTACTTCTTTGTGCTATTTTGTTTAATACGGACTGTAGATGATATCTTTCTCATACAATGTGGTTATATGCCGTACTAATGTTTTTGTTGATGGTGGCACAGTGAATATATGCGCCAGATGGAAGATGACGATTTACGCATCGAGCCACTCGGCAATGACCGTGCTGGAAACCTGTATTATTTTTTCCCGCAGTTCTACGAAGAGCGGCGATTGTATAGATTAGATAAGGAGACGCAACAATGGGCACTCTGGGCTAAGGGAGATAACGCATTTCGCTCTATGCTTAAAGCGATGAAAACAATTCGTGGACGTAAAATTCGAGGCGAGCAAGAACTGTTGGATCATCTAGAGGTTATCATAGAGCAGATTGAGGATGAGGACGAAGCGCGGACACGGCAACTGGAGAAGGCCAATCGCTTAGCAGTTCTTGAGGTGATTCCACGCAAGCGTTCGCTGCGTCTTCAAGTAAAGCAGCTGGTGAAAATGGAAAAGCACCAAGAGGAACTGGAACAGCAGAAGGAACTCTCTATGGAGGAAATTGAAGAGATGAAGCGCGCTGAGTTGCTGCATAAGGTTGGTCGTGAAGCTGAGAAGGACGTGCGCAATGCCGAGCGGGAGGCACGCCGCTTGCATCGTGAAGAGGTAGAGAGAGAAGAAGCCCAGTGAGCGAGAGAGACGTCGTTCGCGCCGAACTGAAAAAAATAATGGAAGAAGAAAAGCTTGAGCAGGTAGCTCAAGATGGACGCGAGATACAGGAGGAAGCTCGGGAGCGCAGTATCGTCAGCGCCATGCAGACGAGGTGTGGCAAGAAGTAGATGGGAAGAGAGCGCAGAGGTCGAAACAACAGACCCAGCGTTTTGAAGCATCAGGATAAACATTGCTGACGACATCCAGAACAAAAGATGCTCTCGTTTGTTCATATCAAGCAATAGAGATCACTGGCTTTGCCACAGCATCGGGACTTGTGTTGAACATGTCCTGTAAAATATTATCTAACTGCACGCGTGAATATGTAACATAGGTTGATAATAAACTCACCAACCTGACTGTTTTGTGAGTTAGAAGCACGTGTCGCAGCTTGACTTGTTGATGCGTGGTCGCGCCTGCCGACGTAATGACAAAGGAGTACGTTCGATCCCCAATCCGATGCAGTTCCGCTATAGTTCAGGGCTAAATCTTGTCGTACTACCGTAATGTTAATACGTTCCCATACTGATCCACAACCCATGGGATGGTCGCCCAAGAGTACGTGAGCCAGCCTAACACTGCCGGACCCTGAGGGTAGGCAGCAGCAGTATTCAACGGGGCTCGAAAGCCTGGTATCGGAGGCGATCAGCTGGACGACGCCGAAGAATGGTGGTGGAGCTTTTTGACCACTTTTCACTTATACCTTGGGCAATGACACCAGCTGAGGAAGCCTTCTCTGATCAACTGCTAACGAGTGTTTCCGAAAATCCTGCGATCTTGAAGCAGTCGTCCTCTTTCTTGGCGCAATGACACTCTTGCTGTCCAGTCCTACGTTGCTCCGCAGAAAGTCATGTCTGCCAGGCCAGAAAATAAATGTCTTCGCGTTGGATGAGCCAGAGTATAGCATGTTTCACCTGCTGCGTCTTGCATGCAATCAGTATGGAGGCCAAGCCGACTCCTTTCGCGTCTTTGAGCGTATGCATTAGCGCTAGATTAATGTTATGGCGACTGAGCTCCATGCTGTACAAGAATTGCTTCTAAAGGTTTTTTAGCTGTTGCTCTGCTCATGGTGGCAACTGCCGCAGAGAACAACACGGTTGGCAGCACGATCACGTTGAGAATCAATACTCTGTTCACGAATCTCGTTGCGAGTTGAGTCGCTGACGTCAGTCGCTGATGTTTCGTCACCACCCTCTCCTGACTTTTATAGACCGATAGCCTTAGTGTCTTGATTAAATTGTCAACGCATGTATATTCCATCGCAACGAATAGAGCAACGAAGCAAGCGGACACCACGGCCGTATTTTAAAAGATCACTTCCTGTAGCTATTAAAAATATCCTTGTAAACGTATCGTACGCTATTCGATGGTCGAGCAGGAGAATGGTCCGATTTCACAGAGCTACTAGCGTGCATATCGTTAATGAGGGTATTAATGGCTTAAATCACCTTTTCTGGTTATATTTCTTGAGGGAGACGCAAATTGTCTACTGCCATTATCTATTACCTCCGTTAGGTTATAGAAGTTTTGTCCAGTAATTTAGCTCAATGCACCTTATTTTATTTATTATGTAAGCGATAACCCGAAAAAGTTTTAAGCTCCGTTACGGTTATATATGTCTAATTAGCGTACCATAAGTTAATACGTTATTGGAGGAAGACCATCCGCTCAGCTTCTAATGTGAAAGTTTGATAGTTTTCTAATAAGTTTAGAGATCTGAAATTATGATGTTGATCAGACGTCTAGATTTTATTTTATGATTATTCAAGATATGTCTGTGGGGAAGTATCACCTCCTTTTCTCCCATGACTATGCCATTCGCCTCTTCACTAGCTCATTCTGCTGGCTCAACCCGACAAGTTTCAAGGGGGACACTCCAAAAAGGCACGTGGGACCCGAGCACCTGCAGAGGGCAGGTGGCGTCTTGAAAGTGAGGCCGGGTACCAAACCGGCTTTCTTAGACGGGCCAGCCTGACTGATCCCAGACACTGCAGCTCCGGTCAGAATCGGGAACGAACATCATACGTTCAAGAGGAGTTCGCTCGCGGGACCAAAAGTTGCGCTCGACGAACTAGCTGGCGATTAGGAGGCGACGAACGGAAAAGGGAAGGAACTTGTTAATGCCTGTTCGATGCGTTATCGACGAGCCCTACACGTCGAAAAGTCGTGCCGGGGTTCGCACGCTGCGAAGAGAAGGCCTCTTTCCTTCAACCTTGGCCTTATGACGAGGGGCTTCCCGCCAAAGGCAAGCGGACCCTTGGATGCCTTCGTCGCTTGGCCGTTGTTGCTCTTAGGCTCAAATTGGGAAGTAAGAATCTATAATCATAGGACATGGTACGCTGTAGTCAATCGCACCATAGTCCATCATCGTATAATTGCAACCTCACGTCGCAGGTCGACGAGCACCCACTTTGGTTGTGGCCCTTATTGAAGCGAGCAAGCGAAAGGCTAGCAGCTGATTGTGAACATCACTATTGACACACGCCTCCGTTATGTCCCGGACTTGAAAGCCCATTTATTAGCTAACGAATACAAACAACGTATTGTCGCACCTCAAGTAATCAAAGATGATGTCCTTGTGTTAAGACGTTGGATCGGCCTAAAATTTTCCTGCAGACAGGCGATATCACGAGGAAGGAGCCTGTAAGCACCCTGACCAGTCTTAGATGGAGCTGGTCAATTGAGACGATAGCCGCACCTTTTGTACCCATCACTTGATACTACAAACATTTATTTGGGAAGCTAAAGTTGTCCGTTCATCAAAGCGGAGACATTGTTTACGCAGAAACTTCAGGTTTTCCCGCTAGTGTCCATCAAGGCCAGTCCCTGTCAAGATTCAGTAGCTTCATGAACTGTATCCGCTGACCTTGTAGCAGTTTGTAAATGTACTGTAATCGGCTACTGCAGTAGTAGCCATGCACTTAAGAGCAAGCACCAAGTGACAAGTACCATTTATCTCACTTACCAAGTTATTGTCAACCCGATCGCGACCTTTACTGACCACGAGATTTATTGCAAGCATCTCTCTATAAACGTCAATCCTCTTTTAAAATATAACGCCGCATCTATCGGCTTCAGAATGAATGTCCTGCGACAAGTAGTTTCAGGATAAAAATGGTACCGAATGCCTCTTGAAGTACCCCTTCCATTCTAAAAAAAAACTCCAAAAAAATTTCATTCTGGAAAAAGTTTTTCAACAGTCAAGTCCTTTATCGTCCACATGCTCAGCCAATACGAACCACTGGAAACGCTTGCGCCGGCCCTCTTTGGGTGCGTGCAAAAATGGCGTCATTTGCCTACAGGCGAGTGTGTGGCTGTCAAACGCATGGAGTTGCGCTTCGCTGCGCGTCAGCGTTCCAAGAGCTCGGAGCGCGCAGTGGAGGAGGACCTTTTGACGGAAATTAAGACGAATCTTCGCGTGCAATTGCTAGGCGGCCACCCAAATGTGTTGCCATTACGTGACTGTATCATGGAGGATGAAGCCGTCTTGCTTGTACTTAAGTTTTGCCAACAAGGCGAGCTGCTCGATGTGCTCAACACGAAACGAGCGGCTGGCCAACCAATTAATGTACTGCACTATTTTGTGCAGATGCTGCGAGGTGCAGCGTTTCTCCATGCAAATGACATTGCACATCGTGACTTGTCATTGGAAAACGTGTTAGTGGACGAGAGGGACTGTTGCTACATTACGGACTTTGGCTTGGCGACACAATGTCAAGGCAAAATAGCTGTAAAACCCGTCGGAAAACTTAGGTACATGGCTCCAGAAGTTAGTGCAGCACTAACGTATCAAGAGGGACAATTGGGAGAGTACGATCCAAAGATGGCCGATGTGTGGGCGCTAGGGGTGATGCTGTATGCTATGGTGGCAGCCCGGTATCCATTCCGTGAACCATTACGGAAGGATGCTCGATTCAGGCTCTTGGAGGATTTTGGCGTGGATTATCTGCTGGAAAAGGATGAGGTGGATGTGCACGGAAGGAAGGTGGTGCTGGATCTATTGAGGAAGATGCTGGTAGTTGACCCGGCTAAGCGTTCGCCGCTTGCAGAGCTGGAGTCGCATCTGGCGTTGCCTATTGTGGACAATGGACCTGCAGCCACAGGACTTTGTGCCACGTATAACAGTCACAAGAAGTCAAGATACTCGGCAGCGCGCGCGGTCGCTTGGCCGCTTTACCGGCAAGGGGGTGAATCCCAAAAAATTATTATCAGAGGCGGAAAAGAACAAGCAAGCTCAGGTCATTGGCAACAATGAACTCAAAAGTCAATGTGCCCCTGGCGTATTGTTACACAAGTGCTTTGCCACTGCGCTAGCGTAAATGCGAAAGTACTGTATCTTATCTATAAGGCGGGATCTTCACGACGGTATGTTTCATCCTCGTCACCAAATATATTATTGATCTACAAATAGTATACATGACATTACTGCGATAATAACGAAGTATGCTTATGCAGCCTTGCATATTGACTATCCTGCCATTGCCTAACTTTTTCGCTTAACGCGGAAAGTAACTGGTAGACTCGTTACACAAACCGAGGTCGTGCAGCGTAGTTATTAAGACATCCACTATGAAAGCCATTTCAGTGAGAAAGATGTTGACACCGGTGAACATTTTAAGGAATCAAACCTTTCACGATCCCTGTACATTAGAAGCAATTATTTTCTACTTACGCTACGGTCTGCGAACATGCTGGTGGCTCCACATCGCACTGCACGCCAAAGGAGGCACTGACGACTGGCCACAGGTCGTCGCACTTGTCTCGCTCTTTCTCGTGCACGCTTTCCAATGTTTGCTGTAATGTGCTAGCCCAGTGCTCAAGCGAGGGAACAAGGTCAGCTACTTGAGCCCTCGTAGATTTGACAGCTTTCACTCTAGCACCTACGAGCAAATGGACGAGCTGACCAGCGTGGTAGAACGCAGTGCGTTCGAAGAACTTCATGTCCCGCAGCGTTTCGCACAGTGTATCCACGTACGCGTCGACAAAGTCGGCGACAGGGCCGTTCTGCAGCCGATGTGTTCGCTCAAGAGCAAACGCAACACACTCGGCTGATAGTAAGGACACGAGGGAGAACAAATTGCGCCAACGACTACACAGTTCCTTTTGAGGAGAAAGCTGGTCTTGTGCAATGTTTTTGCCTCGCCGACGCTTCTTTCCGTGAGCCGTCGTCTGCTCTACCTCCTTTCGCAAGTCAAGCATGAGACGAGCGAGCCAGACAAAAAGTGAGCTTAGCGACTTCGGCGGTGTGAAAACCTCCGACGGTTGCAAGTCACGAAGATCGTCCTTCTTCAACCGCTTCGATGACTTTACAGCTAGCAGCGATGTTTCGTCATTTACGCGTGCGCACTCAGCCATCACCAAAACTTTCGCGTACACTTCCACTAAGCGCACGAAGCTGAGCGAGTGAGCCTTATACACTTCTACAATTTTGTCGGCGCCAAGCTCGAGAAAAGGGTCGATGCATTGCTCGAGCTCCTCTACTATAGGTTGCACCAAAGTATAGAGGCTTTTCACTGTAGGCAGCTGAACAATATACTCGATTGTACCGAGTGCTACGACCGGGTTTAATGCAACCTTTGACTTCTTTGGATTTAACCCGGCCGTGTCAGAGCAAAGTTTGGTCTTTCTCCACTGTTTAAGGACCTTCACCAACTTTGATACCAAGAACGGGAGCTGCTCCCATTGCACCATGCAATCAACCATCGACTCCAATAGCTTCCTGTTAGAAGCCTCGTTCATCTTCATGAGGTTTTCCACCAGTCGCTTCAGTAAGACGCCCCCGGACAAATTGCCCAGGTAGCCAATAATTCTCCAGATTGAACTGAGAGCTTCTGGATTGTATGTACGGTCTTCGCTATAAGCAAGAAGTAGCGCTTCGAGTGACTCAATGTTCAGTTGCTCACGCAAAAAGCCCTTGCACTCAGAGTAGCGATCGTCACCCATAATCTTAACACGTACACTCTTAAGAAGATTGCCGATAATCTCCAATACGACAACCTGGCCGACCACGCTAAAACTTTCCTCCTCATTATCGTCGTCTTCATCGTCCTCGTCTTCGGATTCTTGCGGCTGTTTCAAACGTCGAGACACAAAGTTCAAAGAGCAGCGAAGCAAGAGAGCAGCCAGCTTGCAGACTGACCCGGCAGACACATGCTCAGCTACGTTGGCGTAAAAAACCATTGCGGCTTCTGGGTTCTTTCTCACGAGTGCGAGGCACCGAGCAACTTGCGAGGATCCGCCCACGCTTTGAGGGAAATACGAATTTAAGAATAGAGACACAAGTTGCTTACACGCAAGAGGACTACCGCGGTCCATTACCATACGGCAAAGCAAATCGTTCACTGGAACAACATCGTAGAAGTGCAAGTTCCTAATGCTCTTGATTCGGACCAACAGAGCACCAAACTCAGCACGAACTTTCTCATTGCGATCATTGATTAAAGGCGCCAGCTGTACATCACGCAACAACACATTAGTTGGCTTGACCTTTGCCAGCTCAGAATGATGTCATCTTACCATGGGCAACAGCGGCTTTAGAATGGAGTGGGAGTTATGGTTGTCTAAGATAAATTGAACACCTTGAAACACTGCTGCACGAACAGTGCTCGAGGACGCGTCGTTCACAAGGTCCACCACAAGCTTTGAGATGAAGCACCGAATCGTCTCGGCGGGAAGTAGCTCCCAGTACACGGACAGTACCTTCGACACACCTTCAATTGCTGCAACTCGCAGTGCTGGGTGAGAATCACCGAGCAACTCCTCGAATGTGTCAAATTGCTTCTGCAGAGTCAAGTCCATCATTTCATTGTTAAATGCTGGGTCACGTAGGGGAAAGTTGTCAAACAGCAAAATAGTCGCTTGGCGTCGAACGGAATCATTCGGCGCCTTCACACCACGCCACAGAATGGGACTGCAGATGCGGTACAGCATTTCGTCCACATCAGGGTGTCGTTTATTGTCGAAAAAGACCTGCAGCACTGTACGAACGGCATTGAACAGCGACGTGCTGCCTGCATGCACTGCATCACGAACGTATCGCTGAATGCACTCCTCCTCAATTTTTGCTCGGAAAGCTCTTTTGCTGCCAACCCAAGCCTAAAAGCACAAGTAACACTGACATCAGCACACGAAACCCAATATAAAAAAACACCAGGATCCAACAGCACTCTACCTTAAAATAGATGAGGCCGTACTTGATAAGGATCGAGTTGCGTTGATTAGGGATCTGGTTCCGAATTGTTTCATTGATATCTTCGACAAATGGCACGTGGAGCGTAAACAAAAAGCTCAAAAAAGGCACAGCATCGGGCGATTTGAAAAATGCCGACTGGATGAAACAGCGTAATAAAATGTCCCTCAATAATCCACTGCTATCATCGTCAAAATCTAGTAATGGAAGTGCATCTTTAATAGCAAAAAGTCTTCGAATTGGATGTTTCTTGGAATTAAAACGGTCAGTTGCTGGCGATTCATAACTTCGTACAATCAAGTACGGCAATAATTGTGTCACAAGTGAGTGAGCTCGTCCACAAAAATTATGTTTCCAGCACGCTTCACATAGCAGCGAGATCGCTTCCTGTGTCGCCAACACTTGATCTGATTCTCCTCGCAGTCTTAGTAACTGATCATGAAGTTCTTGTGCAACTGCAAAGATTTCTTCCTTGTCAATTGACGCGCCTTTTGTCTCAATGAGCAACGCCGTAAACTCAGCAATACATTCTCTGGCTTTTAGACGTCGCCCCTCCTCTTCGGTATCATCACTTGGAGCTACAAGCTGCATAGATGTAGGATAATAATCATTCAGTTGCGTACGACTTAGTGCACGCACTTGATCTTCCACGTGCGTTTTATTAAAGCCTTTGTCTTTGTCTAAAACTTCAGTATCTGTCTCTGTTTCACTCTTCTTGCTCTTGCTCTTGGTTTTTCGTTTGTTGGTAAGTGGCTTGTGACGCTGTGCTTCTTTACGTTGATTCAGAACGTGCTCAAGAGACGATGCGTCTCCGCGCTTCAGCGCCGCGATCGCGTCTGCTACCGACGTCAACATGTGGATGCGGAGTGCGCGCGCGGAATTGAAAGAGTGAATGTCAGGTCAATCCACACGAGCAAGTTCAATCCCTCGGTTTAGTGACCTTCTGTGGTACCTAAAGATTGACATAAAACTTCTTCCCCCGATTGTTTGGACGCCAAGAGTTGACTACTTTATACTGATATCCTGGCAATGGAGACGGCTGATCTTGTAGTGGACGGTACACGTACGTCAGGAAAAGATATTCGTGAGCAAAATGTAACGGCAGCAGTGGCTATTGCGAATATTGTCAAGAGCTCGCTCGGCCCCGTGGGACTGGACAAGATGCTCGTAGACGATATTGGTGACGTGACTATCACCAACGATGGCGCTACAATTCTTAAGCAACTGGAAGTGGAACAGCCTGCTGGTAAAGTTCTAGTTGAACTGGCAGGTCTGCAGGATCAGGAGGTCGGTGACGGTACCACGTCCGTCGTTATTATCGCTGCGGAGCTGCTTAAGGTAAACGTCAACATCTTTTTCCAAACAATTCCAAAAATTGTGGTATTCACGTGGTTTTTGTATGTGTTTCTTACTACAGCGTGCCAATGATTTGGTCAATAATAAGATCCACCCAACTTCTATCATTGCTGGGTACCGTCTCGCTATGCGTGAAGCTGTCAAGTACATTAAAGAGAATCTAAGTGTGCCTGTGGACTCTATTGGACGTGAGAGTCTCGTTAGTGCTGCAAAGACTAGCATGTCTTCCAAAATTCTTGGCCCCGAGAGTGAGTTCTTTGCTAATCTCGTGGTGGACGCCGTGTCATCGGTCAAAGTGGAGCAGGAAGGTGTGAAAGGTAAGGTTAAAGCCAGGTATCCCGTGAGCTCTATTAATTTACTGAAGGCACATGGAAAGAGCGCGCTGGAGACGCAACTGGTGGATGGATTTGCTCTTAACTGCACCAAGGCTTCGCAGCAGATGCCTTCGTATATCAAGAACGCCAAGCTTGCTCTGTTGGACTTTGACCTGCAGCGTCACCGTATGCAGATGGGTGTGCAGGTGATAGTGAATGACCCTAATGAGCTGGAGAAGATCCGTCAGCGCGAGATTGACATTACTAAGGAGAAGATCCAGAAGATGATTGACGCTGGTGCCAACGTGATAATGACCACCAAGGGTATTGATGACTTATGCCTGAAGTACTTTGTAGAGTCGGGTTGCATGGGTGTACGTCGCTGCAAGAAGGAGGACCTTCAGCGTATTGCCAAGGCTACTGGTGGACAGGTTGTGCTCACACTCGCCGACTTGGAGGGTGAGGAGACTTTCGATCCCTCTACGCTGGGTGAAGCAGAGGAAATTAGCGAGGAGCGTGTCGGCGATGGCGAGCTTATCTACATTAAAGGCTGCAAGACGCGCCAGGCCACCACTGTGGTCCTGCGAGGTGCCAATGAGAACATGCTTGATGAAATGGACCGCTCTATGCACGATGCGTTCATGGTAGTTAAGCGCATGCTTGAGAGCAACCAACTTGTTGCTGGTGGCGGTGCTGTGGAAGCTGCTTTGTCTATCTACCTCGAGAATTTTGCTACAACGCTGGGCTCCCGAGAGCAGCTGGCCATTGCTGAGTTTGCCGATGCGCTGCTGGTGATTCCAAAGACCCTGGCAGTGAACGCTGCCAAGGACGCTTCGGAACTGGTGGCACGTCTTCGTGCACACCACAACACATCACAAAGTGATGTTTGCAAGCGTGAGCTGCGTTTCACGGGCTTGGACCTGCTCCGAGGCGAAGTGCGTGACAACCTGGAGGCTGGTGTCGTGGAGCCTGCTATCAGCAAGATTAAGAGTCTGCGTTTTGCTACTGAGGCTGCCATTACGATTCTGCGGATTGACGATCTGATCAAGCTCAACCCTAAGGAAGAGCGTCAGCAGTAGGCTACCAGGTTACCATCGAAAGCGGGCAAGTTGCGTCTATAATAACACTCATTTCCCACTATCTTCATATGTACATTAACCTCTAGCTTTCGTGCTCCGTGAACTATGTAGTCAGCTTTTCGTCGTTGCTTGAGCTCCTTATAAGTGAGCAGTTCACCATCAAGCTAAGTGCCGGTGCAAGCAAGATGATCGATGGAGATAGATATTCACAAGGAGATTCCATCAACTACAACGATTTTAAAATTCAATAGCTGCAGGTGTGGGCAAAGCCAGAGAGCAGCAATTAGTCTTGACCACATAAAGCTCGGACCTTGCTGCGTTGCGTGATCGCAGGATCGATATCAACCAAAACGCGAGAGACGGCGTTTTGCATCGGTCAAATGTCCGAATTTCACGAGAATAGCGTGCATACCTTGATCAACCCATGAAATGCCCAACCCAGTCGTCTCCAACCACGGATACAATGCTTTATATTCCATATGTAGTTGCTAGGTATTTATTATTGTACTTGATGTTTGGTCGCACATACTTCTTACACTCAATGCTACGAGATAAAAACCCTGAAGGACCATACAGTTTAATTTAGGACGGGAGTATCGTGCCCAACGACGAGAACGACGACTGCCTCTAAGGAGCTTAAGTAAGCAACAAGCACTTCTTGCGGAGGACCTCCTACGGCCCCCCTCCGTCCAACTTTGTATATAAACACAATACATACAATATATACAGCACTAATAACGCTCTTTCAAGAGGTTTTCTAATTTAAAACTGAGACGAAATGTAAAAATTCTCTGGCCATGAGCCACTGATATAAAATAGCTTTTCTTACAAATTCCAAGATTAAACCTTCTATTCAGGTCAGTAAGCTTACGCTCGTACTTTCATGACGATAGAGGACAGTATACTGAGCACAAGTCAAAGCTACTCGCCGATTTTGCTTCATACCAAGGGCTCATGCGTCGTGCTCTTCCACTACTAGCGCTGCTAATGTCTATCGCGTCTGCGCTGGTGATCGAAAAGTACGTAACATAAACTAGAGACATCAACAGATGGGGGTACTCATGGGTTACGTTGTGGTTATTACGTTGTAATTGTAGTCCAAAATGTCGCTTACTGACACATGTGTACGTCAAAATTTGCAACATTTGGTTTTATGTACTGTTTAAACAAAATGTAGTTATAATGTTATAACGTGTGATTTTATGGCAGATCGAGCGAATTCACAAACGTCACGTTGCTGCAATCCGGTGGACTGCAGAATTATCAAGTTGAACGAGGTCATTTACTGCAGACCAAAAGTATTCTGATGCTCAATCCTAATGATTGTTTTGCTGTATTCTTTTTCTTCTTTTCTCTCAGTGTCACCATTCACAGCCTGTGAACCTCTACGCAACCAGGACCTGACAGGAAAAGTGGCACTCGTGCTCCGTGGAGACTGCAATTTTGTGCAAAAAGTGTGGCACGCCCAACGTGCCCATGCAGTTGCTGTGATCGTGATGGACAATGAACTTCGAAATGAGTATGGAGGATACTATGGTTTCTTGAAGCTTGAGTTTATTTTCGAGTGTTTTGACGTTAATATTGTTGCTGCTATTGCTTTAGAGCACCGTATCACATTATTATGATGAAAAATAACATGGCCAGCAGCATTTACATCCCATCGGTCTTTATCTCGTACGCATCTGGCGAGTGGCTGCTGGATGCCATGAGTCGTGCGGTACCGTGGGACGTTCTACGGGTTACAATTGATTCGAATGGCGAACGTGAGTTGACATGTAGCAGGCAAAGGATGTGAAACTGTTTGGTGATTATTTACAATGACTGATATTTTCTTGTTGTGACGGATGTAGTACCGCAAGCTACGACGTCGAATCGCTTGTTGAAGCGTGTGATTGCCTACATTTTCCTTATTTCCATCGTCTGCGCGTTATCGAGTGGACTCAGTTTACTTTCGTCGGCAATTTTCCAGTATGTTGGGAAGACGCGGCGAACACGTGTAGCCAAGCAGCTACCGATCGCTAAGTACCAGCGCAACATGCAACGCACTCTGCTGAAGCACTTGCTGGAAGGCCAGTTTGTGCTAGATCGTATTTCATTTGCTGCGATTGAAAACGTTGGGCGTAGTGTTAACCTTTCGCACATGGAGGACGAACCTGTTTTGCGCTCTGCGAGTCTTCGCAGTACAGGAAACGCGGTCTCGAATGATGACGATGTTTACATTAATACCAAAGAAGAGCTGATAGAAGAGGAAAAGGTCAAGTCAATGGCGGACGAAATCACCCATTGGAGCTCAGCCGATTCCGATGCAGAAATTTGCCCGATTTGTCTGGACGAATTCGAGGACGGGGCCGATGTTAAGGTTCTTCCATGTCAACATTTTTTCCATGTGGACTGCATCAATCCGTGGCTCGGGGGGCAAAGTGGGCGCTGCCCTCTTTGCAAGCAAGACGCTATTGCCACGAGTACGTCATAGGATTGGAAGACAAAACATACAGGACTATGGCTTACAAAAGTTCTTGTGCACTTTGTCTACAGTTGCTGGTGCGTCCAAGAAGATTTTTGGTCTCCCGTTGCCGAGAGTTGACCAAATTTTACAACAGGAGCATGTACGTTTGCCTGATGCACCACAAGGGTCTAAAACGACTGAGTACTGAACTATTGTCTGTTGAACACAGTGGATTCATACGTTTTTTCTCATGCTGCCTGCAAGCTTTATCAGCTGCCTGATTGTCAATGCTGCCGCATCCATCATTGGTACAATGTGGCCGTAAGAGGTCATCCTGCTTGGATGCTTCCTAAAGCACCTCGCTTCTGTAATCAGTAGAGGAAAGCAAGGCGGGCACACAGTATTTATATCTCGAAATTCTAGCGGTGGCCTCGCTAATGTATACTTTGTAAATGAATTCATGTTACGGTTGCAGTTTTTGCTTTTGGCAAGAAAATATTCGGCTACCATTAGAAGATGAAGTGTTAACTGGAACGCTACTAACTAGTCCCGGGAGTTTATACTCTGGAGGCGAGGTCGCTCGCACTCTACATAGGAGAGGTCCATTAATTCTGGACCTCCGCTCTCCTGTCGCCTCGGTGGACGATAGGACCCCGAGTGGACGTGAGCCCTGGTGGTATGCCCAGCTTCTTACACGTCGGGCATACGAGTGAGCCGCTTATTGTTGTAGGCTAAAGTCCTACTGTTCCGCTGCAGAGATCCCTTGATCCAGCGATTCTAGTTTCAAGCGGAACAGGTGGTTCTAAACAGGACCATCTGTCAGACACTTGATGAACACAGTAACCTGCGTGTGTTTATCTATCGGGTTTAAAACGATACAGATAATGAGGTATCGTACGTGTTGGGCGTAAGCGTGTATATCACGCTTATCCTGTTTCAAATCCAGGAGCTCATCCCGAGCCCTGAATTCGGCGCGAGGCGGTTCAAGCGTGTTTTTGAGCCGCGCCTTGAAGACATCATAAGTTGGTAAAACGTATGGGTCATGCAGTCTGAGCCTTAAGGCCAAAGCTTTGGCACGTCCTGCCAAGATCGACATGACGAACTTGACCTTTATCGCATCGTCATCACTGCGACGAGCCTCAATGGCATCGTCGAGTTCGACGAACCATCTTAACAAGAAGTCGCTTTCGACTGATTTGTACTTGGAGACATCAATCTTCAATGACTCGGATCGACGTGTATACGCCGACCCGGCAGCAACAGCACTTGCCTGCTGTTGTCTCAACACTTCAGACTGTTTAGCACCCTGCTGCATCAACAAGTCAGCTTGTTAAGCGCATTGTTCTCTCAACAGGTCAACCTGTTGAGAATCTTGCTCCTGTAGCAAGGTGAGTTTCTTTACAACTTCGTCAAATCCTTGTTGTATGAACTTGGCGATGGGTGCATGTTGTTCATCTTAGTTAAGAGAGAGCAACATGGCACCAACGGCAGGGTTGCCGATGGTTTCAGTCATTCGCTGTACCGCATTTCATTTGAGATCATTCAAATGGCGGAATTCATCACGCGTTGCGTGATGACGTTCATCACCCGCTGATTACATAGCGGATGGTGCGGTGGTCGCTGAACGGACCACGAAGTGCTACCAGGTGTAATGGGGTACCCTTCGACTATATATAGTCTACCTTCACTGATGACAGTGAAAGCAGGTGCCTCAAAACCTCTCTTACACAAGAGGCAGAGGAAGCTTTACTTTCAAACGACACGCTTAGAAGTAGGGAAAAAGAGAACTGTATTTAACATAGTTAACTATCTAATAAAATTAATCTGTTATAACCTATGTTAACTATATTTAAATACACCTATGTATGTTGACAACTTTCCCTCTACTCATTGCATGCGTCCATCCGTCATTAGTCAGCGCGTTGGTGGATATGATGGCCCATATCAACCTATTAGAGGGCATCTTCAACTTAAGGAAATACTAGAACAGATCAGTATTATAAGTAAAGATAGTATTGTCGATTCTTACTATCTACATATTTTTAATATTCTTATTAACACTTCATATAAGTGTCAATATTATGTAACGGACTCACCCGTTACAACAAGCAGCAAGCATCGATCCCGTCGGTGCTGACCCAGCTTCGCTGCTCCCAATCGTTGAGTTCATTAATGCGCGCTAACGCGTCGCTGTTTGTGGTGCGTTTTCTGTAGCTTCCGGCAGTTCTCCCAGTGTTTCGGCCGGTCTGGCTCACTCCTAGCTACCTCGTCTCACCCAACTATGACCCTGCCGACCCTGCCCTCTTTCTGCTAATGCTCGGACGCTCCTCGTTGTTTCGTTGACCCCGCTGTGCAGCTCATGAACAGCCAAAAGAGACTGCAAGAACGTCGCTGTTTTGCTATCCACATCATGATTCCGTCGACGTTCTTATTCTTTGCGGCAGCGGCATTGCTTTAGGTCTTATCGACCATTTATCGGGCAAGCCATCAGTTTCTTCAGAAAAAGGTAGTAGTTTTCGCTCTGCCGGGTCTGCTGCTGCACTGTAACGTAGTGATAGCTTTTGATGTAGGCACGAAAAGTCTTAGTCGTATGTATAAAACAGACTCCTTTCATTTTGTCCTACTGATTAGTTTGGACCTGGCCAAGTTGCAAATCGTCAAGTCCAGTACGCAGCCCAAGAGCGACCAGCGTCGACTCTTCCCCTTTGAAGATTTACGCGAAGAAGCAGTATGTACGTGATCTATGTATCGCGTGACGCACAGCAGCAGTTGTGGGAATACAAGATCAATCTGCGTCGACGTGCATCACTGATTCCGTAACCGAAAACAAGACTACGGGCTCAGTCGGGAATGGTATGTGAAATGGTTTGTGTATTGAAACGTGAGAAATATCCCAACGAGTCGGCTGTGGATACGCGTGTACTTTGCTGGAAGGGAACACGACTAAAGAATGATTTATTGTATTCAGTTCGCAATCTGGACTGCTGGAACGAGCTGTCGCGGTATAAGCTGAAGTGTTTCAGAATTATGCATGAGCTCGGTACTGACATCTGCTCCACGACGAAAGCAACATTGTTCTTGCGGGGATCAATGGCTACCGAACGCACCTCATATTGAGCGCATTCTTAGAGGTCGTATAGCATCATACGTCTCAGAGCCGACGAGATCTGCTCGATCGAGGCGATGTCGTAATTTGCGCCGCGCATTTTAAGTTGGCTACAATGCCGACAAGGTATGGGACAACGGAGTTGCAAAAAATATGGCAAGACTACACCGAGGCTGGCCACAAGGCATGACGGTCAGTAGCAGACATTTTGCGCTGATCATCTCTTTACCGGGGAGTGTCCACATGATCCTCTCCGTCCTATATCCGAGGCCGATATAATCAGCATTCTCTTGCAATGGATACGCAGCGTTTTTATTGTGCATGCATCCTGAACAACTACCATTGCTTGCATGTTCGTGTCGTCCGCTGGGTTGGGAAAGGATTTGGATGGAACACCCGATTGGAACGACGCAGACGTGGATTTGTCGTGATGATCGCAGGCCCCTATATTTGCAAGTGGATTTCTTTGTTAAAAGCGCACACTTTGTTTGCTCTGCTACATGGAGATTTAAAGCAGACGAAAGCGAGCGATGTGGACGAGAATGAGCTGAAAGATTACAATGCTAATGTAATTGAGATGATAAGTTTGACGTAGCCAGTGACTGGCATGAACCTCGCGGGAAAAAAGAGGTCGATTTTGGTAGCTTTCCGCGCTCGTAGTGGAGGTTAAAATTGTCATGAGATGCGTCGACGATGGAGGCATTCGCCGGACATATCATGTGCACCAACACTAGAACAGTCGGCAGCTTTGACCATGTCTTCAATGTCCTATTGCAAGAAGCAGTCAGAATGATGATGGGCATCAGAAACTTTGACGATTCCTTCCAGCTATTTTCTTCTGTTTTGTGGGCGTGTGGATGGAAGGAGCTTGCTCGAAGTTATGGATGGCGTGCGAAATCCGATACTTCTAAAAAGTCATCAGCATGGCGACAAAGTGCTGTTTATTCCTTAGATGCAAAGTAAAGAAGCAGCCGACTAACGGTGGATGGAACGATGTTTAGACCGGAGCCATCAAATACGAGCCCGAAAGTACGCTTCGTCTGTCAAGCTGTGGGAATGCGGTCGCATTTTGTGCGCGATAAGGATGCTGTCGATGACTCATAAGGAATTGGCTTTCCTTCCTGTACCTAGCCTTGGGTGATGACTATCAGCTGTGCCAAGATGAACGACGTCAGCAAGGCACGAGCATCCTCTTTCTCTGTCTCGACAAGTGTCTTCCCGGTCTCTTTCCACAATGTAATTCGGGCATCAAGCGAAGGGATGCTCATGAACACGTCTGCATCTCCTTGACCTTGTGAAATATACACTTGCGCTTGTGGGTCGTGCTGAACAATGATATAGTCAAAGAGCATTACTGTATGGATTACGGCAATAAGTTTATCAAAGCTACCACCATGACGTACCGCTTTCACTTGCTTCGTCAGCTTATCTTCATCCACTTGACCCAGAAGGAGACTGCTCTTGTCTTGGTAGTTAATACTCTGGAGCGTACTGCTGGAATCGGAGTCCGTAATTAATGACGCTTTGCGCTTACTCGATCCCTTGGGCTTCAATCCAGTACTCATAAAAGTGGTTGGCGGTGTGACAAGAGCTGTTGGAAATGGCTCTAACACAAACGCTTTCCGCTTCACATTGAGCACGCCACTTACACAGGCAGCAGTTTTTCCATTCACTTCCGTAATTGTGACTTGAGCAGCAAGCTATGCAAGATCGACGCATACGCATTAGACTGGATTACATCGAACAGCACAAAGATCGCAAATATACCTTCGTGTCAAGTCTTCCATCCAAATACTTGGATGCTTTTTCGATTACAATCGGCTCAAACTGTTTCATAGGAAACGTTAGCAGCTCCGTCTTCGATTTTGCCGTAATCAGTTCGTGGAGTGGGAGTACTTGCGAAAAATGCGATGACATGTCGTCTCCTTCCACCGCACTCGTTGGAGATGCAATGGTGTACTCGTACGGAACAATTAAGTTGTAAGGGGAGCAGCGAGCGATAAACTGATTGGCGTCGCCACAGCTTAATCGTGGGTCGATTGAGCAAGCAATCTTTTCAATTTCCAAATCTCGGAATGGAGCAAAAGCCTCGGTAGGCTCGACTGATGGATCTGTTTGGAAAGTGTCGTCAGTTACGCTCATAATTGTAAATGATGAAGTGACATTAAGATGACACGACGTACCAATCAGAAGAATAGCGTTGCGACTCTCGTTTCCCAGCCTCTGGATTAATTTTGGCACCCGTCCAAACTTGAGAGATGGATGTCCCACGAAAAGGATACTTCCGTTCTGCGTACAAGCGTATATTAATCCTTTCAAAATTATTAAGTGAACGATGAACGCACCTGCAAAGTAGCGGCTGAGGCTGCCGAAACGTCGGCGACTGCATAAAATAAGTCGCTTTTCAGCAAAGACTCGTGCAAGAACGCGTCTTCACCTGCATATAACTTTTCAATTTTCTTCTCGCAGAGCCATTCGGCTCCAAGTAGCGTAAGCTCCATGACGCGCGAAGCATATTCCGAGATAAAGTACATGGGGACATTATGCTTGTTCTGAAGACTTGCAGCACACACAGCCTCCACGAGGTCGAACATGACGCCACAAGGCGATGTTGGTACGATACAGACGCCGCCACGTTCGAGCACACGAGTCACTCCACTGAGTACTCGTTCTACCATGCGTTCCGTGTTAGAATGAGGATCACGATCCGGTTTCACATCGGTCAAAAGCAGAGTCTCGCAGCCCACCAGTGGCAGCAGGTCCAGCTCCTTCGGGTGGCGATTATAGTCTCCTGAGGATGCTGCTACATACGCCAGGCGGTCGTTCGGCCCTTCTACAAGCCAAATACTCGCACCCAAGCTGTATCCCGAACTCAGCGCTGTAACCTGTACGCCATACGCCATCGGTACGACTTCACCATACTCCACACAGCATATTTTCTTGCAGCAGTTTTCAATCTCTTTGAGCGAATACATCGAAATTTCTGTCTCCGTGCCGTCAGCCACGCTTTCACAAGTAAAGACAGCATTATTCTCGCCTTGTGTCAAGCTTGCCAGTTCCTCCAAGAAAACTCGGCCAAAGTCTAAAGTGAGCTTTGTAGCATAGATTTTTCCCTTGAAGCCTAACACTTCCGTCAATAGTGGCAAAGCCATCAGAGTAAGATGATTGGACAGTAGCACCACATCCAAGGCTCCCACGTCCACGGAGCTCAGTGCTGGAAGCTCAAGTCGGTATGCAAAGCCACCTCCTTGTTGTGGCTCACACTTCAGTGACTGCATCTTAACACCGCAGTCTAGAAGCATCTCAAATCCGCCAAAGCTCAAAAAATGACACAACCCATCGTTTGCGCCGCCTAATCGAATCTACAAGACATTATCAAGAGGAATAAAGAAGCGAATGAGATGAAAAAAGGAACGAGAGCTACTTATGACACGTGTAAACATGACGAGAGGAGATCGTGAAGGGAGGGAAAGTCGTTGTACCACTTTCATCGTTGCAATTTGCTTGAGATGTCTGTAGTGTGGTTTTTACCAAGAATGGAATTCCCAAATGAAAACGGATACATAATAGAGCAGACTACCATCAAACCACTGCGAAAGAATGGGCTTCAGAGGCCATTGATACAGCGCTCGTGCTCAACAAAGGACCTGGAACTCCTGAACTGCCTACGGCGAAGAGATTCAGTTACTAGTAGGCAGCTTACTCTGGATTGCTCGATGTACATTTAGTCGTCCAGGTATCTCCTACGCTGTACACCGAGCTACGCGAACAGAGTCATGCACCAATTAATCAGGACATGAAGATCGCGCGACGTGTACACAGTTAGGTATCTCGTGGACTGCAAGCTCAAACTGCATACGTGTGGGTTTATTAATCCTGCGTAAGTCAAAACGAAGGAGATGATTATTGATGTTGCGACTAAAAACATGCCAGCACTGAGGATGTTGGAGCTGCGTGACAAGATTGAAACTACACTGAGACGTAAGCCCATGAGAGGAGTGTTGGAAGTGGAGCCAGCTTCCAGGTACGATGCCGCACGTTGAAGGGAGAGACTTGGGAAGGTTTGGTACATTCAAGACCTAAATGACGGGAGGAGGATTGGACCGGGACTTCATTCTGCAAATATTCAACCAACTCCCAATTCCTTTGACAGTTTTTGCGAATCCCCATCCAGGCTGCGTGATGCTTTTCCCTCTACGCATGAAGAACCAAGGCCAGTATCCCTTTCTCTTCTGAGTCTGAGCTATGGCAGCATTGTGGGTTCTATTTGTCTCTTCGATTTCGTTCACTCTCGTTGCCAGGAGCAAAATGCCATGTTCCGTATATGGAAAGACGTCGTCAGCAGACAAAGTTCATGGAGCAATCGCAAGTGTGGCCCACCTTGATCGAGGGGTTGAGAGAGCAAATTGTAGACTCGCTCATTACAATTTCAACACAGCTCGTCATAACAGTGTAAGCGGAACCAGATTTTCCGTTCTATCATTGATCTTGGCAATGCAGATCTTGACACAAAGGCGGAATCGAACCTCGTCGCTCTCGTACTACCACGGTTGTACTGGTACAGTCAAAGGTGTGTACTCCCGCTGTCCTAATCGCGGCATGCGTCTTGCCTGCGTCCGGTTGGTTATAGTCACAAAACACAGCAGTCAGGAGTGCTACACCACCGAGTTTATCGTAGATTGTGCTTACGTAGCCACATTTCGCGCAGGCGAATGATCGAAGGACCAGCAACTGTGCAGTTGAGCCTAAACACTTGGCTGGAAGTTTGTCTAATCTACAGCTGAGGTCGATTCTGTCAGCTGTGATATTCTTCTTGCGAGTCGTGACTCAGAGACGCAGGCGAGAGTACTGTCGGGCTCTTACTTTGTGTCATCGAGCTGCGTTTTTCATCATCATTCAAACGATGGCGCAAAAAATGCTGTTGTTCCTTCCCCATTGGTGACATGGGTCACACGCGCGCTGCTGTAATGTTGCCTTGTTCAGTCCACGCAAAGCCACTGCTGTCGCTGGATGCAAAGCTTAACGTTTCAGCAGTCTAGTCATTGAAGTATTCAAGATCACAGTAGATGTCAATGCTCGCAACGTCTTGGCTATCACTCACTAGCTTGATGATGGGTCACACATAGGCATTTTAACTGAAGCGTAGAGTGTCCTGCGTATAGTTTAACGGTAGAACGTAAGCTGTCAGTGTGCATGATAGATGTCATAATGCCGTATACCCACACGCTGAGGGTAAAACGTAACTATTAACGTGCGTATCGTTAACCAACAACTTGTCGTATCCTTCCGTCGACCATAGTAAAAAAAGCCCAAGAAAGCGCTCATCCATTGCTGATGCTGTGAATAGATACCATGTTCCATCTGGAGAAGGGCGAAGTCTGAAAGGTAGAGAAGTCGCCGGTGCTGCTGAGAAAGGAGAAATATCGCGCGACCAAGGACATTACGTCTTTGGCTTTCTTCCGCTGCGTTGAATCTAATTGCAGGGATGCGCGCATTCATACAAACGAAATAGGCAGACGATGTCATGAGATGTTTTACAGACGTTGCATCGACTATTCCAACTGATGATGGTGTAGTTAATCTGGCTTGCCATGGATGGAATTGCAGTAGAGGAATTGACGACAAAGCCCGCCTCCAAGTGCTCCATGCACGTAACATGACAAGCTCAAATTCATTAGCAGTGAAGCGCTTGCTTGCAAAACTGTTGAGCTTACAATTTTCATGAGTTGTCGCACGCAGCATTACCAATTTTCGCTTCATGTCTAAGATTACGGTGCCGAGACACAGTCGGCCCAGCATCACATAGACGACGCAGCATCATCATTGTGCTGTGCCGACATTAGTCGTAGCTACATAGTGAACGCGCGGTGTCCTTGGCGTCCCAACCTGTATGCTCCTGTAACTCTCAATAGCCACAGGAAATTCGGGGCTTGCAAAGATTCTCTTCATTTTGAGGAAGCCCAAACAAAGTTAGGTGTCCACGACTTGTTACCGGAAAGTCGTCCGCGTGCCAGGCACTTTCTCGGCTGGACTCTCGCTTGCAACATTCCATCCAGTTAGACTCCTACTTCCCACACAAGCTTACCCGACTGGCTTTCAAGTGGTCGATTTGATTTGCATATAAACCTATTGATCGTCGCTCTTTCCAGTAACGAGAAGAGTTCGTGCCTTCTCACTTTGTTTTTTGCTTCCAGCTCTTCAGAACTACATCGACTCTATTGAAAATGGCCTGCTCGATCAACAAAGTTAAGCATCTCTTCTGGTACATGGTGCTAGTAACGGTTGTTGTGTTGATATGGAGTCCACAGACTATGGCAAAGATGGTCGTCGCTTTGCAGCATGCACCGAGAGACACGCACGTTAAACGACAGTTGAGGTCAAGCTCATCTACGACGGAGGAAATTAACAGCGGTAACGAAGAAAGAGCGGGCCCGCCTGAGCCCGAAAATGTGATTAAAGCATTATTAACTGTCGATGCGCCTGTGGCTGAAGTTGACGAGAACGCGAAAAGCTTGTTCAATCTGCTGGAGTGGAGCAACTAGGGTTATCTTGAAGCTGCATCAGTTAAGCTTTCACAGCTTGTAAATGAGGACGGGAGAGAAAAGGTGCTTAGCATGCTTGCGGCCGCAAAGAACAACCCAGCTACGAGAGATTTTGCCGAAAGTTTGGAAATAACTTTTAAGGTGCAGGAGTGGATTGATATAAAACCTAAGGATGACTTTGTTCGTATGTTACTGGATGAGAATGCTAAATTACTCGACGTCTTGAAGAGTCGGTTACTGAAAGTCTGGATCATCCTCTATCCGCTAAGAAAGGATGAGTCCCCAATTGAAGCGTTGTATGATGGGTTATCTAAGATCTACAGTGACCGAGTGCTAGCAGAAGAGTTTTTTTCGGCGCAAAGCGACATTGATGCGAAGGATACGGCAGAACGCTTGGCGGAGCAGCAGATGAAACAGTGGCGAGCTGATAACCCGTAGTGATGATGATGTCTTCAAGCTTCTCTCTCTTAACGCACTAGGCAGTGTGTTTGATAACCCTTTGTGGAACACGTGGATGTTGTATATGAAGAAGCTGGACAGCAGAGAACACATTACAGAACAAGAGCTCTCAGAACCAATACTTGCAGTGCTTAGGAAGAATTTTAAAGACAGGTATCTATCTAAGCAGTTCGAAGCTGCTGAAAGTGACGAAGGGAAATCGCGTGCCAAATTTTTTATGGCGGCGCTACTAGAAGCACAACAGAAAAGAGAACGAGCAATAAAGCGCCAGGGAATCGAAGACATAGCAACAGCGCCGATAAAGCGTCAACGAAACGACGATGGTCAGTAGGAGAGACTACATACGAGTATTTCGACGAGGCTTCACAACAAGCTATTCAATACGAACGTGCGACGTAGTATGCTCTGGACTGGACAAGCTGAAGAAAAACGCTGGACGACTTACAAGTCACGGATTAGAAATCGAAGTCTGGGTGTGATACAAGCGTCGGTGATGTTGTAGAATACCAAGGACAGAACAACGAGGTATTTCAGGTGTGAAGTTTTTGTTTATCAATAACATTTTCTTTGACTGCTTGAGTTGTCATCAAAGTGTTGTTTCTAGCACAAACATGTCTTGACCAAACCTTATTGTAATGTAGTTTATACAATGTTAAGCTTACTAATAAACTTGTTATCTGTACTCTGTCCTTTACTGAGGTGGTGCTTGTACGAATTTGCGTAAAGCATCAAGTTAAAAAGCCGAGTGATAATGTCCGAAAGCGGCGTATCGAGATAGTGTTGAACGCACACATATTCTAGTTTCGACCATATGGCTACGGCCACGCATCATGGAAGCGTCACAGTGTCAGGGTGTGTATCTGGGTTTAGAAATAGTCCGGGCCTTGTCAGCTGCCTCCTATTCTGTACGTGATGCGGTTCTTTCTTCACCACCGGCGGTTTTTCTTCACCACCGGCAAGTCTTCCTTTGCCAGCGGTGGCGCTAGATCCGTTAGCATTGACAGTGCCACCTACACCGGTACTAGTGGCCCCACCATTTACACCTCTGCTCACACCGCCACCGCCGACCAAATTGCACGTACACTGTGTACAGCACGATTTTTGGGGGCCAAATGCCGTAATGTCTGCATGCACCTAGCACAATTACTTCCACACAGCACACCAATGCAAGCGTATTGACTTGAACACTGAAACATCGTTAACATAGTGGCAATGCCTTAAACAGCTTCAGAAGACCCACTCTGGTTCCCAAGTACCTGCTCGCTCTTTTCTGCGAGCTCTCTCTCTCGATCGTTTAAAAGGGATACAGCTTCATCGTCCGACCTACTTTCCGTATTGGTAGACGCTAAAGCCACACGGTTCACTTCAATTGGTATATGTCCCACACGTGGCGTCAGGTAGCATGCGGCACCTGGAGGCAAGCTCGCAATTGAGGAAATACTATTGGCGGTTGCCTTACCAAGCGCTTCGCTTGGTGAAGCTAGGGTTTGTTCAGCAGACAAAGACGTAGTCGGTGCGACAGTATGAGCTTGTGCAGCTTCCTCTGTAATACGGTCTGCCGTATGATACACTCACGAATTAGCTATGATTCCATCTTGGTGACAAATATTTTGTACATACCCTGGTGCCACTTCGCTTGCAAATGCGCGACCATCTCCGATACATCCTGCAGCCTCTTGTGAATAACACGCGACGAAGTATTCTTCAGCTCATCAAGTAGCGGCTGCATCTCCGAGGCCGCCATATTCATTTTGTGCTCGTTTGCCAGCGCTTCCTTCAGCAGCAAATCAGAGACTGCTCCATCAAAAATTCCATGTCCGAATTAGCGATTCATTAGTCCGGCTTTTGGTACACAGTAGAACACCCACCTGTGGATGCCGCGGTGATTACAGCCATCTTTACATTTACCTTTGACTCTGGAGAAGATCGCAACGAGAATCCTACCAATTTGACAAAAATACAGTATCAGTACCAACGCAGCAAACTTCTTAAGTCACAGCAGTGCATTTATTCACCTGGATCGATTCCCATTCGATCCAATTCCGTCAGCGTACGAGTCGAAGGCTCATATGCTGCATCTAGTCAGCACAAAAAAGCTACAATCAGTCCACCCGTCACGAATACAACAACACCATCGCCGCAACATTACAAAAGTCCTCAATACCTTGCTGTGGTTCCTGTTTGTGATGCTGCTCTGCATCTGGACCTAGCAAAAGCTCGTCAGGCACGGAGCTGTTATTGGTGTAGCAGTTGTAAATTTCATCACTGATGCGATGATTATGCTGCGAAATCTGAATCAAGCGAGACCACACATTCACACCCCAACATATAAGTCAGTTTCCTTATCGTTTTCTTTTTTTCTTACATGTGCTCTCCTCATACCTGATTCCGAACTCGAATCAGCCACCGGATTTTACTAGGGTCTCCCTCAACTATCTCAAACACCACATCAGCCGTAATCCTCGCCGAGCAGCCCGTATATCGATTGTGCAAGTGCGTTCGAACGCCATTACCCCGTGACGGTTGAATACATCCATGAGTGCACCAATAAGCCATCGTAGCGTACTTAAAGTCCTCAGGCACGGGATATTTCTTGTACTTGTGTTTATTATTCCAATACGTCGTTGTAGATGAGCTACGACGTCGATACATTGTCTTTGTACGTGTCATGTAGCCATTCCAAATCTGAATAAATTCGTCCCACGTGTCAAATGTTAATGGCGTGAACGCAGGCACGTGAACCGTCACAGACCCACGGGATTTGGCGAGATCTTCACGTAATTGAAAGTTCTTTGTGCGACGTTTCTTTACCAATGGTTCTTCGCCAGTGACGTCATTGGATTGCAAAGCGTATGCATTGATAGTGGACGTGGGACTTGCAGTCACTTGAGACTCGTCCACTAAAGTTGAAGCTGTCAAGTGGTCACCTTTGCTCGTCGTCATGGCTTGCGTTGCTTGATTGGCGTGTGCTTCAGTTGCGGGAAAAAGAGAGAATGTTGTCCGAAGACGACTTAGTCAAAGGTTGATATTTAGAGTCTGAAAGGATAGTGAAATCCAGTAAATTGTAATTTAGACACTTTACTTTAAGCATGGAAAGTTGCTGTGGCTATTATCAGATTATGGTCAGAATTTGTGGTTTATGATATATTAGAGGCATATACTGTACTGGTGGCACCTTAGTGTCGCTTGACTTGTCGTAATATGCATGGGAGGTATTGCCTTGTGCCTAGCCCTCTCTTCAAGAACACTTTCTCATGTTATCGGGTTACCGGGGTAAAAAATGTGGTGGTGGCTTCTGACGTATTCTATTGTTCAGTTGTACCGAAGTTTTGCTCCATGTCAGGTGTCCATCAAGCAATCAAGCACAGCAGTCTCATCATTTTCAAAGTAATAAAAGACTGACACTTTGTTCATGTAAAAGGAGACTAGTTGCCCTAATAGCTTAACATACGTTTGCCTCAACAATCTATCAACTGTAAACCATTCAGGTATTAGTAGGTCCCAATTCGATTCAGCCGACGATACACGCAGAGTGCTGATCACATAGTCTCACTAGAATTTGCAAACAAATCATCACGACTATTCCTGAATGACGTGCAGGACAGTCTCGTTGACAAATTATTGTCATTGTTTTCGACTGATGAACATGCAAAAGCTTGGAGCTTCTTTTTTTTACCTATGTGCCGCAATTATATATAGTAAAGAAACCGAGGCAGAAGTATAGTAAATAGTAATAGCTTTATATAGGTACTACCATGCCCATGCACTTTATATATGGAAAAGATGTAACAAAAGACCTTGAAATGACTAATTAATCCTAAAACTGCCCTATTTTAGACCCATATACTAAAGGTAGGTAAGGTTTCAACGGTCGTACTTTCTGTTCACCCTGTGTCTTGGTCGATCTACTAGAGGCATTACCAGATTGTGAGGGTTGTACATATGATTTACGATTGGCAATTGTGCTCAATTTGCGAAAATATGATGGCTCGAGAACCAGAATCAGATTACAAATTGGGTCTCGTTGCTCCAGTTTTCGTCAATTACCGGTATTTATCGACTTGAACAGGGTAGGGTGTCCACGACAGTCCAATGGGTTTTGTCCTTGATAATTACGACTATAAGTCTGTTTCTCTATCTACTCCATTCTCGTCTCCCTCGTTTTAACGACAAGTCAAACTAGCAGCTGGTTTTGTATCAGTTGTATTCAGTGCAAGTAGGAAAGTAAGGCTACAGTACAAAAACAAGGCAGACTGACGTGCTACGTCGCAGACAAAGTCCCTCCCTTCAGTGGCAATTCGGACAACACCAGTTGCATGCTCTTAAAGCGCCAGTTTCCACCTCTCGGTGTCGTTGCGACTGGAGCAAAGAGCAAGAGCAATTGATCTTTACTTTCTCATTGGCATATAAAACCCCTTTTGATCAGAAAATGGAGCTAAAAGACAATCTGGCGACTGGTGTGGTGTTGATACCTACGTGCAACATGAGCAAAGACGGTGAAATTGTACGGCGTTGGATGGAAATGGTCCTCGGTGACAAAATTTTGAAGGATCTTCCAGCCGCGCTCTATTCGGGTGAATTATTGTGTGATTTGATCAATAAAGTGTACAAAGCCTTGGGTCTGAAGAGTCAGATTAGTCTTATACGTCGTAGTGGAAATGAATGTGACGTTGATGCACGGAGTAATGTACTCGAGTATTGTAGGTACGTTTTTGACATGTACAAAGGAGTAGAGGTAGACAAGTGCATTGGCAAGGATGGTGTCAAGTTGTGAGGTAGAATACAAATTTGTTAATGTGGAAAAGGCACTGACCTATGTTGTTTGTGATTAATGTTATGATTACTGGATGAATTCGTTCGTGGTTGTGAATTAATTAGAGCTTGTGAGGTACTTGGGGTTACCCATCAAGATCTTTTTCAGCCTGATGATTTGCTTCAACAAAAGGATATGGAAAAAGGTATTGAAGTTGAGGAGGAGATACTGTGTTGCTATTATTTTGCAGTACTAATTGACGTGCTGGACTTTATGTGTGGTAGTATACAGCAATATTCTCGTTCTACAAACGGTGGCCGTGTCGCTGTCGAACCGACGCTCAATTGATGAACGCAGTTCGATGATCGACCAACCGGTACGGCTTTTATAGCTTGTCTTTTTTTAAATTGTGTTTCTGTATGCTCGTTGTGTCTTTGGTATGACCATTATCGTATCTCTGGCACTTGTGTGTGATTGTGTGAACGCTAACGACAATGCATTACTGTAGGACTGGACCTCGATGTCGGAGCATGGCGTTTTTGTCGATGACGATGACGACGACATTGGCGACGGCCTCGATGCTGACATGAGTCTAGAGTCTCCTGATGCCGTTCATATGCTTCAGCAATCGCGGTGGCAGCGTTTACTGTTTGAATATGAGCACCAGCAACAGTGGAAGGAGGAAAGAGAGGGCGCTGGTGACTTCTCTGCGTCTGATGGGATAGGCCCGCTCGCGCACGGCATTTGGCGAACGGAAGAACGAATTCGGGCAATACTCTTGCGTGATGATCGCGATTTTGGTACAGTGCCAGATGAGTTGCATGGTAAGTTGTGGATGCTCGCGTCAGGTGCCCTACTCGAAATGCGCAAGAACAAGGGTCAGTTTGAACGATTGTTAGCCTTAGAATTGAAAAGCACCGAGGCCACACGGCAGATTGACGTCGATCTTCACCGAACTGTTGCTGATGAAGATAAAGAGTTGTGGACTGAGGAGAAGTCAAGCATGATGCGCCGGGTTTTAGTCGCGTATTCGTTTTACAACCCGAATCTGGGCTATTGCCAGGGCTTGAATTATATCGTCGCACGTATCCTTCACTTTCTTGGCGAAGAAGAAGCTTTCTATTTGCTCATTGCGATCATTCGGCTTGTCCCAGATGACTACTACACGACGATGGCAAGTGTCCTAGATTACCGACGAGGTTTAAGTATATCTTGTCGTTTTTGACAGTTATAGTGCTTTCATCTTGATGTAGCTGGGGCTGGCGGTGGATCAACACGTATTTGCGGATCTCGTGCGTCTCCAGTATCCAGAGGTTTCTGAGCACCTGTCGGAGCTTGGGGGTTCGGGAATGGAACTCTCACTAGCATGCACTGAGTGGTTTTTGACCCTCTTTGCTAGTCCGTGTGACAGAATGATCACCTTTCAGATCTGGGATGCCATTTTCCTTCAAGGCGATGAGGTAGACTCGTTATGTGATTGATCATACCGATTCAATAATTGATTACTTTTTGTTGTCCTTGCATAGGTTCTTTTTAGAGTCGCATTGGCACTACTTCAAAGAGCAAAGCCAGACCTTGTTGCATGTCACACGTATGGAGATATGCTGAAAAAGTTAAATGAGGTATGATTGTCATGAGCGTGCCACCTTTTACTTGTTGAAATTGTGCTCACGGTAATGCGTGTTACGCTGCAGCTTGGTAGAGGTGTAATTAATGCCCAAGAATTGATGAAAATCTCCAAAAGGCAGGACTGCGTGATTCGTGGCCGAGTCGAAGACTTTAGAGCCCATCATCGTCTACAATTGGCGTCAGGCGTCGTCGCCTCAACGGTTGGTGCAGAAGATTCGCGGAGTGGCACAACAGGGCGGCGAAACTCGGAGTCCAGATCGGAGCCACGACTCAGAGTATTTGGCCGTAAGAAGCAAGGCATGTTTCGACACATGGACAGAATTCCTCCTCGCTTGGCACGGTATATATGAATACAATCAGAACTTGTATGTAGTGGTGAGCTAATCCATTAGTGTTTTTCTCTTATTGTCCAGAACTTTTGATCGAGATATAACGGACGAGTACATGGAGTCCATTCGACGAGACCACCCCAACTTCGCCGCGTATTACAAAGGAATGCAACCCGAAGTAAGTGCTGCGTTGTTTGTGTTTAGCGAAAGAAGAGAAAAACTGACGAGATGTTATTTGGCTAGATTATGGAAACATATTGGGGCTCAGGTGATAGTTCTCGTCAGTGGGCTGTTGCTCGAATAGTTCGTCGGGTGTCAACGGATGGTTTTGCTGTTGACAGCACGCAGGAGAATGAATGCTGCCGCATGAAGTCTGACACAAACTTGACGAGTCACCATAAAAGTTCAATCGGGGCAGGCGAACGCGGATCCGGACTGACGCGTGGCCGTAGAAGCAAAAGTTCAGCCTTTAATCACGCTACAAAAACTCAAGGCAACAGTGCAAGTAGCACTCCAAACAACCGGCGAGGAAAAGACAACGATGGAGATGCTGGACTTGTTGGGCACTCGCCGTTGGCATGGATTCATCGCTTTGAGGAATGGAAAAGTCAAAAGGAGAGAAAGAAAGCAGAGAAGAAACGTTTACGGCTCAACCAGCGCTCGGAAAGCATGTTTTCTGGAACTGGTAGTGACCGAGCAGACGCAAGTGTCGCGTGGCTGCGTGGTGCCAATGATTCATCACCGATTCCGCTTTATTCTCAGCCAAACAAATCCGACATTGAAAGTTTTTCGCTGGGCCTTCGAAGGAGATCCAGCGACTACCAGCGTTCATCTATAGAAAACGTCGCGATGCTGGAAGAGCCTTCGTTATCGCGCTCTCTCTCGGACCCATTCCGGTCCCCTGTAGGCGTCGCAGGACAACATCAGTGTCAAATTACAATTAGAAAAGGTCGCCGGGATACTGCATGTGGGCCGAAGCTGCCGCAACATCCGTTTAGACGTGATGTCGACGGACTAGCGCAAAAGCCCGAGATCGATGAAGTAAGAAAGCTAACTAGGAGCGGCAGTGGACGCCCTTCTCGTGGATTTAGTGATCAAAGTACGTTGTCGAGGAGCACCAACTCGTACGTAAACACAGCCTCTTTCACTCTGGATCCGCAAGATGAAACACATGATGAGACGAGTTCGAATCAGTTACTCGATGAGAAGAGCACGATGCAAGGGCAGGTCACTACGTTGGCACAAGAAGAACAGCCGTTGCCTCATGAGCTTCTCTACTCTCCAGTCCAGTGCAGACCTAGCTCAATGGACTATGAGGTGGAAGCTGCTGGTAGATGTGCTCCGCCTCGTGTACGGGGAACCGTGGCTGTTCCTGTTGTTGTTAATGATATCAATGCTCACCAAAAGCGTGTGCTTCATCCCAAGCGCACAAACGACTGCTCTCAAGCCATGCGAGAGCGTGCGAACGTTCTCCAGTACATGCATCGGAAGGCAAGTGACGCGAGCAGCATAGCGGGAAGTATTCCGCGTAGTCCTGCCCGCATGAGTGAAAGCTCAAGCGATTCGTCTCGATTTGGCGATCAAACGAGCGGCAAGCCGATGCGTTTTCGGAATAGCTCCTTCTCGTTCTTTGACAAGCTTTCAAGTGATCTCGAGAACAGCACTCATGGTTTGGACAGTCTGGTTGATGAGGCGGAATTCAAGACTGAGAGTATTGGCAGAGGCTCAATATCTTCTGTAGCAACTGGTTGATCAAGTCTAGTTGATGAGCAACGGCCTATGGGTGGAGGCATCTTCACCTCGTCGTACAATTGAGATGATATAGCAAGACACATTTCGTTTGATGGTACAGTAAGTAGTGATGTCGCATTAGAGAATCAAAAACATTTGATATTAATCTGTTTTTATCTTGGTTTTTGTATCCTTTCATGCTCACAATTTGGTTTTCTCGAAACATCATGGGCAAAGCTTATGACGGCAAAAAGCGATGGAATGAGACCATCCTGGCAACGACAGCACGGCATTCTGCACTTGGAAGTCGACAAAATGCTGCAAAGAAACGTCTCTCAGGTAGGAAGTTGCTAGAAACCTCGCTGCATTGGACTTGTGGCGCTGGAACACTTGAGACTTTTGAAATGTAAAATATCCTGACAATTTGTATGGAAATGCATTTTATACGGCTCATACAGGACGAACACATAAGCTGAGTGCTGCTATGAGACGTGTGGATGATGATACACGTAATGAAGTGCGTAATGCTCGATTGGATGCCTTGGAAGCGGATAATTTTGGTGAAGATGTAGACGAAGGCGACGGAACTCAAGACGGCGACGAAACGTACGTGGAAGAGGATGAAAGTGGAGCTGCTGCAACTTTAGATGACACGGAACCAATGAGAAAGAAGAGGAGAATTGATGTCTCGGGTAAAAAGAAGTGGAAGGTCAAGAGTTTGACGCAGTTGGTGTTTGAGGAATTGGGCAATGGAGATATTGCAGACGAACCCAACTACTTGACTGCTGCAGTAGGTCCTCCTACACACCCAGTAAGAAGATTTTGCTGTGTGTGTGGGTTCTTTGCCAGCTACAATTGTCGAAGATGTGGATCGAGGTACTGTAGTGTCGGGTGTGGAGACCAACATAAAGAGAGTGGCTGTCTGAAGTTTGGGCTGTAAAGATGTCCCTATCGTTACTCTATCAATAGTTTATCAATTGATCGTCAAGGACATCAAGGCAACCATCAAGCCGAAACATGGACCAGCTTAGAAAGATTTTTAAGGAGTGCGAGCGCTTGGAGAGAAGGAAGACAAGCTGCAATTGCATTGCCGTAGCTTGTCAGACGAAGTGTCATTTCAGCTCGTTGAGTAATTTAGTTCTTGCTTTGTCCGAGAGTCGATGGGCTCGTAAATTTATGGTTCCGGTCTAAACATTGTTCTATTACCGCAAGTCGACTGCTTTGCATCGAAGAAATGAACAGCAGTCTATAACAAAGCAACGAGCGGAATGAAAGCAGGAATGACATGATAAGTAATGCGATCGAAAAGCAGCGACAAAAGATTGACATGAAGTGAATGTCGCCATGCTAATGACTTTGCAGAAGTATCGGATTTCGCACGCCATCCATAACTTCGAGCAAGCTCCTTCCATCCACACGCCCACAAAACAGAAGAAAATAGCTGGAAGGAATCGTCAAAGTTTCTGATGCCCATCATCATTCTGACTGCTTCTTGCAATAGGACATGGAAGACATGGTCAAAGCTGCCGACTGTTCTACTGTTGGTGCACATGATATGTCCGGCGAATGCCTCCATTGTCGACGCATCTCATGACAATTTTAACGTCCACTACGAGCGCGGAAAGCCACCAAAATCGACCTCTTTTTTCCCGCGAGGTTCATGGCAGTCACTGGCTACGTCAAACTTATCATCTCAGTTTCATTAGCATTGTGATCTTCCAGCTCATTCTCGTCCACATCGCTCGCTTTCGTCTGCTTTAAATCTCCATGTAGTAGAGCAAACGAAGTGTGCGCTTTTAACAAAGGAATCCACTCGCAAATATAGGGGCCTGCGATCATCACGACAAAGCCACTACTGCTTCGTTCCAATCGGGTGTTCCATCCAAATCCTTTCCCAACCCAGCGGACGACACGAACATGCAAGCAATGGTAGTTGTTCAGGATGCATGCACAATAAAAACGCTGCGTATCCATTGCAAGAGAATGCTGATTATATCGGCCTCGGATATAGAACGGAGAGGATCATGTGGACACTCCCCGGTAAAGAGATGATCAGCGCAAAATGTCTGCTACTGACCGTCATGCCTTGTTCGGTGTAGTCTTGCCATATTTTTTGCCACTCCGTTGTCCCATATCTTGTCGGCACTGTAGCCAACTTAGAATGCGCGGCGCAAATTACGGCATCGCCTCGATCGGGCAGATCTCGTCGGCTCTGAGACGTATGATGCTATACGACCTCTAAGAATGCGCTCAATATGAGGTGCGCTCGGTAGCCATTAATCCTCACAAGAACAATGTTGCTTTCGTCGTGGAGTAGTACAGAACTAGGAATTTTTCACTTTAGCCAGCCGGCGCTACGTTGTCCCTCGTCAACGTCGCTAACAGAAAGTCGATGAAGGACACGCACAAGTATACGTAATGCTAGCTCAAGCTCCCCGACGCAGGGATGTCAACTGATATCACTTAGCCTGGTAGTACATGTAGGCGAAGTAACAGTGTACATCTCGCCAACATGAGGTTTTTGCGCAAACGCAGGCAGCGTGTACCGCGACTAATCGTTCCAGCATTCCAGACTGCGAGCTGAGTACAACAAATCATTCTTTAGTCGTGTTCCCTTCCAGCAAAGCACAGGCGCATCCACAGCCGACTCGTTGGGATATTTCTCACGTTTCAATACACAAACCATTTCACATACCATTCTCGACTGAGCCCGTAGTCTTGTTTTCGGTTACGGAATCAGTGATACACGTCGACGCAGATTGATCTTGTATTCCCACAACTGCTGCTGTGCGTAACTCAATACATATAGCACGTACATACTGCTCTTCGCGAAAATCTTCAAAGGGGAATGGTCGACTCGGGTCGTTCTTGGGCTGCGTACTGGACTTGACGATTTGCAGCTTGGCCAGGTCCAAACTAACCAGTAGCTCGGCACTCATATTGTCGAAGAGGAGGGAACTTGTGTCCACGAGAACGCTTGAACGCCTCACCGCATCACCAGCGTCTTCCGCAAGGCAAAGCGCTCGATGCGTCATTTTAGGTGTCACTAGTGCCGAAGAAGTTGACGACGCATTGCTCGACACTTTTCTTATCCAAAAGGAAGCGACCGTCTCGCCCGTGTGATAACAGGCGGCGCTATAAGAAATTGGCCCGATTTGCACGGCATCCGAGACGAAATGGGCTTAATTTCCAGCTCCATCGTGCCCTTTGTGAAGCAGTTCAGTCTCACGACACACTCGTTTACTGGAGACTTCCATTTTGCCAGCGGTGCACAAATCTTTGTCTTGTTTTCCCATCCGGGCTCCATCGGTATAATTGCTTGTCCTAAGAACCGCAACCCACCTGGATTGATGACGCCGATGAATGTCGTGACAATGTCACACTTGCTGGACAACATGGGGATGTAGAACCTGTCTTTCCATGTATGACAAGGGTCACCTTAGTGCATTTTTTCGTGGCAAAGTGGAACATGAAGGGTCCAAATGGTTTTTTTGAGCACGCGTACGTTGCAATACACCGATAAGATGGTTTAAAAGTCAAAAAGCAGCTCAAGACGTTGTAGCCCCGAGATCTGTAGCTCCACAGGGCGTCCGAAGGCATTAGGAAGTCTATAGAACTTCGTTCGAGCCGTTAGAAAACAACGCACAAGTCGCTGGAGCGGCAGCTCGTCTAGTCGGCAGATATTAAAAATGTGACGTGAAGGTTGTATATTGGACAGAGTGATATGGGAATTTCATAGTAAATATATTTTAGTCAACACAAATTAAAGCTGGAAAAAAGTTTAAGCTAGAAAAAAGTTTAAGCTAATAAAAGTTTAAGCTGAAAAAAGTTTAAGCTGAAAAAACACTTTAAAATGACAAGAAGAAGGCAACAGTATTGAAAAACAAAAACTTCACACCCAAAACACCTCATTGTTCTGTCCTTGGTATTCTACAACATCACCGACGCTTGTATCACACCCAGACTTCAATTTCCAATCCGTGACTTGTAAGTCGTCCAGCATTATCTTCAGCTTGTCCAGTCCAGAGCATACTACGTCGCACGTTTCGTATTGAATAGCTTGTTGTGGAGCTTCGTCGAATACTCGTATGTAGTCCCTCCTACTGACCATCGTCGTTTCGTTGGCGCTTTGCCGGCGCTGGTGCTTCGCCGTCGTTTTGCTGACGCTTTCTCGTCTCCGGTGCTTGAGTAGAATGCCGTCCCCATAGTGATTCCTCAGCACTGAAAGTGCTAGCTCTGTTTCTAAAAACATTTTTGTTGTCCAGCATTTCTCTATACAGGGCCCACTTAGGCCATTCGGGGCTGTCGTGCATGTATAAGCCTCTTTTTTTAAGCCCAAGAAGCTTAATGACATCGTCATTACTATATCCATGATCTTCCCAGTACTCGATCTGACACCCCATCAAAAGTTCTGCCGTTTCCTTCGCAGCTTCGTCTTTTTGCGCCGCAAGAAGATATTCTGGTAGCTTTTCTTCACCAAAGCGTTGCATTAACTGCTTAAACAACAGCGGAAATGGGGATTTTGTGGTTAGTTGCGTATATAAGTTGAGGAAATTTTGAAGTAACGAGCTCTTCAAAATGGTGGTAACATCATCCATGCCAGCTGCTAAAATAGTGAAAGTGGGCTCATCAAGATGTTGATTCAGCTTCAGGATTATTTCCAAATCAGCAGCCATTTGTTTCGTAGCCGGATCGGCTTTTGCGGTCTTTAGCATGCTGATTACCCTTTCTTTCCCGTTATCGGCAATAAGATCTGAAAGCTTAAGTATGGCGGTATTTAGATGTTTCTCCGCAGTCGCATGCCCCAAAGAATTGTACCACTCCATTAGACGAGCGCTCTCAAGCAGGCTTTTCGCGTCTTCGTCAACTTTAGGGATCCTAGCAACAATCCCCTCGTCAATATCAGGTCCAATATTCAATCTTAAGTCAAGATTAATTCTAGGTTCCATTCTTTCTTCGTCGCCGTCGTTAACTCCCTTCGTCGTAGATGAGCTTGACCTCAATTGTCGTTTCTCTCGCGTGTCTCTCGGTGCATGCTGCGAAGCGACGACCATCTTTGCCATAGTCTGTGGACTCCATATCAACACAACAACCGTTGCTAGCACCATGTACCAGAAGAGATGCTTAACTTTGTTGATCGAGCAGGCCATTTTCAATAGAGTCGATGTAGTTCTGAAGAGCTGGAAGCAAAAAACAAAGTGAGAAGGCACGAACTCTTCTCGTTACTACGAAAGAGCGACGATCAATAGGTTTATATGCAAATCAAATCGACCACTTGAAAGCCAGTCGGGTAAGCTTGTGTGGGAAGTAGGAGTCTAACTGGATGGAATGTTGCAAGCGAGAGTCCAGTCGAGAAAGTGCCTGGCACGCGGACGACTTTCCGGTAACAAGTCGTGGACACCTAACTTTCTCGAGGCTTCCTCAAAATGAAGAGAATCTTTGCAAGCCCCGAATTTCCTGTGGCTATTGAGAGTTGCAGGAGCATACAGGTTGGGACGCCAAGGACACCGCGCGTTCACTATGTAGCTACGGATGGTTGTCGGCACAGCACAATGATGATGCTGCGTCGTCTATGTGATGCTGGGCCGACTGTGTCTCGGCACCGCAATCTTAGACATGAAGCAAAAATTGGTAATGCGTGCGACAACTCATGGAAATTGTAAGCTCAACAGTTTTGCAAGCAAGTGCTTCACTGCTAATGAATTTGAGCTTGTCTTGTTACGTGCATGCAGCACCTGGATCCTTTGTCGTCAAGCTCTTTGTCGATGCGCGCAACAGATCGACTACTAGTCTTTGTTGATATCGCAACAGATCCGGATATCGACAAAGACTAGTAATCGATCTTTGCACTATTTCTGCTGAAGTAGGGAAGATTTGATCCGCTCTGTTGAACTTCATGTCTTTCTGCACGGAGCTAGTTCAAACACTTGAACTAGGGTGGAACCACCGTCTACGAATTGCATCTATTGGTGTGGAGCAACCTGTTCTATTGCTACTGCCATCAACTACGTGAAAAAAAACTTGTGCATGGCGTAAGCAGTTTAATGAGATTGATTGGCAAATGCAACTGTGAGCCCCGTGACGATATCAAGCTAACCAAAACAAGATAAACTTGAAAGGACACGACACTCCAAGCAGCACCTCACGTCTGCAGCATTAACCGATGGTTGCGCAATCACCTTCAGCGAGCTGCGGTCCAGCGGTCTATTGTCGTCGCCCCTTGACCCATATGTCTCTCCAAATTGCCAGAAATGCGTCGAAGAACGACGATGGTGTTGTTGCACAGGAACCAAAACATTTGGAGATTGAGAAACAGCGCTAACCACTAACAGAGCCGAGTGGAGCCACCACAAAATCAACAGAACGCCCGTGCGCTCGCCTTCTACAACGCAAGCAACAGCACAGCATCCTTCAGCTCACATCAACGAAATGTACACGCAGCACTAGAACCTTTTTTCCATATGTCACCGCTCAGGAAGCCGCGTCGACGGTCTCTAAAGCTCGCAGCCTTTTGGATGACCTACCGTCCGCTGCTGCTGCTTTTCAGTGCTTAAGCTTCGCGGCGAAGTTGTGCAATTTAGCGCCCACACAACATTCGATGAGATCTTTCACCAGATGATCACCGTCTCTGTAATGAGTGCGATGAGGTTCTCAGAGAACTTGCGACCAGCTTCTTTTTAACACCAATAACACTTTTGAGCCATGAGGCGTTGGGGTCCATCTGGAGTAGAACAAACGGCAGCTTCGTGTCAACTGCCGAGTGTTTTAGGCTCTAGAGGACTAAAGAATTGACGGTCTCCATTATCCTATTGTCGTATGGACAAATGCGGTTGCTGGCCCTGACGAAGAGCGAGGGCCCGGACATCGTGTTGCTTCGTGTTACCTCCACTCGGTCAGTGGCTAGCGCTGTTTTCTATCTCCAAATGCTTTTTCCTGAACGACATCACATCGTCGATCTTCGACGCATTTATGACCACTTGGACAGGCAGGGCGCGACGGCAATAAACTGCCGGACCGTCGGATCGAAACGGTTGAGACAGAAACCTCAGTGGACGTTCAAGCGTTGTGCTAATGTGACCAACACTGTAGCGGCAACGGAACATTTCTTTGCCAAGTGAACTTAGGACGGAGGAATACAAGATTATAGCGGAAATGGTGACGACATTGCGGATGAAGCAGGTCTACGTCACCTCATTTGTTGATACCAGCGGGGTGCACAAATGGAAACGTCATGTGCATTGTGACTTATCACATTCATACTCCCTAACTCTTTGTCACGGTACTCACGTGGCGTCTTCTCCATTCTAAGCTTGGGGATCTGTGCGACGGAACAAGTAGAGGTACCCAGCACCCAGCGGCGGTACCTCTGACACAGCCACCTTGTCATCGTTAAAGATAATCCAGCGGCCTTCCTTCTTCATATGGCAAACGTAATGCCCAGAGTTGGTGTTCTTGCCAACGTGGCTGATAAATCCTACAAGAGAGTAGTCGCCTACAGTCTCACTATCCAAACGATTCGCAGATGACCCAGAATTACTAGAGATTACTGAATTGCTTTCGCATTGAGCCACAGCATCATTCAAGTCGTCCATGTGACTGAACAACCACTCAGCGGCGCGGTCAGGATTGTTGTCTGTTTGCTGAAGCGCACACTTGGCGTGAGGTTCCGTAAAGCCCATTGCCATCAGGTTGGACACTAGCTCCACATTGACGGACTCACCTTCAGCCGTGGGTGCAGAACTCGCTGGTGTAGGTGAATCATTAAAGTCAGGGTCTTCCATGTGACTTAGAATCCACTCCATAGCAGCTTCCGCGTTGGAGTTGCCAGTCGCGATCGCTGCGCGCTTGCAGCAATTCTCGGAGAAACCCATGGAAACTAGTTGAGCCACAAGGACTTCGTCTGCAGCATCTACCTCCACGCCAGCAGCACTCCCGTTTGTCACAGTAGCTTCTGGCATCTCTTCCTCGCCATCCACAAGACCCTTGGACACAAATCGGCTAAGCGAAAATTTCTCTGGCACCTTCACCTCGACTTCAAGTTTCTTTGGCGTCCAGTCTTCTGCCACGTAAAAGCGTCTCATTTGCACAAGCAAATAACGCGGGAATGAGCGGAACCGGACCGTCTTTTGCGCTTTTCCTTTCTTGCCTGTAGCTGGAGACAAAAAATCTTCTATAATTTCGGGTGCCAGTGTCTTTTCAACGCACGCTTCGAATGGAACGTTAGGCACGACACGTTCTTTGCTATCCTTATTCTCACTTTTCTCAGACTTTTCGTTGTCACCGAGACGTTGGCGCTTTTGCTCGAGCACTTGGTAAGCAGTCACCTGCGTGGCATTGGTGGCTGCCTCAAGAGGAATCTGCAATTGAAGAAGCATGTCGTCACGCGGCACATATTTCACCTTACTTGAAGTCATACACTGCACGCGGTCTTCTAGCTTAAACTTGAATAAGCTTGCGGTCGGTAGCTCTGCACTAGTGGCATTGCCGCCAGGAAGGAGTGGCCCTAAGCGATTCGCATCAACACGCTCGGCTCGAGTCATAAAGTTCAACAAATGCTGCAAATACTCTACAGCGTCTTGCTGCTGCCCCGTGGAAAAGTCCGGGTGGCCTTTACCCACAAGAGCACGGAATGTAATAGGTCTGAGATCGACATTGTGTAAATCGTCCTCCTCCACATCCTTGCTGCCGCCCTTGGGTGTCAAAAATTGCTTCTTGTATCGATCTGTAAGAGCCGCATTCGCGATCTTAGCAAACTGCGCGGAAAAATCATTCATTGGTAAAGTCGACAATGGGTCTGCTGTAGAGAAAATTTTGTCTGTGTCCTTGAAATACCGTTCCTGAACCTCAGGCAACGCCAACAGCAGCTGCAGCACCGAGTTCATGTAGCAACTATTCCCCAGATTCTTAAATCCCATATATTCCGCTCCAGACACGGGTACAAGTTTCTTGCCGGCCTCCGTCACTGCTTCAAACTCATACGATAAATTTAGTCCCACTTGCAGTTCATTCATTGACTTGTCCGTTTTGCGTAGATTGTTAACATTGATACCGAAATGTTGTAAATGTTTGGTCAAGTGCGGGTTCTTGACCATATCATCTTCATCTCGTGCGTAGCTGTACACATCTCCTCCTTCCGCCGTAATCGTACCCAACTTGACGGCCAGTGGATAAATCTCTCCCGTTTCTTTAAAGTGCGTCAAGGCAGCACCACATCCCCCTGACCCATCCCAGTTCGCTCGACCACATCCAATGTAGCCATCTGAAAGATTGAGCCACAAGTTCTCGCACTTGTCACAGTCGAACGCTTGACATTTCCACGCCAAAGGTTTCGACACAATGTATGGTGGGGACGGTACCTGCTTCAAATGTTCGGCGTACTTGGTAGGCATAAGTTCCTCCTGCCAGGACGCCACCTCCTCGGTCACGGTGTTCCCTTCGTGATTCAACACAGCATCAGCTGCTTCTTTAAGCTTCAATGGGAGATCTGGATCGTCTAGGGACATTCGGACGAGCTCCTGTTGTTGAGGACCGAATAAAACAATGGAAAACGTCTTTTCAAGCTCAAATTTATCTTCTACGTTGGCTATAAAGCCTCCATCACCACCAATTGCAAGTTTTGTGGGTTTTTTGTTGTTACTTAAAGAGGATAAAGTCTTGGGTATGCGATGGTGCTGCTGGTGCAGGTAAACGGCGGTCTCGGATGTTCCGCTGCGATCGAAACGAAGACACAAAGCTCCGTACGATAGAAATGAGCGCAGGTTTGTGTATAAACCCAAAGGAGATAGAGCCGAGTCGAAAGAAAAGATACATTCATCACGATACACGCAGTCGGAGGCGCGAGCAACGCGGACGCGACACGCAGCAGACGTGAGAAGTTGTGCCATTTTTGGATTTATTTTTTTGGGGTTTGTTCGTAGCTTTGAAGATACAACTTAGTGTGTACTACACTATTTAAGGACAAGAACTTGCACGAACCAAGTACATTTTCGTTGTCATACTTATTATTTTTTATCATAAACAGTGCTGAAATGGGACAGTCCGCTTTCACTTCAGTATAGTGTCGTAGCAGCAGTCGGTGTAGTAGGAGTCATACCCCCTTCTGCACTGAGCGCTGCCATCTCGTCTTGAGCACGACGAAGCATCTTTTGCGCATTAGCTGTGATAGCCGACTTGGTCGAGTCGCCGTTGAAAATGCGCGAATTGTTCACTATAAGTTCCAGGTCCTTGACAAACTCCCGCATCGAGTCGTATTCCTTGGCCTCGATCTTGTGACGAATAGCACTCAAATCCATCGGCTGCTTCACAATCTGGTAATAGTTGACAACGGTGGCTGCATCCACCGGCACACGGAAAAGCTCACTTTCTGGCAATTCGACGAGCCGCTCAAGAACCACCTCCAATGCATTATTCAGATGCTCCACCGGCATACGTGAGCGACTCTGTTTTAAAGTGCCCTTCGCGTACGGACGTTTGTATAACTCTGCCTGCTCGCGCACCTCCATTTCTCGCTTGCGCTTCTTTTCAGCGTGGTGCTTGCGCGCGCCTTCGCGCAGCTCCGCCAGATTGACAGTGATCTTAGTGCCGCTACCAATCACGGACGGGTTATTCTTCACTTTCAGCTTGAGAGGTTCAGCGAGCACCGCATTCGCCTGCTTTTCCGACAGCGATTTTTTTGTACGGGCTTCATCAGCCATGTATAGTGGGCAGCTGCGGTTAGTGCGCATGTGACCAACCTGCAGACACTGCGTACAGCGAATGATGCCCTTGCCACTTGCGTCTTCAGCATCGGCACTATCGTCATCGTCATCAGCTTCACCCTTCTTCAGCATCTCCTGATAGCCTTTATTGTGCGCTTCAGTCTTTTGCAACTGCTTTAATTCTTCTTGCAACTGTTTGCGCCGCTTAGCCTTGTCCAGCAAACTCTGGCTAGTAGCATCGTCTTCCAAAGCTAGCATGCGCTTACGCTTCCGCAGCTGATTACGTTCATCGGTCTTTAGCTGGCGCTCCTTGCGTTGCTGCATCGCGAGAAAGCGGGCTACCTGCTTATCGTCCACGATGAACTGAATACGAACTGTCTCACTTCCGTCCTCCTCAATGGTGCGGACAACACGCTTTAGCACCTTCCTCCCAGAACTTTTCATGGAGGCACTTGGTGGCTCTGACAAAGTAGGCGTACGGCTTCCGTGAGTAGGTGAAGATACTCGCGATAAATGGCCCGTAGGGGTTGCCAACGCAGACGACACCGCTGATCCACCGCGAGACATCATGTTCGACCGTGGTCCCATACCTGACACCGATGAAATACCACTAGCTCCTGTTCCACCCTCTCGAATCCCACTTGCGCGTAACTGATTGCGCAGTCTGTTGGTGTCAACGTCAGGTCGACGCACAGCGCTTGGGGATTTGGCCTTACTACTGGAACTTTGGTCTTCATTCATCTCCTCCATGAGGCGGCGTAGTTCCACAGCATCTTCCCGCTCTGCAAGCACTTCTTTCGAACGATTAAGACCCCCACCGCCGCTTCGAAACAAATTCTTTGGACCACGCTTTGTGTCCGTGCCTCCTAAGATGTCTGCCTCGACATCAGCACCCAATTCGTCAAGCTCGTCATCACCGTCTGACTCTTCATCCGACGAAAATGAAGTCTTCGTCGAGCCTAGCACATCCATTTGGCGTTCATAAATCACATCGCACTTCTTGCGGTATTCTTGCTGTTGCGCAGAAAGCGACTTGCGCGCACCACGTGCGAATTTGCTCAAGCTACCCGCCACGCCATGGGCTGTAGCGCGGCTGCTTAACTCGCGCACCATGTGAATTCGATCCCAGCGTCGCAGTTTTTTGATATCTGCGTCAGCAAGACCCAGATTGCGCAGCACATCACCAGCCTCCTTCATTTTCAGCTTACGCAAGTCGGCAGTCGTACCAGTTACAGCTGCCACAGCCTTTTGTACGGCTGCAGTCTCTGCACTAATCTTGCTCTCTGCTGTAGGTGCTGCATCGTCCTCCCCATCTTTTTTCTTGGCGCGGGACTGTGGCACACGGACAAAGCTGAAGCCCTCGCCACGACCAGTAGGATCACCAATTCCACCAAGCTGCAGCATGCCTGAACCTTTACCTTGTAGGTGGCACTCCACGTAGTTATTTGTCAAGTTCCACGGCGTAAGCTGTAGCTGCTCATTAATATAACGAGCAACTTGAATATCGGTCTCGAGCTTGCGTACGACAGGGTCTTTCTTCCATAGCTCAGCTTGAGCCTTCTCCTTTACACGCCTCTCTAGATTAGCTGACACAAGACGCGCTGACAATGTATTCTTGCGCAGTTCCAGACGCCGAATCAAATGATTGATTGCTCCATTCACACCAGAAGGTGTGAATAACTTCGTTAATCCAATATCGAGCAGCCGTCTATGACCAGACATCATGCTCTCGTAAAGACATACACTTTCAGGCGGAATGCTCGCACGAATTTCCTCCTCACTTTGCAATTGCGAAGCTGGTTTCTTCTTCCACCAGCCTGAGTCGTTGCCACCACGCTCGAATGTGGCTACCTCCTTCATCCGCTTACGGATAGCAGTGCCCGATTGATTCGGGAATGCACGCGCAATATCCTCAATTTTTAGTCGTTCACCATCGCTCGCTTTTTTGAACAGGCGAAGAATGTGGAACGACATATACGGGCGGATAAACTCGTTCGCACTGCGAGAATTTGGCGCCGGAACTTCGATTTGTGGCTCAATTTGCCCTGCCACAAAGACCTCCGGTAACTCCATGATATACACCGTTGTCTTCGGAACTCCAAGTCCACCCGACTTATCAGTTGCAGCACCCTTCTTACTCTTCGTCACAGAACGACACATGAGGAAAATATGCGAGTTGTTACGCTCGCGCGCTTCAGCATTTATAGCAAATGGCACCGTGGGTTTATGAGAAAAAATGGGAACCTTGTATAGCTTTGAATTGAGTGAAGTCACCACTCGCCCCGGTGGAATATCACCGACAAATGGGGACTCATCGTGATCGCCAAGCGTAATGACCTGGCCCATCTTCATGTCTGGTGGTTTTGGGCGTGTTTTGCGAGCCTTCTTCTTACCCAAGATCCCCAAACTTGCTGAGGCATCCTCTGGTGGCCGCCAATAATGAAGAATACGAGATGCCATGCCAGGATTCGACAGCATAGGCGGGTGCTGCTCTGTGTACTCGATGAGAATCAACTTGCCACCTGCAGTCGGGTTCAAGTCAGAACTCTTCTTAATTTGTGTAACCATGGCGCTCTCCTCCTGTGGAGCTAGCTTGGCGGCACCTGGAGGCGGTGGTAAGAAGTTCAGCCGCTCGTTTATTTTAAACTTTCCGCGCGGCCTGTGAAAGTCGCGCAGCTTCGTCTTTGGAAGTTCAGGCTTAGTAAGCGAAAGCTTCATGGCTGGCAGCGAGTGGTGCACGTAGCCAATATTTTTGACCACACGTGTATCCTTCGACTTTTTGCCACTACCCTCTGTGCCCAATCGACCTTCAGCCGTCTCTTCTCCGAACTCGAGATTGCCCATAACCTCGTCAATACGCTGTTTCTTCTCAATGCGCTGCTTGTCCAACTGCGCCAGCCTTTGCTCAGCAGCTCCCAACTTTCGTTCAGGAATCCGCAACGTAGGACGCACATCTTCCATTTCCGACACAGAATAAATGAGCGACGCATCATTATCATCCAGCACCAGCTTGCTCTCCGGCATGTCCTGCGTAGACTTCCAACCAATCGATGCAACCCACGAGTCGTCCTGCAGCTCCATATTCAGAGGACAAGGAAGCGTCTCCGTCTTGCATTTCTCTTTAGTCACTCCATTAACGTCCCCCCTTGTTTTTTTCGAATTGTCTTTCAATTCCCACCGATAGTTCCGCGGCTTAGTCATATCCAAGTTTTTACCACTCAAACTTGCTGACATTGTTACCGCATCTCCCTGACCAGCTCTCGCAGCACGCAGCTGTTTGTACGTCTGCATACTAGTTTTCTCGCTCTTTGTCTTCGCTATCTTCCCCCAGCTACCCCCTTTACTTGCACTTTTTTCCTTACTTTCCTGCACGACTGTAACGTTTCCCACTGAGTCTTCAATCTCCACTCCTTTATCTCTCTCTTCTACAACCCTATCTGCTTTTGCAGCAGCATTAAAGTCAATGCCCCAAATGATATGGTCCTCCCACGGGAGCTGCTGCACCTTATGGTACTGGGCGTCATTTTCGTTCTCCTCCGCAAGGCCATTGGGTCTGCCACCAATTGTCGCCATCATGACGAACGGTGTGGCTGACGACATCACAAAGCGTCGCATAGGCTTCCCCTTAGCCTCTGCGGCTCTAGGAGGATGTAACTGCATTGTATACTCCTTGCCCGCGGCATTCTCGGCTCCTCTGGCCTTCTGTGTCGTCAGCAGCTGTTGCAGTTGGTCTGGGGCAAATCTGGCAATGCTGAAGACTGTAGCGTCCACTGCAGAGCTCTGATCTTGCTGCTGCGTCTTGAGATGGATTTTTGCTTCCTTAAGCTCCTTTTCCAGTGTCCGCAACGTTGTAAGAATCTCGGAATCACGCGATGGCCGCCGGTATAAAGCGGCGAAGTCGACAGCCTCGTAGTGAGGATTTGCCGCCTTCTTCCCATTCAAAGACACGTCGGTTGGGAGCGCGGACGGTGTCGACATCTGGCTAAATGACTCTACGTGACTAAGAGATGATACGGGGGCGTCGGAAGCCCTCGTGGGGATGCGTCGAGCGCTCTCAGGCGGCGCGGAAGCAAGCATTAGCTCTTCTTGTTGGGTAGGCGCCATATCGCCGCGTCCATCAAAACAATGTGACGTGAAGGTTGTTTGTAGGACAGAGTGATGAGAAGGTACATTTATTTGTGCTGGAAAACACTATAATGATAACACAAGAAATCAGAATATTAAAAATACGAAAAATCTACCTCATTGTTCTGTCCTTGGCACCACCGACAGTTGTATCAGGCTTCAACTTCTATTGCCAGCTAGCGACCAAAAACTTCGTTCAGCATTATTTCTTCGTTCTAAGGGCTTGTCGTCAAGAGCACACCCGTAGTATGACGCATGTTTCGTATTAACTAGCTTGTTGTAAAGCCTCGCCCACATGCTTTTTCTGTAGTCACTCCTAGCGACTCCAGCAAATTACTGACCATTGTCGTTTTGCTGGTGACTTTGTCGTCGCTGGTGCTTTGTTTTTTTGTGATTCCTTACGCTTGAGCTCCGCCTTCAAAGTTTTGGAAATTTCTTCCTTTTGACAGTTTTAGCTGTTTTGAACCACTTCCTAGAACGTCGTAGGCAAAGTGCTTCCACATCATAGCGAGCATGTTTCTTCTTCTTTGATTGCTTTCCCGACGTACAGCTTTATTAGATACGAGACCCACTGGCCTATCGAGCATATTGATGCCTGATTGAATACTCCCAAGACCAAAAAGCATGTACACCACTCATGTCATCTTTCAACACTTCTCTAATAGGAGCTCCACCAATTGAGCTGCCAATTATCTTCGCAGCACCGTCATCTTTCGCCACAGTAAGCTCAACTTACTGTGGCGTCTGTTAGTTGAGCTACCCTGCAGTGCTTTAATAACTACATCAACAATTACCCGCCACTTCTTATAAAACTTTGACGGGCCAAACGTTACACGTACCCTTCAAGTATGCAATACTTAACGTGTAACGGGATAATAGTTACACGGTTCGTTAAGCACAGAGTACTTAACGTGCAGGCCTAAAAGGGTACGAGGTTCCTTAGGCCTGCCACTTGGGTGTGGCACATCAATGGGACCCACCCTCGTGAATGTGATATCCATGTATGGATTCAAATTCAACGGGGATGACGCCAGTGGGTCGTGGTGACGCTTCAGATAGACTTCATCAGCGAGCTTAAATATACTTTAAGCTCGCACGCAAGGATACGCTTCTAAAGAGACGCGTATCCGATCTTTTATATTTGACCAATTAGTAGTTAGATTTAAATTTGGTTAAAAACCTATTAAATATAAGTCAGTCTTGAATTTATTTATTACCGTCCACTGCGCACGGGAAGTCTGGAGACAGCTTCCGTGACGCAGGTAGGTGCCTGTTTTGAAGATCGTTGGGCGGACCGCTGTAAGCGGCCGGCAACAGTTGGTTCGGCGCTTTAAGCGGCCGGCCAAAACCACCACCACCACCGCGTGCGGAGGTAAGAAGGTATAACCGCTTCCTCGCGCTGCTTGAAGGTGTGCCCGCGTAGTACGTGGCAGCTTCTTAAACGAAGCGCCCGTCTACATAACGTGCAAGTCTAAAAAAAGGTTACGTAAGTACGTAGACTTGTCCTTTGGGGAAACACACCATGTGACACACCCTTGAGTATGCGATATACACTACGTGTATACACATTGATGGGTATGACGTCCAGCTAGGACTAGGCGTCATAACATGAAGTCAGTAAGTTACATCATTAAGCGAGCTTCAACATCTTTAAAGCTAGCACGTAGGAATGCGCATCTAAAGAGATGGCACCCAATATTACATATCAACCAATCGTCTTTTAGACAATGCTAATTTATATTGAAATCAGTCTTGAATTTATTGCATCACACTCATTGCGCGCGGGAAGAATAGCAACAGCTTCCACGACGTATAAAGTGTTTGTTTTCAAGTCTGTTGCGCGGTTCGATTCGGCGATCGGCAACAGTTTTGTGCGGACGCTTTGACGTCTATTAACCTTCACATGGCCATGCTGCGGCTGAGTCCATAAGTAAGACTCAGGATAAGCTTTTGCGTGAGCAGGCTTCAAACAAGGCTTTCAATAGTACTGTTGAGACGTTTTCTGCCCATTCTAATTAGCCGAGTCCCATTCTGATGGACCCTTCAAAGTTTGATGAGACTGATCCACATACGATGGTCCACTGGCTTTAAGCCGTGGAGCAATGCGATATGGCGTAGCTTATCGAAGACGACACCGGAATGGTGTCGTATGCCATGTCGAATTTGCGTGGAAAAGCGTCATAGTGGGCTTATTTTGGGCTTATGGCAAACGCTGATGCGTTTCCATCATGGAATATCTTTAAGTCAAAGATTCGTGCCATGTATCAGCCGCCTAACAACGAAGTGTTACTTCAGGCGCGTTTCTTTGGAGAACGACAAGCGAAACGATCTCTGCAAGAGTATGTGCAAGAGATGCGTTCGCTTTATGCGTCCATTAATGTGGACCCGATACCGGAACACATTAAGGTGCCAACGTTCATGAACGGACTACGGCACGGCCCATCGCGTCAGGCCCTTTTTAGAGAGGTTCCAAAGACGCTGGAAGAGGCAATTGAAATTTCCATGGTTTAGGAGCAATTCTACAACAGCGCCTCGGCGACAGGTTATTATAAGCCGTCGGCCGAGAGGTTGGATGCCACTCCCATGGAGTTAGGCAATGCAAAAGTGGCCTGCTACAAGTGCGGCCTTATGATGGCTCGCTGCTATGCCAAACTTTCTGCTTATGCTAAAACGCCCATCAAGAAGGCTCAATAACCAAAGGGTAGTGTGAAGAACCAGCGTGCATGACGCACGGGTCAGGTGGCTGACCTCGAAAGTCAAGCCTCACGACGGACTTCAGATCTTCGAGATGTGAAAGCGAAGGAGCATCAGGGGTATGACTGCCTGAAGCTTCGCTTGGTCCTTTTTGAGCGACTGGTAATGAAAAACCCGCGTCAAACGCGGATCCCTTTCACGATCTCCGAGCCCTTTACCGAGCCCTCAAACGTCAAAAAGAGGCTTTTACCCTTTACCGTAGCCTCCTCGGCGCCGAGGCTCTACTCACAGTCGACGTCACCATAGGTATCGTTAGACTGGTATGGATATGTGATCTCCTGTGGATCCACATACCGTTTCAGACGAGCCACGTAAAATACGGGGTGCGTCTTTATATACGGTGGGAGAGTGAGCCTATAATTTAGGTCTCCAACCCCTTCGACTACCGTAAATGGCCCAATGAATCGGGGAAATAGCTTAGTAGATGTGCACAAGGCAAACAGACGCGTGTGAGTTTCCAGTCGACTACACCAAAACTTGCCAAGAACTTGCTCGACGTTGTGCACAGCGATATGTGAGGCCCGATGCAGACGTCGACGTTATCCAGCAAGCGCTACTTTGTGTCGTTCAATGACAACAATTCGCGGTTCTGTGGTGGAGTGGGTTCTCAAAATTGTATGATGAGACCCCAAACCACTCACTGTGCCGGACTGCCGACTGTCGGAGGGGGTACCCCGATGCCGCGTATGGACCTTCTCTCACCTTGTGTACCCGTCGGCTGGCGGGTTGCACTCTTCGAAGTACTTGGTGAGGATGTAGACGTCTGCCTTGAGGGAGGTAGACCTGGGGGGCCTCGAGTGGATATGCTTCACTCGGTGGGCCGTTAGGTGGCCACTCGATCGACCTTGTCGAGAGTGGACTTAGAGCCAAATTCTTCAGGGTCGCTTGTCGTCCCTGGCCTTTTCCTTCTTGTTTCAGGGGTATTAACCACCTGACCTTTACGTTGCTCCCGGACCTTGAGGTAAGGGAGGCCGCTTCCGATAGCGGGTCTTGGGGGGTGTTGCTACTCGAACGAGCTCACAGGCCAAATATATCCTGGAGCTCTATTCGCACTTGAACTTCGCTACACAACTGTCTTCAACGGGGGGCCAAAATATATCCCTTCCCGGAACAGTGAGTAACTTAGAGCAAGTTCTTCTTGGGTGACGGAGTCGTGCCACGTAGATCGCAAATCGAGTAGTATTTAATATAGTCCTATCCTTTTAACTCCTTTACTCTATCCTTGCCTGAAGCTCTGATTCCTTGCGTCGACTGGTCTGATTCTCGTGTTAACTCGTCGGGAGTGGCTGAACCCCTAAGGGTCGAGGTCGCCCAACGAGGGACCCGGGTCTACCAATGAGGGGCCGGGTCGATCAATGAAGGGCCATGGTCAACTACCTTCGGTACCGGTTAACCGGTACCCTGATACCGATTTTTCTTCTATGGGTCCTGCGGATTGTTATCCGCCAACGGTCGCTCCCCTTCGAGGCCCCTGTCTCTCTGGTCTTATGTCCCTGACCCACGGTCTATACTCCGAATCCAACTAAATTATGGGGTCCCCACATCGCAAGAACAGCACTTCACCTCAGTTCTGCTTATTATTTCTTCTTCGCAGCAATTCGGAAGTGCTGGACAAGTTGACGCAGTTTGTAGAGTACGATAAACCCAGAATAGAAGGCGCGTGAACGTGCTTCGAAGTGAAAACGGTGGCGAGTACGTGTCCAACAAGTTTGCCGCGCTGTGTCGCAGCAAGAGCATCGTGCAGCAACATACACCATTGTATGCCCCTCTATTTAATGGAGTTACCGAACGCATGAATTGGGCGCTGGTCGGAAATGCACAGTGTATGATAGAGCACGCGGGATTGTCCAAGCGCTACTAGTGATGACAGCAACATGTTCGCGCAATCGGTGTCCAATGCGTGCGACCGGGGTAGACGGGCACTTCTACGAAGTTGTTTCGTGCTACTAGCACACACCTTCAGCACAAGCGAGGAAGCGGTTAGGCCGTCTTACCTTCGCGTGCGAGGGTGGTTATGCGGTTTGTCGACTGCTTAAGCAGTCGTACCACCAGTTGCCTCTAGCTTAAGCGAGAGTGCAATGAACTTCTAAACAAGAAGTCACCGACGTCACGCAGAAGCTTTTTCAGCTTCTCGTGCGTGGTGCTTCGGTGTTAGCAAATTCAAGACTGAGCTATATTTAATGAATTATAATTAAATATAAACTTAACTACTGATTGGCTAATTA